TCTACCAGCTTTGTCTGATCATGACTTTATTGGACGAATCGTATTGTTGTTGCTTCCACTAATTAATTTGAAACTCGAGTCAGCCAGGTGTTGACTTATTTCCTTCTTTAGACCCAGCAGCTAGCAATACGGAGTTTCAGAGGATTGTTGTTTTATTGACTTTGACTACTACGATGCGGATAGCTTTTGGTGGTGACAATGACGCGAGAGGGACATTTATAGCCCTGTTGGAGGACGAGTGACGAACGACCCTACATATTCGTCCATCCCGTCGTCGTCGTCATCGTAGGCAGATCTCATTAATTAATGTTTGGCGTGTTACGTATGGTGATGATGACGAGTTGTTAAATCTAATAAATTAATTTCAAGATACGTGCGCGCAAAGGAAAGATGTTTGCTTAATGGAAATAGAATTTGGTCTGTTGAAATTCGCAGTAGGGAAAATTCATTATGGGAGAAATTACTCGGGAGTGTTTGGCAACGTACGTAAATACGTTCACTTTATAATTAAATTGCTTTACCGACCGTATGGACTGAAATTTGAGTGCTTCATTTACCTGCGCCTTCGTCGAGAGGAGAAATAAATGAGGCGTAGACATGCATATTGCGTATACCGATTAGTTCAGAATAGATTCAAGAATTGAGACCAATCATGGCTGATTGTTGGGGACGGATTGCAAGTTCAAGTTCACAAAGCAAATAAGTAGAGCTTTTTTTCTTATTTATCGTATCGCGTAGCAGTACAGCAACAAAGGATTTCTCGAGGAAAGGTACCCTACGTATTTATTACGGACGGAGATGAGATTTTCAGTATTTCTGTAAAATGCTGAGATGAGGATATTTCTCATTTCCTTCAAAGAAGAAGAAGCTCACCCATGCTTCGTCGGTGCATGGATGAATAGACACGAAAAAAACAAGCCAAGTGGGAATTGTAACGGGAGTAAAGTAGGAGAAGTTTGCGAGCCTATTTTATACCGACGACCGAATGTAATTGTCTTTTTCATAATAATACGAGACTTGCTTTTCAGTGTAAATCATGATGCTACATATGCAATGCACACCACCACTTGAGCTGTAAACCTTTAAGCCAAGCTTTGCTCTGGTAGCAGCCATGCCCTTCCTGGCTTTGTTGTGATTCATGTGAATCAATTACTACCAGAATAATATTACTACACAAGAGTTGCAGTAATTATGTTACAATAAGTCTGCCATTCCTTGCGCATACAATACAGCGGAAGAATTAGACAATGAATGAATGTTAATTTCTTCGTATCAAGAAAGTTAAGTAGGCAGAAACATACAAGTTGGGAGTCGTGTCGTATTCCTTAATCGCAACCAACCACCAAATAAAGTATAACCTTACACAGCTAATTAAGTTGTATTTACTCCTTAGTCGTACATATTCAGACAGTTTAAACCACATGTCTTGGAGGTAACATGGATGTGGTACTGCTTGTGGTAGGGATATGAGACCACATTTTGGAGGGGAAGTAGCATAATATCGACTAATTTAAACACCAGCTACGTACGTAGGTACTCCAATATTCTAAGGATGAGAGTGTCTTTAAATCAATTTTGCCCTAAATTCGCCATTGCAATGGAATATTTACATCCACCCATCCATCCATCTGTCATCTCATTGTTATGTGTCACCAGAGCACAGAAATAACAGTCGGTGTCCCCAAATCCTCAAAGAAGAAGGAGCGTAATTGAATTAACTCGATGTACGCATCAATACTGCTTAAGATTGGATAAAAGGACGTGAGTTTGTAAGGGACAAACTGCTCAAATGATTTAAATCTACCAGTTATAATACGCAAATAACAGCACTGCAGATGAAGAGCTAAAAAGCTGGTCTGCTTGTCAGTCCGAGTTCATCATCTCGCTCGACATGCACGGTTATTTCGAATGTAATGTGACCCAGTTACAGTTAAACACATTAACCAAACTGAACCATATTGCATGCACTTGAATCGACACGGCTGACATGCTTGTCTAGAAGGAGGAGTAGGTTGTGGGGTGCATATGGATGGATGGATGGTGGCGGCGATGATGTGTGCAAAATTTCCCATAAATTTATTGACACGGTATTACTTTACATATTTACAACAAAACTGTACTCGAGCGAGTGAGTAACATTTGACTTTACTTTCTGTCAAGTCTGACCCTGCTGCGTTTGTTTGCATCACATTAAATACAATAGCGCATCCAGTAGTAAAACCGCAACTCAGCAGCCCGTAAAAGCAGCAGTGCAAAAAGAAGCAGTGGCACGCCAGCCAGCTAGTCAGTCAGTCAGTCGACTTGGATGGTTTAACGGTTTTGTGGGTTTCTATTTGAAATGTAAAATCAATTGGAAAGCGTTACAGAAACAGTAACAGAATCTGCATAAAAAACGAATGCATGCATGGCAGGTAGCAAGCAAGCAAGTAAATGAATGTGTGAACTCGAAGAAATTTTGGGGGTTTTCTTCGATTTTTTGCCCACCTAACCTACTCCACACCAGCCAATCAACCACTCACTCAGTCATTGTTCGTTATAGATTTTTTACTCGAATTTGCATACAATACAGTGAGATTGGACGCACTCACTCATTCAGGGATCAATTTGTTAGATGGGATCGATTGATTGAATTATTAGCCAGGTCAGGTGAGCAGACCATTGACAAGAACTTATGGACTTCTTATGTAGATCATTGATTTCGGAGACAGAAAAAGACGGAGGGCGATATTGCAATTAATTCTGCTCGTGTTCTTCTGAGTCGACATTGTCTTTTTTTCCGTCAGCCTGTCCATGATATGAGAAAAAAATAGAAATTTCCGTGTGTGAATAAGCAAAGTGAGAACACGCCATCGCATCGCAGCAGAGTTCGTAACAACTTTGTGAAAAATCTGACAGACGAATGAAGTTTATGGAAGAGGGATGAAATATGAAAAGATTTCAGCAATTCGCCGTATTTTTACGACTTTCCTTTTGGCATTAATCGATCAGTTTATATTCCGAGGTTATGCAGTACCTTTCTTTACCTTCGATCAGTCTCTGTATTGCCAAATTATAACAAAGTTTGGGCTAAAGTCACGTACATGGACCTTCCCCCTCGAAGGAGGAGGAAGCCATTGTTTATAAGCACAAATTTGATGAATAATAATAATGCGTCGCTGTGGTAGGTTTGCTGATGGCGAGAGTTGGAAAATTATTATAAATAAAACTGTCATATTAGAAGGAAGTGATGTTTGACTGACAATTGCAAATTTTTTTGCAGGTGAAATAAAAAAAAATGTCAAATTTATAACGTTATTGACGTTTGCGCACTATGCATATGATAAAAGCGATACATATAAATTTATGTATGTAGCTATGGGCTTACTTGCCCTTTGAGGAGGTTGGCAATGTTAACGGCTTGATGTGGCCTTTTTTGCGCATTTAAAATACTTTGACATTGTTCTTGTCTTTTCACACCTCTTTTTTATATACATTCGCAGAATTCTAATCCCATTACAGATTGATATATGCGATTCATGAAACGATACGATTCTCGCTTAAACATGTTGTATTTACATATATTTAAAATTGTAATGGAATCACAACAACTGCAAAACCATTGACCCTGTCCGCGTATTTGCAAGTGTGCGATTTGATTGTGAAGATTAGAGGGTCAACATTTAAAATATGGAGGAATTGTGCTAATCTGCACATTTAATAAATATCTAGGTGCGATATGTCGAGGTACTCGGCAACTTGAGGAAGATCCAGACACAATAATACATAGTTCTGTTCATGTGTGATTTTAGTATCGAGTTTGTTGCCCTGTTTTTGTCTACTGTATGGAATGCAAACTTATTACAGGAACGAAGCCAGACTCGTGTTAAAAAAAGGATAAGCAGGCAGAGCACATAGGATTTCTTCATTAGAATTGCATGGATAGAGAGATGTATGTACTATGTGGGGTGACCAGACTACTCATTAATAGAGACAGCCAGGCCAGCGGCGGTAGCGCATTTAAGGCTAATTGCCGACTCCCCTAAGGACACTTGCGTTTAATATTGCGAATTCTGCCATTCGCGATCGTTTAAAAATCTTCCAGACTTAGCAATAAACCTTGCTAACCTGGCAAACGGCATTTCAAGTAATTCCTCGGAGGTCAGATAAAGCCCTTCGAGTACTACAAGTCTAGTCATCGCAAAACAATCACACTCTGTAATAAAGTGATACCCTGTTTCCTTCCCCTGTCCGCACAAGCAGCCAGGGGAGGACACCAGGTTCAAATTATACAGATGTGAGTTCAAAGTATTATGCCCCGTTATTACCTGAACCAGTTGGCGCAGTGAGTTACGGTTTAATTTTACAATGTTCCCCAAGTTTGCCTGGTATGGCTCCTTAAGAAAGAGTTTGGTCTGCTTGGATAGAGAGATAGAGATACGCGTTTATCGCTTGGTTGGTCCTCGTCTATAGCTTTGCAGTCAGCGTTGTTGTTCTGCCTGCAGTAAACGAACTGGATGGAGGATGACGCAAAACGAGATCTGATGACTCTGAGTCATTTCTTAGTAATCAATTTGTCGGGTGTGAAGTAAGTACTGAACAAATGTGCTCATCTTGCGTATAAGAAGTGACAAGCAGGCTGTGGGATTGATGGGTGGAAGGAAAGGTAGCTGGTGGGATGGATGGAACATTTAATTACTCTCAAAGAGATAATAAACTCGAATGGACAGATGAGTAGTAAACATCACTTTGAAAATATATTGCTGCTTCCCCCGCACACACCTCAAGTATTTTTGTTCCGATCCAGTTTCATACATGTTTTTGTACACCGGATTGTTCAAAAAAACACTAGTTTATGATTAAGTTTGGGCGATGGGATGGGATGGAGTAATTATCTATGTGGGCGAAGATGATCTATAAAAGTAGGAATGAAAATGTGAAAAGGGCAGTCTGCGTATATGTATTTATTTATTTCTATGTATTCACAAAGCTAATGATGTTTTCGTTTTTCTTTCACTTTACAGAAAACAGACCAAAGTCTGCTGGCCCAGTTCTTCTATGCGGACGAAGACCTGAACACTGTGAGTCGGTTTTATGTTTCTGTTTGTCCCGTGTTTAGGAAAATGAAAAAATCGCGTCCCATATATCCGCTTGCTTGGTTTGGGGCTGTACATAAAGCGTGCGATCGATTTTCGGAGAATTTTGACCCATGGTGTGACCTTTATGCCCCATGTTATAATTAGCATGGGAATGACATGATGCCTTGACCCCCACGCCCCCTTAAATCGATCACGCCTTCCTGCACAATCCTCTTGTTGCACTTTATTTTGCGATGTTGCAGTTTAGTCAAAACGTCGCAAAGATATGTAACTCATCATATATAAAAGACCTATGCATAAAAAGTAATAAATGCTTTTGCTTCAAAATTTCCAGCGAAAAAATAAAAATTTACCTGGGAAATTTAGGAGCAAACAATTTACTTATTTTTATACATAAGTCCTCTTTGTGTTGCGGCTTTGAATGCGTTGTCAGAGTATGAAATTGTATGTATATTTATACACAATCTTCCTTTTCCCTCAGGTTTCAGCCGAGTTGGACTCGTTTGACGGAAGGAAGGATCCGGACAGATGTACGGCTCTGGTCAATCATCTCAGACAGTGTCAGGACAAGGTGGGTGAACTGTGGATGGATTTATATTTAGTTGGATCCTTCCAGTTGTCATTTATGTGCTCGCTGCGAATGGCTGCGAACGTAATTGTTGTGTTCCGTCTTCCGGATCTAATATTGGATGCCGTAGGGACGTGAATGAATGAAAGCAGAAAATCAAATGGAGGCATCAGCATGACATGACATGTTTTACTTGAGAGCGTCAAATCCAGAGAGCAGATCCTTCCAAATCATACATGCTCTCATCCCACACTTCCGACTGTCATTCAGCCTCATGCCATTCGAAATCGCGCATGTAACACCACTCCACTTTCTTCACTTTCATATTATCCACAACTTATGCGAGCTGTACATATTTCACCCACTTTGAGTCTAAAGCAGGCAGACTCGAAAGTAAAATTGAAAGTTGTGAACAAATGAATGCCAGATCTTCTCCCATTTATTTACAATTGCTTCGTAGTAGGTACAGGAAAAGTGAAATTGGTCATAATTTGCAAATTTGTTTATTTTCCAAATTTTCTTAACGGCCAAGTCCTCCTCATGATAATAATATTTGGCACGGCACAGACATAGGCCGAGTAAATCTGTAAACTGTACCAAAACGTTACACGCGAGGCAGAATATGTTTACATATGTACATAGATACATACAACTGAGCAATTATTCATTTCAACAAGTCGAGCGCACATCGCCCCCTTTTTCATGATAAACTTATACGTGTCGGAATATTTGATGTTCTGCAAGATGTGTCATATCGTCATGTTTTCCAACGAGTAATCTCATCATCATCATCATTTCTGTAGTTTTGATCTACTGCAAATTTGCTGGGTTGGGGAAGGAAGACGAGAAAGAGTGATTCATTATGTATGCAAACAAAATCTCGTGTTGTTCATCTTGAACTCGTATCGGAATCGGCATCTCGAAAACATATATAAATGCAAGGTTGTTGTGAAGCATTGATTTCGACGTGAGTTACTGAACTCTCGAGTCTCGACACATGCAAAATTATTGCGCTGTGGAACTTGTCTTGAAAACAAGAAGCCCGTCTTTATGGAACTCTTCGAGCCAATATTAGCTGCAATATTATGTATAATTTGTATGTTACATAAGCAAATAATAGTCTCAGCCATACGTACAATGTCATGATTGGATGAATGAATTATGATATAATTTATTGATGAGATTCTGGAACACGATAGTGCATTTCCATGTCGGAATAATACCAATTTAAGGAAATTTTGAAAACCCGATTGCTATTTCTTATCTCATTTGTAGGTGCTGAGCATTTGCCAAATGATAATGGATGAAGTGATCCCTGAAGAACGGGCTCCTCGCGACTTTCGAGCCAAATTTCCGGATGATGTTCTTCAGGAAAATCTAGCCGGACAGTTGTGGTTTGGAGCTGAGGTAAGCGCACTCAAAAAGAAAAAGTTGTCTAGTCAATTTAAAAATATAACTTTGTGACAATCTGTATTTTGTAACTCGGCAAAAAAATGACAAAGTTTTCAATTGATTTTACCCACCATTTTTTTGTCTCTAGTGCCTCTCTGCTGGGTCAAACATCTTAAATCGAGAGTTGGAATCTGCTTCGATGCGTCCCTTGGCCAAAGCCCTAACGAAAAGTTTGGAGAACGTGAGAAATCTTTTGAGGGAGCAATGTTTCCGAAATCCTCCCGAATTTACGGAAAAGATTTGCGAATCTTTGAAAATTTTGGACCGTCTTTTTGCCGAGTTTGAACTCTCGTACGTCTCCGCCATGGTCCCTGTCAAATCCGTGATCGAGTATGAAGCCCAACAGGCAATCACAGTTTTATTCTCGGAAACTCTACAAAGGTATTACTTTTCTTGTTTAAATATCACATTACACTATTTGCTTTAAAGAGAGTTGCAACTTTCCGTGTGACGCGTTTAATTAAAATTTGATTAAGTTTCCCATAATGAGATTTCCGATTATCCCATGTACTAAATTTCGCAACACGGCATGCTAAAATTTCGCCATGCTTTGGAAATGTTATAGTCTGCAGCACACATGAGAGATCTTGTCGCAATGGTGATAATATTACCTTGCCTGGTGGGTAGAACTGTACCTGCGACCACATTACTAAAACCAGTATCAATATTTGCTTTTCCTGACATTTCTCTCCAACACGGATGGATTTTGAGGTGATGAAATCTGTGGGAATCATTGTGATTTGTCATGAAACTTGATTTACATAGATTTGATGGAATACCACAGGGGAGTTTTGATCGTGAGGAAAAGTCAGTCAGCACAAGTTGTGCAACGTGGGCTGGATAATTGAGTTGTGCTGACGTACACAAGTTTAGATATCAAAAAGTGAGGAGAAGGTTAAATTGAAATTGGGTAAGATGAAAGAGGAAATGGGAGCAAGAAGGGCATGATGAATTTCACATCTTGTGAATACCGACTGACGGAGGAATTGTTTTTCGTCCTGGTGTCGTTTCGAGTGAATCAAAAGTGTGACGAAGGCGGTGAGGACAGGACAAATTGGATTGAATTTCTTTAAGCTGACGTGATTATCCATGGTTGGATGAGTTTTGTGTAAGGATGAGATTCTGCATGTTCAACCTCAGCTACTAAGTAAATTGTCCGTCCCCTTTCTCTCTCTGCACACATGACATCTTCAGCCCTGCTCAAAGCCCTGTTCACATTCTAAATTACAATTTTCCTTTCTTCAACATTTCGACCAAGTTTCTTTTTGCAGTTTCGAACCAAAGTACGTACGGACGAGTTACTGGCATGAATCAAATCTTCAATTTTCTCGAGACCAAATTGCACTTGTCTGGATTGAAGTCTCGTCCTTAGTTGTTCTTCTGCTTGTGAAATGTCATTCTTTTGGCTTCATTTCATTTCATAACTAATTTCTTCACTACTGCGGAGCAGAGCGGAGAGTCAAGGTTCCTACGATTTATTATGCCCATACAATTTGCGACTACAATGCAGACAATTTGCATATTCTACATATTCCACGAGTCTGTGTAATACTGCACGAGCGAAAATTTTGCTATTGACCCAACAAAAGAAGGAGAGAAAATTTTCGGAAAGCAGAATATTTTTGATGAACAATTGTCATGCAGGGCACAATATGACATTGTTATCCTGCATGTGTGCAAGGCGTGGATACACAGTTCTGAAAAGTTTGAAGGTCTGTTTCCTTCGAGGAACTGGTAACGATGTAGCTACGAATAAACTCGTTTTTGATTAATTATAGGAGCACAAGAAAGTTTGTACCTTTGAGAATTGCTTCCTCCAAAGAAAGCATAATTCCTGGTCGAGTTTTACGCCGTTATAGAGTTGAAATAACTTATTTCAAATCAGGAACAACTTGGGGAAAGTTTTGAGCAAGTAGAACTAGTTGTTGCAATTTATTTTTCATAGAAAACTCAAAGTTGAGCTAATTATTCTCTGAGATTTGGCACGATACAGCAACACAACACGAAATAAGTAAGTTTTAAAGCAAGAAAGAAAAGCGAACAACTTGTTCGCTTGTTCGGAACAAGTAATTATTATTTGGTTGATGATTTTTGGACAAGTTTTTAATCCACAATGATAATCCACATTTACTTGGAAGTCTCTTCTAATGAGAAGTATGCACATATTTTAAAGGTAGCAATTAGATAGTCGTGTTATCGGACTTCATATACATATCCAGCACTTCTAATAAATTTGATGAAAGAAAAGGCTCTTTGATCTCGTCTGTGTGCTCGTCTTTGTATCGTTATTCGAACCACTCCAACCACTGCAAAGGATGGATTATTTATTACGTAACATGGAAATCTTATTAGGAATCTTTCGTGTGCAGAATACGTTTTTGCGAAATGTGCAAACGCAGCATAAATTTGTCCTTGAGTAGTTGAATCCTCTTTATTCCGAAGAAGAGCAAGGGGCAAAAAAAAGCGAAATAGTGCGGATGACGATACCACGGACACTTATCATCGTCCATATGTTTTTCTTCCTAAATTTATTTAAGCATTGCCTTCATTCCAATCTGACTGCATTTGAATCGGTGCCTGTCTGCCTGCTCCTCGCCATGTTTTATGGCCTCGATGGAGGTTTGATTTTGCAAATGTCAGGGTTTTCTGCAAAGTCCTGAGCGAGAGCAGGGCGAGAGCGAAATTTTGGCTGTGGACCAACCACCCATGGAATGATAACGAACGAATGCCAGGCAAAGTTCATGCATTATTTTATCCTACACAGAAAATCACTTTGTACAAAGTTGGTTGGTTGTTGAGTGAGTGTCGCCGTATAATAATATGTCATCATGCGGGACGACAGCGTTTAACAACGTCCCCTTCACTCCAACCACGACGAAGAAGAAGGTTTAATTGGATACTTTCATTTGCATTTATCGCTACAGCTCAGACTTCTCAGAAATCATTACGGCACGGGTAGCAGCGCATGCATATCATTCTCCATGGAGGAAGAAAGCCTTATCCAAACTTATTGCTCATTGTACAAGACGAGAGAGAGAGAGACGACTTGCTCCAGCCAATGAAATCAGGACATGGTCATTCAGCCCTGTTTGACTTGTAGACGAACAACATCAAGTGGCTTTCTCCGCTTTCTTTCTCTCCGCTCACTTGTGGGATGGGCTAGTTCACTTCTTCTTTTCGGGAATTAACAAAAACTTGGAGAAAGTAGTAAACTGCATGAAACCCAGAGTTTTGGCAGCGGTGTGGATGACCATCCTTTTTACTTCTTTTTGGTGGACTGATCTTCAAAATTAACTCGCACAGCTCAGTGCACAACCTTTATGTGTGATGTATTATGCCTTCAAACGAGTCCCTCCCGCAGGGTCAACCTTGAGAGAATTTGGTGTAAGTAAGTTGGTCCTACTACACAGAAGCAGCAGGGGACTTGAAGAGCTGTCTCTGATCAACACGTTCGCCACGATCCTCTTTTCCCGTGCAGAAATAAATTGTGGTGAAAGTCGAGACGCAATTTGAGGTTGTTATTATTATTCCTTCTTCACGAGTCGAGAGAGCAAAGGTGGTAATTTACAAGGTGTCTCATTATCACAAGAATCAATCAAGTCCTTTCTATGTATTGAGGGTAATGCTGTGCGAGGTCAAATCGCGAGGCGTGATGATAACGACAAAGATAACCAGATCCAATTCGTCGATGCACTTGAGCATCGTATCGCCCACACAGAGAGAGACAACATGAATACGTTTCTTGTTGTTAGTGGTGCATGCTTTCCTTCCGTTAATATGTATCTCACCGAACGACCCACGACGACGAGTACAAGCAGGGACAAACACTTGATCAAAATCGAAGGCCAGTACCCACATTGACTCAAATTGTTTGCAACGACGGAAAGATGTTTTTTTTTGCCAGCCGTGCACATTACTTGAGACAGGTCGACCTTGCTTCGATGGGTTTATTTTCGGGGTGTTTTCTCATTTTTCTCTAATCCGAGGAAGGATTTAGCACCACCAGGCTAAACTCTATATATCAATCAACCACCATAATTCCCCTTGAGTAGAAGGTTGTTGGGTTCCTTGATTTGTGTCCGTCTCATCCCTCTTCAAATAGTTACTTTTATGGATCCCCAGTCGCGATGAAAACTTATGATGGAGAAAGCCAACTTGATTTCATTTCATCGACAAAATTCTCATCGTTCAGTAGTTATTTCACTGTCTAATTTGGAAATGCTCACTATATTTATATCGGTGTGCCCACCCAGATAGTCTCAAGGTCTTTCTCCCAAAGTGCATACATCAGTTAACAGTTTTGATGGGGACATCATCAAAATTCTCATAAATTGCTATAATTGGAAACGATTTGATTTTCACCCGTGGTTTCGGTTATCGTATTTCTTTCGCCGGAAGTTTTAGTGCAGTTTGGCCAGGGACTAGCCGTCTCTCAATTCGTGTTCATGAGCTTTCATGTTTGTTATTATGCTGTCTTGGGAAAGTTATGGGAGGAGGCGAGATTAGATAGGGTTACATTTCCCAAGGTTTTATTATTATCACTTGGTTTCTCTTCGAGGAAAAGTAGATATATAGTTCGTTAGTTTTCAAGATAAGTGTGCATTAACATTATACACAAAACTAGATAGTTATTGTACGACGTGGTCTGGTAATTCATGATTTTTAGTATCTGTGGCATGTAAAATGAGACAGGAAAGTATATGGGCGATGCAGATGGACCATAAAAAGTGGAAATCAAAGATAAGAACGATCAAAGATAAAGATAATCAAAAGCAAAAAGTGCAAAAATTTTGCACCAGGCCCCGAGTGAACGGAGCTCAGCTGGCAGGCGCCCCATGGATTCGAACGTTCCACACACACGATATGGTATCACACTCGATTCCATGGGGCTCCGGACAGCGAGCTCACGTCTAACGATTTTTACCACTCGGCCAACCTGGCAGTTGAGGAAGTAGCAGTGCTTTCTCGCATTTATGCTCTCTTTTTTGGGGCTATTTGAGCACGAAAATGTGGCAAATCAAAATTTTGGGTTTATTGCTTGGCTGGCATACCACAATCACAAATCGATCTGAATAGAGAACCAAGAAATAAGTTTCGAAAAAGTTTGTAGGATGAGTAAAGTATTTTTCGAAATCAGCTGATACTCAATTTCAACGTTTCAAAGTTTTATTACGCTACCGGTATAGTATCGAGGAAAATTTCATTATGAAATCTTTTGCTTTTTTAGGAAAACATAATGAATTGAGTGTGACTAACAATTTGTATTTCTTGTATTTTGTTGCAGAGCCTTGAAGCTAGGGCTGCTAAGTCAAGACCAAGTAGATTCCTGCGACCCAGCCTTGATGTTCACAATACCACGACTCGCCATCGTGTCGGGTCTCCTCATTTTCCCGTCTGGACCTTTATGTCTGGATCAAACCGAGTTACTGTCCGACATGTTCCGTCCATTTCGTTCCCTGTTGCTTAAAATTCGTGAACTTCTTTGGACCATGAACCGCTCGGAGTTGGGTGCTTTGGAAAGGTCACTCTGTTCCGTCGAAGAAACCTTTATGGAACCTTCGCCTTCCGACCTGGTAGAAGAAGAACACGTTTTAAACAATCGAAATAATTTCACATCTGCCGGAAGCACAATGACGACAACAACAACGACGGATGAGGAAGCCATTTCTAACCTGAGGAACCATGCCGTGAGTGGAGGTCACCAACATAACATTCATTTTCATCATAACCACTATCACGATGAACCGCAATTGTCGTCATCATCTGGCGGTGGGGGTGCCGTTCCACTCGCATCCATTCAAGACTACCTCGACCAATTCTACAAAGATTTTCCCCAGTGCAAAGACTTTATCTCGGACCTCACCCATAACAATTCGAGTAGTAGTCCAGGTCCGGAAGAAGGAGGAGATGTTGATTCCACTACAGAACAGACGACGATGACAACTTCTTCTTCGACAACCTGTGCCAAAGAACTGACAATGCTGGGAGGAGTAGAGACTGAAAGTAAGGATGAAGGAGGGAGTGGCTCGGGTACCATGGCCACCACTCGTCTCCAGTATTCCTCACTTATTGACCAACAATCCACAAATCCTGGAATGGCCGTTCCACCAACATTACTAGGGTCCAAGGATGAAGACCAACTTCAACTCCTCGCCCCAGAGTTTGATCCCGCACTCCCAGCCTCAACATCAACCTCACTTCCGTCCCCGTCCTCAATCCCAAAAACATCATCCAAGCAGGGATCCTTACTTTTCACTGACTCATTTGCTCCAGCACAACAAGCAACAATGCCATCAGAAGAGTGGGACCATGTCGAGGTGGGAGAGACTGAAGGGACGGGGACACAAAAGAGTACTTCTTCTTCGACGGAAGTGGAAGATTTAGTGGGTCCTTCTCATACTACGAACAAACAACCAGTTTCTAGCTCAAGCAGAGATTCTGGTCTGAGCAGTATGACAGACTCTTCATCAGAAGGGGTATTTTCTCATCCAGCTGATGATATTGAGGAGGAAAGCACTAACAACATTCCAATCTCGTCGAGTGAAGAAAACCCAATGATGGATAGAGATGGTTACCCAAGTGGTGAATGTTCCTCAAGGTGAGAAAGATATTCATTGTTTATGCTTACGAGAAAGTTATAGTACTTTCAGATTCCCGATAATATAAGAAGCAATCTAATCTAAATTTTTGTATACAATTCCAGTGATAAAACAAGCTGTGAAGTTCCTCCCAGTGATTGGGTAGAGTGGAAAGATGACATGGAAATTGCACTGGCTATGCAAGCTGCAGAAATCGCGTCACGAAATGAAGTCCGTGCAAGGTTCAAGTAAGCTTAATTTTGCATTGCAAGTTGTTGGTTATCGTTAAAGTCATACATACAAGTTTCTAACTTTCTTTGTCTACACAGGAACAGCTCAGACCTAATTCACCGTCTCTTTATTTGTATCTCTGGTGTCGCGGACCAACTGCAAACAAATTATGCAGCAGATTTAAGATCCACTCTTAAATGTGTCTTCGCCATGAATGCCACACCCTCCGAGTTTGAAGAGGAGAATGAAGAAAGCAGCTTGGAGGACGGAAGTTGTGGGGATACTTCAGGATTAGATGTCACACCAGAGCCTTCACTGGATGAAGAACATTCCAACTCTGCTGAAGGGATGAGTTACTCTCACTCACATCACAACCACCACCACAATGACCTCACGCAAAATCACCATCACCACAATCATCACCTTCATCAAAATAGTCATGAGGATCGGTCTGGAGAACATTCCAATGTTGTAATGGCTGCACCACCGCCCACATGGGTCCCGGATGAGCTCGCTCCTACATGGTATATCACAACACGGTTTTACCATAAATTCTCTTAAACGCCATGAAACCTGTCGATTAAAATGAAGTGCTCATTTCTATACTATCCATGATGTTAGTGGCCACTGCGGTGAAACCACAACTATCGTTACCTATGTCCATGTCCATACTAATATCCCTAAATATTAACTCTTGAAAGTTTTTTATCAAGTAGGAATCAACATATCAAATTTTGATAAATACCATTAATTTAATCTTGAAGATTAAATTTCTGCTATATTTCTTAATGACTTTTGCAAATTAAAAGCTAGCAGGTAGTGAAAAGAATAAGCGCACAATCAGAGCTGTCATTGAATCCAGCAAATTCTAATTTATAATATGAATTAAGATTTTTTTTACAAAAATAATATGACTTTGTATTATATTGCAGTATGTCCTGTTCGGCAGCCTTCACCGTGGTCCGACGGAGGCATCATTGTCGTAATTGTGGAAAGGTATGAGAATTCACCCACCACACCCTTATGCAGTATTTACTAATATTCTGATTTTCCTCATAATAGGTCTTTTGTGGGAAGTGCAGTGGAAACTCAGTTCCTCTGCCGAGATACGGTCACCTCAAGCCTGTGCGAGTCTGCAATCGGTGCTTCATGTACAGCGTTACACCCTTCACTCTCCCAGCCTCTGCTGACTCTTGAAAGCCAGCACAACTTGTATTGCCTAGTTCTTTTTTTACCAAGATTGGTTTATTTAATTAAATCCCAGTTAATCACTCAAGTCATCAACACAACTTATATTTAAACACAGTCAACGCAACTTTCAAAGGACTTTTGTAATATTATTTGCTTGATATTTTACACAAATAGTACAGATACACGACAAATATTTTCGGCCTTATGTATTGTAATCTTATTTCGTTGTTATTATATTATTATTACACTTTTGCGGGGGGAAATTTACAATTACAAAATTAAATTTTACATACATACGTCCATCCTACGTATATCCTATATATATATACCACCACCGGTTTATTTTTTGTCACGCGTGAGATACTAGCCCCCCAAAAGTGTTAAATTGTCCAAAACATAATGGTTGTACTGTTATTATTTATTACAATTATTATTAATTTCGCTCATCATCTTTTACAACATTTTCACTTTAAATGCCCAATATACAAACTTTATCTCGACCACATGCGAAGAAGGAGGAGAGAAAAACAGTGTGATGCTACATATATAATTAACAAATATTATTTTTAAAAGTGTTTAGCATTCAAAGTCGCAGTCAAAGAGTGCTTGATTCATCATCACATATAGAGAAAATTATTGAGATTCGATTTAGAAGAGATGTTCTATATATGACTACGTAAAAATGGTTATGTATTATTGCTTACTATGTACTACTACATCATTAAAACTATGAAATTTGACTCTATATGATGATTATATAAGAAATTATTACTGTTAAAATCATTTACTGATGACTACAGACACACCTGTGTTGTGAAATGACAATTGAACAATTACATATAGATATATACATAATACTTATGTGATTTTGTGATGTAATTTAATTTTAATTTTGAAAAATATTATCGTTCATTGATTAAAAGTTACTGTCAATTGTTAATTGAAAGGGATAAAAAATGAGATTCATTATTATTTTTCGGCATATTATGAAATGAAATGAATTGATTGATTTATTGATTTATTATTACAATTATTTGATTTCTGACTTGATTCAATTTGTGTAATTCATAAAAGAAACTTACTCAACAAATTGAAATTATACAAAAACAAATGATAAAATATAAGATCAATGTCAATTAGTTAATGTTTATGAGGGATCTTGAGCCTAGTCTTTTGCCCTAAAGTTTTATTTTATACAAGTAAATGTTGTCTCATAGTTAATGATATGATGATGAGTAAAAAAAAAACACAACTGGGTAATTAAATTATGATTACGCTAGTCTGCTATTCGACTACTTTTTCATCTCGATAGTTAAAGCCCTGGATGCCCAGCGAACAGCATATATTATTATTACACATAGTTAATTACTGAATGCTATATTAAATATCTTTTCGTTCGTGGACGTAGCTCGAAGTTGTGGTTGCTACACATTATGGTTACACATGAAATGAAACTGATGATGATTATCTCTATGTATAATCAATTGAGTACCTTATTTAGCTATTTTCAAAAATATATGTATTGTAAATAATGCGTACCGACGCTATCGCTATGTGTGGAAAAATAAAAATATACGTTTCGAAATTTGAGTGCGTCATTAGATCTTAATTCATAAAGGAATCATCATGGTGTCGCCCAAAGTAAAATTAGACAGTATACTTGAACGTTTGGCAATTTATGTCGATTTTATTGGGTTACGAATTTTTGAGAAATCATATTATGACTTACACATGTACATGTTGAGTAAATAATTTATAAAGGCATAGAAAATTTGGCTATCATAGGTATTCAAAGCTCATATGTAATAAGCGTTAAAACAATTTATTCCATGATTTAGGTTTTGGATTGTTATGTTTGCCAGATTTTTTCGCGACTTGAACTTCGCCCAATGCGGGGAAACCATTGGTACTTGCAACGCTGCTTTGCTGGCCTGTTTTCATTGCTGCTGTTGGTTTCCACATATTTTGTGGGGTTTCTCCCCACTTGGATGGAACTGATTGAAAGCTTGGCGACGATTTTGGAGTGTCTTGTTGGGGGTGTGAAAAATATGGCTTGCCAGGGCGTGTGTCTGGGTGAGTATTATGAAGAGGAGGATGCCGAACATTTGGATTCCAACAACCGGGATTATTGCTGTCACTTGTTTTCATTTCTTCCCCATAATGGTGTTTATTTGTCACTATTTGTCCTTGTCTTGATGTTTGGAGAGGATTTTGTCTAGATGAATCATAATTTCTCCCTTCTTGATGCAAAGTTTCTTTTGATGTACGCAGTGGCACAAGGGAAGACATAAGCTGTTTTTGTTTTTGAGTTGAAACAGATATCAAATAGAAAACATCTTCCCTCCCCTTATTTTTGATGTCGAGTTCACTAATTATTTTAAAATTGCCCCCAAAGTAATGCACTAAAAATTGAATAAAATGAACCTCATTTTTGAAACCCCAATGAGAAACAGAAATACGTGCCCAACCAAAGATATCACAACAAAGAATAAACGCTTTGGAAAGTTTAACAATGCCGAATTTCCAGTTAACAATGATTTGCAGCTTGTGCCAAATGTTTGAAAACATTTGTATCGGAGTTACAATAAGTCCATCAAGGCATTTGGGAAAATATAGAACTTCTGGATATTCTGAACAAATTTTTTGCATGAAACACAATTGCTGGCCATATTTGCTTATTAATTCTTCATAGTTGGCAGAAGGTGACAATTTCCTGATGCTTAGTTTTCTAAGCTCGGTGGAAAGACTTTTGGCCGTAATCCCGGTTGGATATTTCCTCACGATGGAGATAATCTGGTTTACGAGTTCTTGTCCCATACCCCTTAGACAGGCGGACGGAACGGTGATTTTGTCCAAATTAATATCCGGATCAAATTGGACCAGTCCGTCAAGAGTCCTTTTTTGTGTGACATACTCATTTTTTATGTCTTTGGCAGATTTCTTCCTTCTTGGTAAAACAAATGGGTCAATCGAGATGGGAATGTTGTATAAAGAAATCTGAAAAGGGTTTGATTCTGGGAAAAATATAGAATCCTTTGATGTAGCATGTGCATTATTGCTATGATTATCATCTTCTTCTATCATGGTGAGGTCAAAAAAAGTTGGTTGAATTGAGGTTACATCATCATGCACAACAATTTCAGTTTCTTCCCTTATCCAGTCTCTGACCTGTTCCAACCTTTCTTCTTTGTAGTTTTTAAAGAGTAATTTGAACTTTGGATGAGATTCATCCATTGATCCGTACAAAGAGAAGAGTTCCTGCGTCAAAAATTTATCAGTGTAATGTTCTATTGAGGAGACAGGCTTGTTTTTTCTAATATCTTGAATTCTTTGGTTTCTTTCCGTTTCAAACTTAGTAGATACATAGGTTGCGTATTCATTATAGTTTAAAATCGGGTCGGCTGAAGGATGCTGAACTCCATTGCATTTCATTGGAAGGTTTTGGTCGAGATCATGGTAAGAGTTGCTGAAAGACATGGTGGTTTCGGTTTGATTCAGTCGATTACAACTGTAGTATTACGGTTAAAATTCCTGTAACAATGCATACATCGTCAGTCAGTACGTGGCTGGCATATTTATTTTAATTTTAAAATTTAAGACGCACGTGAATATGAAGTGGCAGGCAAAGTTATCATCAACTCTGATCGAATATAACAAACGATAAATCTTGGGTACATATATCGTGTAAAAAAGGCTCATATAATGTATAAGAGTGAAACATGGGATATCTCATTTCATTTTGTCATCACAATCACATCAAAGGCTTCTGGTGAAATTAGTAATAATTTCCAACAGGCACTAGGCACTCCAGATCAGGTCATAATTTGTCATCAGAACTAAAATGAATGAGAAATATAACAAAATCAATTTCTGCAAGTGAAGATATAATTTACATCGATGTAAAATAAAATATATTATGTAATCGCATCATAAGAAAAAGTATATATTAACAATTCACAGTATAAATACATAAAACTTACCAATTTCACATGCCGAATAAATTTCATACACAATAATATTTGTTCATCCGCCCCCACCGAAATAAGAAATGTCAGATATATACGTTTTTTACTTCTTCCAAAACACGATGAACGGATCACAGATTCCACCGAACTTCGTTTCACCCGAACATTGACAACAACCCGATACAATTTTTCAGAAGATGAGATTGCGCCACACTCGAGATATATGGTGGCTCTCAGGCTACAAATTCGCACTCTCGTCAGCCAGCAGCAATGTCCTACAACATAACAAAAGTGCAAAATGAAGAAGACTCGTTGCAAAAATTAGAGACATACAATAGCAATAAAAAAATAATACGTTGATTCATACGCGAATAGGGAGAGAGAGAGGCGATCAAGTATTATATGGATGAAGTTTAGAGTGGAATATAATAATATTTGTAACTTGGTAAATAGTAAATAGGAATGGGAAGCAACAACCGGAAGATATATCCTTCAGCTGCTGGGTCGTCTAGTCGAGGTGGTGGACGGTGCTGGGGTTAGAGCGTCCACAGCCCACGATGCCGAATTGGCGACCACAAAAACCAAAAGTCTTCCCGTACGTCCCTTTCATTCAGTTTCTTCTTCTTCGCTATCTCCCATCCCGTGCTTTTGATGTTGATATTATTCTTCAGCCTCGATGGGAAGATTGCGTGTGTGTGTTATGTTATGGTACAAGTTTTACCTGCCTGCCTGCCTGGTGGTGTAGTGACAGTCTTTAATAATCTAACAATTTTGTTCTCTTCTTGTAAGTAATTCAATCCTTTCCATTCCACGTTTGATGGAGAATACCACACCAAAAGACATCGCATCCATAAGACATAATAAACCTGCGAACGAATGAGTGAGAGACCTTATTATTGTTGTTGTTAATATACACACCAAATGGATACGAGCAAAGATAAGCACATAGAATAAGAATGTACTAGACAATATCGGTGCAAATGTTCAGCTGCTTTGAATTATGTGTTGTTCTGAATGTGGTGGTGCTATAATAAGTATGATGATTTGACTGGGTTGGTAATAGTTGGTTCGTGCCAGTGCCGAGAACATTTTACTCTCTTATCATCCATTGAAGAACATTGGCTGACAAAAGTAATGTAATCTGAGTCTTAATAGATTTTTGTTTTGCAAGAAAGAAATTGATCTGTTTTCACAAAAATCCATTCCACAAAAAACGGTATTTGTCCTGTCAAAACCACAGACGAAAAAAATCTGGTCGTGCCTCTATCGCAGCCGTCGTATTGTCATCGTCCTATCGAAGTTCTTTAAGATTGGACAACGCCATCGTCATCATGAAGAAATCATCAACACATGATCCCTTATTTACTTCTTCCACCTAGAAATACAAAAAGTCTACGTCGGGGAAAGGAGGAGGAAAGCGTTATACATTCGGCACTGACGACGTGTTTGATCAAATTTCAAGATTGCACTACTACAATACAAATGTGGCTCAGAACCAACAACCAACCAGGGAGATCAACCACCACAAATTATTTCAATTTCTAAGAAAAGCAAAGCATCAAGTGTTCATGGTCACACTCTTCGATTTAACCCATCAATAATGATGAGTGATTCCAGTAATAAATAAGCAATTGTTACGTATGTAAGTGTTCCATTCACTCGGAGGAGAGGAAACTATGCAAGGAAAATCCGAAGACAACAGAATGCTCCACACCAACTTGCCTTATCATCATGCCTTCTGTAAATCAATAGAACAATGTAAGTTTTAATCCTCTCATTCATTGCATTAAGTCCTCTTTTATTTGTAGATTGTGTACTACGTAGTTTATTAAGCTATCAAACCAGAACCATAGTACGTCAATATGTAATGTACCTATACAGCATTAAACTCTAACCATAACGTCAAGCACATTGCAATTTTCGTAATTTTCGGGCAATATGACAAAATGGAATCAAGAGTTATAATTTATACCACATCAAATGGTCGAAATACAATTATCCTGTGCAAAAAGTATATACCACAAAATGAATCGACTCGGACTTTAGATTAGGACAACGAAATCTTATACGCGGAATCATTTTTTGGAAAATTACTCTGTAATGAAGTATTAAATAATTAGCTTTATTTACCCGTCTCATATTGTAAGGAAGGAATTAATTTTAGTTTAAAAAATGTTTAAAATGCATAAATGTCGTATTTTTACTTGAATCGGAATGAATGACAAAAGACATTTATGTTTTACATAAATGCAAATCATCATACTGCTTCTTCCATCCTGTTGCAAGAGCTCCATTATTTAAAGTTAAATTTAAAGCCCATCAAGTTATTTATTGTTTAGCTCATTCTGTCTGCCATATAAAATATTTATGAAGAAATATCTAAAAACAATCCTTTCTGTTCAAGTATTAACCAACCCTTTTCCAGCATTATAGTTAACATGCACATATTCAGCCTAGCATCTCTCTCTTAACTTCTGACTATTTAGTATTTATTGCTAACCACCCTTTTTTGCGTCGTTCCCCCAAAATGGTCTCTTCCTGGTTCTTCTTCTTCTTTTTCTTCAGTTACATGAATTCAGATCGTAGTCAGCTATATAGAAGCAATCCATATGAACAAAAGAAACGGAAGGGATGTAAAGGTTTCATTTACATCAGAGATTCCAACACAGGGTTATAAAACCTGTCCGCTTTAGTCCCTTGTCATGGTAAGCAGACATTATATACATTTATTTTATGCAGAGCTTTGTAACTCTGACTAAGGTTAGTGGTCAATCTGAAGTAGGTATTCTGCAAAGCTGGCAAAAGGGTCACCTTCCAATATGCTTTGCTCCACTTATCAGGAAAGAAAGGAAAAGGGTAGGACACCAGGCCGCATACTGACATATTATCACCGGAAGAAGTTGTGGAATTATAATAATAAAAGGAATGGATTTGACCTATGCACAGACCAGAAGCACAATGCATAACAACGTTTTATGAATCGTACTCGTGTGTAGGTAGACCCGAAGCAAAACTATTAGGAACACTGTTGTGGTTTGGTTGGTTGGTTGGTGGAGAAATGTAGAAATTTAATAGCAACCTCAAAACTTTGAGACTCATTAGATATTTACATTACATAATTTTATTATTATCGACAACTTCACTTACAGCTCTACTACTCACTGGGTTGGTTGGTAGCTTCTCTCGTCACCACCACAATAATTCATGACGAAACCAAAAGGTTTCACAATAATTTATTTCCGAGGTTAAAGCACTCATCGCTTTGCAGAATATTTTATATTATTATCAAACTGTCTGCTGTGTCTACAGCTTTTACTACTTTTTCGTCTTTCTTCACTTTGTGGTACGTACATATGTACATATCCTCCTCCATGGAGGGATAAGAAGACGACGATAGTATGGTGTCGAAAACTGAGTATGTATTCCTCGACTTGTGTTATGTAGGATAAAATTCTCATCGTCATTTTCACCAGTAATAGTAAAGCTCGAGTCAGGATGAGATGGTTTATAAACAGGAGCAAAATAATAAAGTCATCAAATTTTGTTTGCGTTTCCTCCTTTCAAGTTTTTACGTTACATTACACACTTGGATTTCTTGTGGATCTTCTCTATCTCTCTTCTTCCGAAAGAAACTCCGACCTGAAAAAAAATATGCGTTCCTCATTTCGACTTAAAAAATATTGGATGAGGGAGGAGGAGGAAAACTGCTTATAGATGAGGAGGAAAGAGTAAAAAATAGTGATCATAGAACTTAAGAGCGTATAAAAACTCAGTTAAATAAAATCTCTTAAAGTCCTCCTCCACTGCTGCTGGTCGTATAGGCATTGCAAGTGCTTCCGTTTTTCTGTTTGCCATCCATCGTGGTCTCGTCGTTCATTTAATGGATTCGCATATGACTGGAAAATATGTCGAGAAAGTTGAGAGATCGTGCGTGAATGAATTATTGTACATGAGGAGCAGGGTAGTAAATAGGAGGCTCGGAAATTCATCTCGATGTACCGATTGTGTACATTTTTAGGAATGCGGTGAAAACAAGCAGCCATTTTCATCTCTCCTCTGATCTGTTTAAGTAATAAAGTTAAAAACTACTACGGGACGACGATGAACGGAAGGAAGAGGAGAAAATAGAAATGTGGACGAGTTAAAGACAGAAAAGATGTAATATTTGGCTGGGGTTGGATTATTTATGCATGTTTCGTGGTGGCGATGCATGGCGCAGAGCGTAGACATATTAATACTTGAGTTTTAGCTGGAACAAAGCCGTGAAATTTTGGTGTACACATAAAAATAAAAAGCTCTTTGGGAAATGGAAATTTGATTTTTTATTTATAATTTTTGATAGATTTTTTTCCAGTGCATACTCTATATTCTAATTTTTCTTTTTACAATCACGAATTTTAGGCAAGAGAGAAGATTGATCAATTTATGTCCCTATGCACATGTGGAGCTATTTACGGGCTTGTGATAGAAATATTCTAGTCTCGGAGTTAAGCCCAATGTCGAATTCATTAGCATCAATCACAAATAGATCAAAACAAAATTTCTTTGCGCGTGTGAATATTGACTCATAATTTAGACCTGTGATTTGATCATCCTCTTCAATTACCCATCCGTTAATTTCATTTATTTGTCTGATGTTACTCGAACAACGCCAACGCCAAGCATCACGCTCTTGCCTTTGATCTCCTTTTTTAACATCTTTTGATAAATGTCACGCCACTGCCTGAAGCTGTTTGTCGTAAGTGATTTTCTCAATAAAGCATTAGGGATTCAAGGACACTGTAATTTTGCAAATGAAGAAAAAAAAATCCCGTTCTGTAATTCGGAAATTTGGCAGAATCTTCATGTCCAAAGTAATAGTGTGTCTTGTAATTATATCAGAATAATAATAATTGTAATTTGAAATTGTGATTGGATAGGGTGATTAACGTACATACCCCATAAACATTGAACTATGGGCCATAGCTGGAATTAGTCAGGGAAGTCTGGCAAACCTCGGCGACAAACTGACTTTGGCAATATTAGTCAGGCCAAATCTGGCCCATATACATATTCCCGTAGTCCGACATCTGTGGGCCAGAGTCGCCGCATAGTTTGCATCCCAAAGTCTGGCAACATTGCGGCAGTTATTATCCGGCCCACTTTGGGGAAACATCTGAGCATTATTTCATCTTTTTGTCAACGGACAACATTATTTTGGCTCCGTCAGTCATTATTTCTCGCACCATGGCCATTAGTATTTCGAAAAAATTTTGTGTTGTGCAATTTCTAAAAGAAAATTCTTTTGCTGCCGTCCCCTCTAAATGGATCATTGAAGAAGAAGGAAACTTGATGTGCAGGTGGCCAAGAGGGACACAACTATTAGATTTAATTAAGAATCCTGATAGCATTCCTAAGAAAACGTGGAAGAAACTAGGAATCAAATTATTCCGGTCCTTCGGTAGTGGTGAGTTCAAATTACATTACATTCTGTTTATTATTTGTGTTCTGGATTTCTAATGTAATAAATATTGAAAAATTTACAGATGAATACGAGTTAGCAAACTTCAATGTCGACCAGGCCAAAGTAATTAGTGGAGGCGAGAATCAAAGTGGTTCGCTGTCCAGCGACAAAGACGAGGTCAACGAAACGGTCGGAGTTAAGAAAACAAATAATATAATATCGACTGATCTGTCCGTTTCTTCATTAACTGCTCCACCGCTAGGTAATTTAATTGCAGCCTTATGTCATAATTATGGTTGTGCTAATTTTATTGTCCCGATAGATTTTAATCAAGATTTGGAACTCAGTCCTGTCAGCCCTACCACTTCAAACAATTTACAGGAACCAGTGATTTTGGTGGATGACCAGAGAGAAGGTTTTACACAAAATGGTGATAATAACTCTCAAAATGCACCTGATTTGTCTACTCCAATTTTAATTCAAACCCTTCCTTCAGAGTCTGACAAAGGTAGTTAAATAATAAATTGGCATGCTTTATGTACATATTTAGTTGTCAATTAACGTAAAAATAAATTCTACAGTGTTTCAAGAGACCGTGATAAAACTTTTGGTGGATCTCAAGACTGAAGTTGCTGTCCTCTCAAGTAAAGTGGCATCTCTAACTAAATTTGGAAAATTAGACAATATAAGTGCATTTCCATTTGAGAATGAGATGCAATATATTAAACGAACATTACGGTCCAAGCGTCATCCAATGCAGCAAATGATTAATAGAATTCACGAGAGGCAAAATATTCACAAAAGTAAAATCCCAGTAATTTATAAAGGTCTTGGGTTTAGTTTAAAATCTGGTTCCGTCGTTACTTGCAAGAAAGGGAACAATGTGGTCCTCTTGAATAGTGGTGAGTGTGTATTAATTAATTATATTAATAATGATATATGTGAGGGTTTTAAATTTAAAACAATTAAAAGCTTGTATGATCATCCCTGTCAAAGTCAGAACGTACACATGTACTTATGTGCAGATATTGACACAAACAAGATACAAAATGTTATATGATTCCTCATTTAGAATTGGACACATTTGTGTGTGTCGCGCTACTTTAATTTATGTTCTTTTAGTGTATCTAATTAATTTTGTTAAATGTTATTCATAATTTTTGTATGTAGCTGACGCTTAATTTAATTCAATAAGAAATAAAAACATATATGAAGGATATATATAGTATATATTTCTCTGGCATTCGATTGGCACATCTCTGGCTGACATATGGCATATGAAGCGAACCCCCAGGCCGAAGTATGGGTCACTTCTGGGATTACTTCGGCGGTTGATATGGGCCAAAGTTGGACCAGTCGCGAACCATAGATGGTCAATCTCTGGCTATTCCTTGGCCCTGTGTTAGGCTAAGTGCGGCCCATCTCTGGCCGACATCTCTGGCACATAGCTTTCCCTGAGGTCAAATCGGGTTCTAGGCCAGACTTCACCCACTTGCATGGGCCATACATGGGCCAAAGATAAAATGTTTATGGGGTAGGTAAAACTAGATTACAACCCGAGTTATGCAAATTCATGACTTGTGCATTATCGTGTAGGGGTAAATTCTGCACAATTGGATCATCATCATCATCCGCGTCCCCTATATTTTAATGTGGTTTCGTAATTACAAGTTATTTGAATTAGCCCTTGAATCTCAGGAATTATAATAATGTTGGGCTGAACAAATCATGCTTAGTTGTTCAGTATGTATGGATGTATGTATATGTATGTATGTACTGCTGTAAACGAAGGTATGTATTTACGTAGGCTGTCCTGTCGATAACAACTCGGTCTTAACAGTGTTAAGTTAACACTCTTCTTTCATTTGGGAAAAGAAAACATGAGAAACTTGTCAAATTTTACTTTTACAAGTTACACAAATAACTGAAACTATACACAAGTCTGTCCATGCCGTCTGCAAGATGCGATAGCGGGATCATGAGATGAGTCATGCACATTTATTCCCTACAAATCCTTCTCATCTTTTCTTCTTGGACTTTTGGACGCTACTGTTTTTCTTCCTAATGCACGATGAAAGACTTTTGTGCTCGTTGTGTGGTGACAAATCTTTCAATTATTGCCCAACTCATCATCATGCTCCAAGAAAGAAAGAAAGAAGAATAGCACAATCTCGACATATTATTTATTTATAGGAATCGCTTAATCCTTTGTTAAGAAGAAGAAGAAGAAGAACTTGCATAAAACGGAAAACAGTTTCATGGAATAAGTTCTTCTCACCCTTTGTAAATTGGTCCATCGCATCGCCACTATTGTCAGTGCCACTCTTGTTTGTCGTGACTCATTCTTTCCTTCCTTTTACATGCAATAACTATAAAATTTAAGTAAACCCTTCCTCCTCCAAGCTCTGTTTTTCTTCTGCGTGTGTAATGTACCAACCAACAACTCTTTCGTCTCAAGTCTGTCCATTCACTTGTACACGTTTTCAGCATGTACATCTTCTCCTCTGGTTTAAAGGTTCCTCTTTAGTTTAGCTAGTAGTTAGTTCTCCTTTCTTCTTCAGTTCTTCATCCTCAACAACAACTATGCTTCAACTATGCAAAACGTTGACCACAAAGAGTGAGAACCAAGCTCAAGTTTAGTTTAGTTCGAGTTCCGATTCGGATACAATACTTTGCAACTATGTTAATCAGTGCTGTATAAATACTTTAATTCTCATGTGAATTGATCGCATATCTTATTTTTGATCCGTGTGCGCATCCTGCATTGGTGTCCGTCGGTATGCATGGAATATTCGTGGTGACGAGGAGTGTAGAAGCATTTCGACAACACGACAAGTTTTGAATTTAGTAAACGGCTTTGTCAACCAGGTTGTATTGATACGTTGGCCATTGTGATTGTGGTGACCACTCGTAAATGACTTGTCACGAAGGTGTGAAAATGCAGGAAGAATGTGATTTGATAGCTGCTCCTAAAATGTCAACAGATACAGATCACACGAAAGTATTCTTGGTGTCGTGGTGAGTTGTTCAGTCATTTGATAAGTAAACATTATAAATGTTTATGTTCCTGCGTCCGGTTCTGTGGTTGTCACATTTTATTGCTTTTCTTGATTGCAAATAACACATATATTTACAACATAATACACACACAGATTTGAAAACGGGGCCCACACAATTCCCTTTTGAATAATTAGCACGTATTTATTGGCGGTAGGCGGTAGGATAGACATTATTTACGTCGTGATAACCTGATGTGCCCAACATGCGTGTGCAGTACATCGCTCGCTTCCTAAAGCAGATGCATACGACAAGACGAGCTTTGAAGAGTCAAATAGAGTTCTGCGGTAAAGTGGTTCATTGAAATAAATAGAATTGGAGCGAGCAGATTAGATTAGCTGAATTGAACGAGGAAGTTAAAAAGTGCGTAAATTAAATTGGAAAAGTGTTTTATCTCCGTGTTGAGCATGTGTGTGTGTGCGAGGATGAGTAATAATACGTACGTACGTATGTGTAGAAAGAAATGCATAAAAACAGTTTCTGGAAGGAACATATCGCTCATTATTCGTCATAAAGTTCTTACGGTTTTTGATATGATGCAGTTGTAAAACGACGAAAATTCCTTGCGATGAGTCAGTAGTAAAAGATTGCATGTATCTAAACTCGTCCACTTCCACTTAATAATGTCAATTTAGATTGTCTGCTTACTTGCAAGATTTGTAGTGTTGAGGTTTGTAAAGTCCGGTTCATTACTTGAGTTGTATTTAGCAATGGTTTTAATATGAGTCGAGTTACACATATTAAAATACGAAGTTAAAGAGCGTGGATCCACAAGGAAAATAAATTCATGTGTAATGACATCACGATAAAGCAATGAAGGAAATAAGAGACTAAACATTCTCGTCTAGAAAACGTATAATAACCTGATTCATGCACTCTCGTTGTGGAGGAGGAGGAATTTAACGAGGAAACTGATCAGGGAGCGTCCATAAATCACGTGATCGATTTTTGGACAATTTTGACCCCCTCCCCCCCCTTGGTGACAGGTGGTGATAATTTCGCTACCCCCCCCCCCACCGGTCACGTGACAGGAGATGATGCTCAAATTAAATCATGTTGTCCGGTATAACAATATTTTTTAGATCATTAATCAAATTAGAGCTACACTACACACATGTGTACATAACTATTTAATACGCCAGTCGGACATAAGAATTTAAGTCGAAGCAAGTTTCTAAATATGCAAAATGAAAATCAAAATATAACGTGCGCGTGGTATGCCAACAGAGTTTATACATAACTCTCATGACATTTATTGGCATATACAAAAGTTATAAAAAAGTTTACTCATGTCACGTGACATCTGACCATCTACCCCCCCCCCCCCCTCGTGATAATTGGTGACAAATTTCAGACCCCCTCCCCCCCTCTAATCGATCACGTGATTTATGGACGCTCCCTCAACCAGTCTAAAAATTTCAAGTTAGATTGCATATGAATGTTAATTGACCGCTGGGCTGGGCAGACATGTGTATGATGATAGTGACATAATGCAGCAGTTATCGTGCAACCTTATCTGTGCTACATGTGTGCGTTGAGTTGAGCCATAAACTAACTATGCATCCATCTCTTGTGTCTTATGATTGTGCGTAGCTCATCTTGAAGGAACCTTCACAACCTACCAGATAGCACTCGAAGAGATGGAAATGCATGATTACTTATTGGAGTGGAATGAGTGAGTGAATGGTTGTTGAAAAGAGAAAGTTAACTTTGGTTTATTGCAGCAGAACAACAACATTTAAAGCAATTTATATCTTCAACTTGGCCGGATGAGATGCCAGAACTGAGATCGGCTCCCAGAAGTGTGAACGATTGTAATATTTAACTCTAGGACGGATTTTTCTTCCAACTTTTGAGCATAGTATCATGAGGTCTTGAGGTCATGCAGGCTTAAATTCAGTTGGAATGACCTCACTTAGGCACTAGAATTGGAGGTATCATAAAAACATTTTCCAAACTTATTTATGTATGATAATTAATGTGGCCAAAGCCTGGAGATTATTAATAATCCAACCTTTGATGAGTAGTCTATGGAATAATAAAGGAATTCGACATGAATAACCTAACGCTGGCCTTCCATTATCCTCGATGCATTATTGCCACAACAAGTGCAAAGTCGGACCTGTCTTAGAAAAATTTACCTGGTGACCTTAATAAAGAACTCACCAGCATGCTGGGTGTGAAGCTTAAAGTGTCTCAGAAAATTGAAAGTGACTTCCTAATTTTTGAAAATATACATTGGATAAACAGTGCGGATTTAAAGTGGCCAAATCGTTCCCACTTAAGAGCGTCAGTCTCAGTAAGAGAGGAAATCCTGCATTGACTGAGGGCGAATAGGTAGGAACGTTGATCTTTTAATGTCCAAAATTGGGCATGAGATAAGAGTTATTGGATGATTGACATAATCACGTTACTCTTCAAATAACAATAGAAATAAAATAAATGGTACGAAATTTCATAATGGATTTAAGACTAATTAGAAATTGTTATAAGTAGAAGTGAAACAAGTATAATTACTCGTTGCAATTATAACTTGTCCCATTTTCTAAATAGATTCAGCCAGATAAATAATACAGATTTTAACTGTCCGCCCTATAACTTTTTCTTGTAATAACTAATCAAATTCGAAAATTGTTGCAACGGTGATTAACTACGAGGCCAGCGGTATGGTAGCAATTCGCAATAACGGGACACATTTTTCTTGCTTCAAACACACAAAATTACACACACACACACAAAACGTTAAGATTAGACGGCGTAATTATAATTTGGTTAGTCATCACAGCACATATATCACATAATGAGCAGTAAAATAATAACCAAGTCCTTGCTGACATAGGGAATGTGTATGGATTACAGATATCGGATTTTTTTCTTCTTGGTATCATCAAAAAATCATCATTGTTACACGTTCCACTATTGTTATTAAGCAGAGATGTATCGATAATGTTTAATATTTCACTCGTGTGTGTCTCCCTCTCAAGAAATACTAATGGATTCAGTAAAGGAGAAAAAGTGATTCAAAGCGTGGAGGCATAATAACGACTTTGGTTGGACATTCTCATTTTATATCAAAGTCAATTCCACATCCTTCGCCTGTCTTGCTCTTGTCATACGCATCCCATCATCATCCTTATTGTTTCTTCTTCTTGTGCATATTCCTCCCAAGCAATCGATAGCCGAGCAAGAGTGGAAAAAAGTAATAAGATGGGCCAGAGGTAAAAGAATTACCGTGGGGTTTAGTCAGTCAGCAATAAGTAAATGGTCTGAGCCGCACATGCCAATAATCAATCAATATTACCACGATCAGAGGAAAGTATGAGAGAAATCTAATAATATGCTTGGTGTAACTGGCTTACAAAATATTATATTTCATACTTTGTTACCAGCTCGTACATAAATAATATTGGTGGAGGGAGATGTTTCAGTTTTATACTGCGTATTCTATCCCATTGGACAATTGCATTGTATCCACGCACCCATCAAAGGTAGATAGTTTGATGTATGATGTAAAGATGAGTTTTTGGCCAAAGGTTTAAGGTTGCGAGAATTTACATAAGTCACAAAAAAAACGAAAAGTCGAATGGAGAATTATCAATCATTGATTGTTTCGCCGAGATGAATTCATGTGGAATTAAAGGCGAAAAAAAGTTGAATAATTTTATTTCGCAAAGGCATTCGAACTTTAATTATTCAACCAAACATAGTGCATAATGCGTGCATGCATGATATATAAAAGTTATTAATCAACTCTTAAAAAGTTTGTTCGTTTTTATGTAAGGCAATTAAACTGATTTTATGAGCATATTTGTTGCCAATAGCTGTAAGTGATATGCAATATGCATATGTATCTACTAATAATGGTAAGTGGGGATATATTCATACATGTGATCCTGTCGTGGTCCATTTATAGTTGCAACACTTAAAGAATCTTGTAACAAAGTCCAATGCATTAATTTTCTTGGTGCACACAAACGTTATTATTGCTCAAATCTGGCGTAGGTAGATGAAAGATAGAAATTTCTAAAATTGAAAAAAATTATACATTAATGATGTTTCCCTAATCTATTAACGCATCTCTTTATGTTTGTTGCTTTGTAATTATTGTTGCATTAAGCACCACATATAATTTCAACTTATTAGCGAGACTGCTTCACATCCCTGCGATCATCATTATTATTCAATTATACGTGTCTCCATTATTTTGAGCAGATTTGCTTATAACCATGCACACACACGTCATTAAGCCAATTCGATCCCTTCTCGGAACACTCAAGGATGTGATTGAAATTGCAGGGGTTGAGATTCTAAATGACAAGACTTGTTCCGAGCAATATTGTTCTTTCACCGATCATAATTTATTTTGAACCAATTCATCATTCCGAGCACGTGTAACATATTAGCGATTGTGGAAAAATAAGCTCAAAATAACACAAATTGAGAGCAAAATCGTAGAGGTGAATCGGACTTCCGACTCAACCAGGTTTACCCGGACCTGATCCGACTAGGTTTTGAAGGGTCGGGTATGAAACAAGTCGGGGGCTCGGCCATTCTCAAAAACAGTGACCCGACGCATCTCTCAAAAATGGCTAAATTGGCTTTCGGAATAATAATAATAATGAGCACACGAGTTGTTTTCTTCTCATCTTCCCTGCTCATTTCATCGGATGAGTGGATTTCAATTGAATATTATCTAAATCTCTCAATCAAATCATGTAACTTTTCCCTGTCGGTCAGTTTCTTGATCTTTACATAGTCTTCAGATTTGTGGCTTTGCTTTGTCGTACGAGATTGAAGGATTCTTCTCTAGTTTTATAGTAAGCGAAATCTTCTGTGTAGCGAGTTTGATATAACAAGACTTGTATGTTGGTGGTTATTTTGATAGCTTTGTGACGAAATTGGTATCAAAGTATTACGGAACGTACGTATGTACATACGTACATAGGTCCTACGTACATACGAGTGAATAATTAGCAAACCCAATTCCAGAGATGAATGTGATATATGCAATTTGCAAGTTGCAATTATTATTTTTACACGTTTTGTTCTGCTTGTTACAGATCTGCTGCTTGATGAGAGATTCCGGATGAATGACTTTTTATCCCCACCACCACACCACCACGATTGCTACTACAACATCCAACCAACGTTACAAAATTAATAAACCTTCAACCCCATAAGACGGGACCCCCACCAAGATAAGAAAAATAGAAGAAAGCCTTCTCGCCACGATATTATTATTACTACTACCACTTCTACACACGTACATACTGTTCATACAAACAAGCCACCGACCGAAAGTCACAACTTTTATAGATCATCATTCCATTTTAATTTTACGAAAAGAAAGAAAAGGAGTCTGAACAAATTGCCAGTTCATGAAGGGAACAAGTAAAGTCATGGAATAAGTACAACCACATTCTTCTCTCGATTAAGACTTGAGAGTCCTGTGAAAAGAGTATAATTGGAAGAAGAAGAAGAAGGCGAAGAAGGGAAGGAAGAACATTTGGAGGACGGATAGCAAAAAGGTAAGAAAATAACAATAATACCTACAATTTCCGAGATACGATTAAGAATTGGATCGGAAATGAAGCTTCACTCGCAGTTTTCCTCCTAAATCTCTGTCCGCTCTCATTCGCATTATCCACTTCTTGTGTGATGCATATGTATCTAAATGCATATACGCAGTACCAGTAGTGTAATTGGATGGATGCAAAGTTAGGCGCAATTTTACAACATAAATTTTGTAGCAACAACAATAATAATAATGGGAACACATCATGCACTTTACGGGATGAGTTGTTGTTATGATTGATAGGCTCACGAGAGATGCTACACACACAGAGACCGGAAGATGATGGTGAAAGCTCATTGCTCATGCAAGCCGTAGTACATAGCTCCTGCTGCATAATTAGGACAATTGTTGCACGGCATGAGTTTATTTTCAGTAGTTTAAAAGCTGTTAAGCAGTGCTGAACAAGGAGGAGGCACAAAAAGACACCAAGAAAAAGAAGACGAGTCTCGTCTCTCTCGTAAAAAATCTCAATATCGCGACAAAAGAAATGAGTTAACCTTTGTTTTTGTGTCGCCACTCTTTTCCTCACAATTTGACAAACACAGAGAGGAAATGACTTGCGACTAAACAAATTTCAGATTTCAATTCAGTGACGAGTTAAATCGCGAACGAAAAACAAGTTCAATAAATCAAGGTGTCACAAAGGAAAATCTAAATTGAAATACAACCTCGTCAGAAAACGTAAAGTGTGATTAGGAAATTTGAAAAAGCTTGCACAAAATTATCATAAGTTGTGCAAAAAAAACAAGCCGTCCTCTATTCGACTCAGTCTCAAGTGTTAATTAAACTTCAATTATCTGTCACAATCATCGTGATCGTCAAGGGAGAAGAAGAGAGCAGGAGAGCAAACAGAGGGTCGGGTTCGCAATCGAGTCCATTTAGAACTGTTTTTCAAGAAATTTTCTGCTACCCTCGAAGCAATCAGGTTTCGAAATCATGTTCACACTCATCGGTTTCACCTCGATCATCGGGTAAATAAATACGTATTTAATTAACTGTATGTGTAATTATCGAGATTGAATTACCACCATCGTCATTTCATCCCCTCTTCTTCGTCCTCGCACGCTTGAATAGCTAATGGAAAAGAAGAACAAGCAGGAGACCTTATCTGGTCGTAAATAATCCAACCTGCTCTCTGCAGGTGTGTACTTACACCGATTAAAATCACCCGTTTTCAATTTCGTTGTCATTATTATCTCGTCCCTGGTGGTTGTGAGCCGCCACTGAGTACCCTCGACCATATTTGCGACATCCATACCTCCGAAAAATCACTCCAGAGTGAAAGAGGACGGCTGCTGGTGGGTATAAAAAGGCGACAGAGATTGAGATCTGGAACAGTCCTCTCGGAACTGTGGCTTCTTCACGATCCGCACATCTTCTTTCCTCAATCTCGCTCGACCATCTCATCTTCAACCCCCATCACCACCACCACCAAGGAACGGCGAACCATTGCATTTCATCCTTCTGCCTGGAGAGATATTAATTTCATCCATTTTTCCATCCTTCCTCGCCAGGACAGCTCCACGACCAAGTCAGATTCTCATTCCGTTATCATTTCACTACTCATAATCAAATCACAACTTAATTATTCTTAATGATCATGTCGTCATTCTTGTCTGAAGCTTGTTAACAAGTCTACAAATCAGTAGTCATCATATCATCTCGTCCCTGGCCAATAGTTGGAGATTTCATTCAAAAAGGATGACCATGATCCGGCCGAGGTTTGGTAGATAGTTTTGACTTGATATGCATTTGACAATCTGCATACTCGCTTGATTGGGCTGCTAGAGAGGCAAAGTGAGACGAGAGAGTTATTACTCGGCTCCCCTCTCGTCTCTCTTTTGACTAGGAACTGACTGATAAATGAGAAGGATGAATATTTTGGTGCAGTAATAACCTATCTTGTCCATCCATGAACAAATTGTTATCTTAATCTCTCTTCAAACTATAACCATTTTGGTAGATGGATGGATGGACAAACTGACTCAGTCGTGTCCTGTTGTTTCATTTCATCACCGACTGCATAATAAGAACGTGCAGAGTTTGTCACACACTGACCGACTCTCACATTCGTCAGTCCAGTCGTCCTCTCTCTGTAAACTTGTGGGCAGAAGGAATAAATAAACAGAGTTTGTGAATTCGATACGATACGAAATCCGTTGGTGAATTTCTCACACTCTGTGGACTTAGTATTAGCATAGCTTAGTCCACCATATTCATCACAAGAACGGCAAGGAATTTACGTATCCTGTCTTGTGGGTGGTGTACATAGGATAAATAGTTTTGTGCCAATGTCCAACAGCAAATAGAACACTACAAATTTATTCCCAGTGAAATCATTTCAAGATCATCTCACCATAATCTAGCTCAGCAACGAAACAACTACGTACGTACGTGCATTTCCAACACACATACTTTTGAGTGCAAAACTATAAAATATATGTAACGAACAAATATTAAATGTTTTATGATTTCTCAAATTATTGGTGAAAACAAAGACGTATAAAAGGGGAATTTTGACGAAATCAATTCTTAAATTCCAAGCGTAATTTGATTTGAATCGTAATCTGTCATTGCATTGTACCGGCGGAACAAGAAAACATTAACCAGTTGACGCTGCAAATAGTCGTCGGTGAGTGCAAAACAAAGTATTTAAAACTTAAGCGTTGCGTCATTAACGAGAGAAAATATGTAGGTAATAGATCGGTCTGAATTCCAAGTACGTAAAAAAATCATAGAAACTGTGGTAAATACGTAATAAACTAAACTTAAACTCCTTTAATGAAGAGTTTTCCAAAATAGAAACGGGCAATATTTTTAAGTATGCTATGCGAACTATGTAATAGCCCTTTGTACAAAAACTGTGCATAATACTGGAATGAAACAATGTGCGGAAAGCAAGAAAGATGTCGAGATTCATAAACGTCCTTGTTACAATTAATTTGCACTTTTGATTCCCAAGTATTAAATATTTCACATCCAGGCAAACTAACAAGCAAACTACACAATGCTCTCTGTTGTAATGCAAAATAATATAAATCACGATCAAGGTTTCCCATAAAACATAAAGTGCTGATTATTATTATGATTGTCAATTTGGCATAACGGCCCCTAGAATTTAGACCGAGACAGAAGGAAAGGGTCATAAAAATTTAAACCAATTAAATGGTTGAATATGTGTTCAAAAAGGTTTACTACATTGTGCTTGCTTTATGCTTGGAATTGGTGGTGGTTAAGCAGAATTATTGCGGATGGGTCTTTTAGTGTGTCGAGTGGAAGTTGTCACATAATGGCTCCCAGTTAACAATGCCAATTCAATAAATTGCCATTATACGTACAGTTTTGAACCGTTTTTTTAGAACCAAGGGTTTGATTTTCAGAGATTTAATTAATGTGAGACTGCCTCTTCATTCTAGATCGTGCACGAGACCGAGGTGGTTCCTGAATTCGCTTACAACTGTAATCTGAATGACGAGTGAAATACAATTGAGAAACTATTATGGCGAACTGGACATGGTCGTATTTGCTGTTTTGACTCATTGTGTGCAACCTCAATTTCATCCTCTGCATGAAAAAACCACAGACTGCCTGCCTGCCTATGCTACACGGTATTTACCAAGTTATTTTTAATTTTCTACTTGTAATGGATGCAGGATTTAACGTTTAATTTGAATATGTGTTTAAATTTAATAGCTTCTCTCATTAAATCCCACCACCACAAACTGACTGTTGTTCCAGTTCTTGACCAACCAAAGCCAACTTCCTGGAGAGTGAATAATAATAAGCACACGAATAACTGAACGTGCTGCTATTATACAGCGATCGAGGAACGAATGGGATGGATAAGGCAGAACCAAACCAGTAAATAAACCTCAATTGCCAATTGACTCAAGTAGTACAACATAATAACACACACTATAATCTGCCAATTCATCATCGCTACCACCAGAACGAGAGAGAGAGGGAGAGAACGACTCAGTATAATCAATCAACACCAACAACAAATCAGAGTTCAATAATTACACAATCCAATCAACAAGTGGTCGTTAGATACAAAAATAAATAAATCGACAAATTCAGGGCAGGGAACAGACAAATCAGATTAGAAAATCGTCACTAATAATTCCTTCGCTTTTGAATACAATGTACCACAATTGGTGTAGTGGGATGGAATGTAGGAAATATGATAATTTACATGTTGTACGTACTTAATCTATATTAATCCGTCTGTTGTGTGAGGATTTGTTGTTGCGTTCTTGTATCCGAGATCATTGTCGATATTCAATACGTAATCGTGTGTATGTCCATGCAACACAGCAGCCTGTTCTTTGATTAGATTATCAAATAAGTGAGAAACATTTTTTGCATGAGTCGAAGTAAAGTGAGATCACGTAAAAATTCAATATATTCTGAGTGAACTAGACTATTTCAAGTATCAACAAGTGAAATTTATCTGTGATATCATCCATCTTTTGGGCAACCAAGAAAATATAAAATCGAAAAGCATTATAACGTCGTTAATATCTCGAATAAATTAGTGTGTTCTATACTACGTTGAAGAATCAAGGCTATTTTGTAAGACACATAATTTGTATACAAATATTAAATTATTCTCCCAAAACGTAAACTAATGAGCTGCTTTTTGTTGATGTTGTTTTAGAAGCTGACTTCCCTCGGGTTGCAAGAGGATACAATTTGTACCCTCATCTCATACAAGTCGGGGGAAGTGATTGATTTTAATAACGAAGCGTCGACCACAGAAGAAGACGGGGCAGTGGTCCCCGTTCTAATGGACAATAGAAATATCGGTGGAGGTCGTATGATGACCTCTTGGGCGGCCAGAATGCATCGCGGAGCTGCCTCTCTAGGAACCGTGGTCACTTCGTGCGGACATCCTTCAGCTCCTTACCCGCGTCGTATTGATAAGTGAGATTAATTTTTAATCATTTTAGTGCTTTTTAAATGTAAATTTCTAACGTTTGGACGCACAACTAATTGCAGAGTAAAATTTGGAGTTCCATTAGAAGAAGTTTGCAAGAATGACATTCCTGGACCATTGCTGGTACAAAATTGCTTGTTTTACTCTCAGAACTTCCTGCCAATAAATATTACAAAGAAAAGAATGCAAACTAATAATCTTTGTTGTTCTTTTGTCATTGCTTCAGATATTAATTTTGAAACTGAACAAAGAAGCACCGTACAAGAAGGATGTATTCAGAGCTCCTGGGCATCAAGGCAGTATGAAAAAGTTGATTCATTTTCTGCAAAATGGGCGTCTCGTTAACATTGATAACTTTTCCGTCTACACAATTGGTGCGTCTTTAGTCTAATAAATTTCTTTTGTAGATTCGAGAATCGAGATTATCAATATTTATCTATTTTAGCCTCGGTGCTCAAAAAGTTTTTAAGGAAAATTCCTGACGGGATTTTTGGCCGTGATGGGGAAGCACAACTCTTCCATATTATTGACATGACCAGTGTTGAACATCAGAGGGACCATATCCATGCGTATGTTAATTAGTTTTACCTTTATAAAATACTGTAAGGTTAAAATCGTACCAACTAACTGTACACTGGGCGTTGTTGCACATGCCAGTGTATCAGATTTCACGAGTGTCAGTGAATTGAAATTATTTTTTTATTTGAATCATATATTATAACTATTTAATGCATGGATTACTACGGCTGACGGCCATGATGAGAGTATTAAATTCCACGTATTTATACTTTGATATGTTTCAGACTGATCTCAACCCTTCCAATCTATACTCAACGTCTGATCGTCCTTTTGTTTGGAACTTTTCGCGTTATTGCTTCCAACTGCGAGCGAGCTCAGACGGGGATGACCTCAGAAGCGTTGGGGGTATGTGTCTGTGTCCTTGCTAAATTGGAATTATGTAAATACATGAGAGCCTAATGACAATAACGAATGTGGTTATTATATCAACTCGCAGGTATCTGTTGCCCCCTCATTCTTCCAAAGTTGTGTTTCCGATGGAAAACAAGCCAAAATGGAAGATGTAATGAAGTTCAAAGTAAGTGGGATTATTGTTTTCTTGGTATTATTATTGACTTTTGGTTGAAACAGTAGAAGTTGTTTGTATGTAGATAATAATCAATGAGTTTCGAGTCATATTAAAATATACCTAACCGTTGATATATCTAAGTGGATTTGATTAGTGTTGTATAGTAGTTTGTCTTGTAAATCTATTTCGTATTTCAATTTCTCACTTGTTCTGATTATTCAGATGTTTTTTTTCCTAGCGTCGGTTGGTTGGTAATTTGAGGAGGATGAGAATCCATTCATAATAGACATAGTGTACATATGTAGATTCTTATTCTGTGCAAGAGGTACCACCCACCCACCTTTTTGTCGTGGGGGTGGTTTTTCTGTAGTGTAGGTCATAAAATTTAAAGGTGTGTATTCTAACCAGATTTGTTTGAATTTGTCCTTATCTTACCCATTTATGACAAATAAATGTTGGTTCGTTCGCCGTTCACAAATTAGGCCGAGGTGGATGTAAGTCACAAAAATTGTTTCCTGTTCTCAAATGAATATAACATTACATTTGCTCTTTATAGTTTCTCCTTTGTTTTTTTAGCCCAATTGTCCAATCGTCCTTTCAATTTCAAAGTTTTATAGCCTCAGCGATTTTCATTACTTTTTATTCATATTGTTTCGTGCTCGTTCGTGGATGTGCAACAAAGTTGTTTGTGTGTGACTATTTCTGTCTTTGCTACACATAAATACATAGTGGTCAATCCTAGTAAGTATGTGACTTGTGAGTATGATGACATGAGGTCATGACCAATGTTTTTGTCGGATTAATCATGGACGTGTATTGTGTTATTGAGTATTTTCTGTTAATTGATCAGGATTATTGGGAATGTGGCAGTCATTATTGTAGAGAATACTGCGCTTTAGTCTTCTTATTAGTCGATTCGGATGGTATGGTCTTATTCATACGCAGATTAGCTTCAAGTTAGTGGCACCGCCAGCCTGAAATGCTTACATTGAGTTGAACTGATACAAAAACAAGATTAAATTGATATTAATTTGCTGAGCTATATACTTACTTATTAGTCTTGAAATCTCCTTGCATCCATAATGCTTGTGTATAGAATGGCTTCCAATGAACATGGCTGTGATTCTGCCGAGAGACAGTTTGACTTCTCTTCTCGAGAGGAGTGTTTACTTTGGTTAATTCATTTTACATTCAAGAAAGGATGGCATGCAATATGTTTGGCTACATATCCATGAGAATAGTGTTTTGCATGTCAGTCTTAGTTTTAGGAAGCAGCATACAAATCCCGATTGTGACGAGCTTTGTGGAAATGTGAATAATCCAATGTGTATTATTATATTATGTAGTCGCCTATATATATATTAATCTTAATATTGTTCTCATTCTGTGGAAAATCTCTCATCTTTTGTCAAACGCCTTACATGTCGACCCATAGCACATACTTATCTCGACAAGATATAACCCAGTGATATGATATGAACACCAGTGTTTAATGCAACCTCGCGTGTGCTTTCTCTCCTTACAGGTGGCAACGAAAATCATGAAATTTCTCATTGACAACTTTGGCGTGAGCAACCTCTTTGGCCGAGACAACTACGAGTACTATGCTCGCATTACGGGGCGAATCTTGCGGGTGGAGGAGGATTGGATCTTTAGCTTCCGGTACCCCCCAGACGCCCTCGTTTCCCGTGAGTCCCCATAATTTTTGTCCCATTTGCAGCATCCTCTTTTGTGTGCATAATAAAATTCTCCTCTTCTCACACGTTACAATAGATCATCTTAATACCATGTGTAATATAGCACACACACTTTTGTAGATTTTTTTTTCACCACAAAGTTAAGCTTATTTACTACTGATTCTCAATGATTCACCACTTCACAATGCGTCTCACTTTGTTTACGAAAATTTCCCTTTAGGAAACCAGATTTTATATTTCAGTTCCTTTCGAATAAAACAATGCTCGCTTTTCTTGAACTCACTTCTTGAACATGTATTTTTAACTGCCTATATTTATCACTTGTTTAACTCACTCACATCTTATTATTTACCTCATTTTACAATAGAAGAGGATGAAAATCCAGAACGTTGCTCCGGGTACAGCTTCATAAGTCCCATTATTAGTGAGTTCCATTGAAACCGTCAAGATAAACAGAACAAGTTGAGCATCATACATAACAGAAGACTAAAGAACGACGAGAGAACAAAAGAAACAACTTCTGCGAGAAAGACTGAGTCTGATTTTTAGGATATTCGATACTTTTACTACATTTACTTGATATTCTGTTTGTTTGCTGTACATTTGTTGAGTTAAGGTAGCATGTATTTGTATTATACGTAATCGAGAGTACGGGTCGCGTCGATCTGATTTACTACAACTTTTATATATCTATAAATGTATTATTGATTGATATTGTTGACTGATTGATTGGTGGTTTAATTATTTAGACCAATTGTCGCTTGAGGCTGAGAAACATTGGCTACAATATGAGTCGGACAGATGGGGGCTCAAATTTAATTTGGAAGGTAGATGACAAAAAGAGTAACTTTTATTGTGTTTATTAGCCGATTTTAGAGCAGATAATGCAATTAATTGATGTTGTACCCGCATTTGATTATGTCATCAATGTTGCATTTGCATGGTGAGTCAGTTATGCTAAATACTTCCTCTTGGGGTAACTGACTCTTGTGTGGGGTTGGGTGGGTGGGGGAGGGCTAATGTTGCTCAATTGTTATTGTGCTAATTGTTATCGGCACGAATGATGGGATGATATTTTTATCATGATGCATGTAAATATTTAGTTATGCATTCTCGTGCTCCAGTGACTTTGCTAGTCTTTGTTGAAAATCTCAGGTTAGATTAACAAATATTTGGGACCCCCTTTAAAAAAGTAGAGTTATTAAATTGTTGTAAATGAGTATCCAGCATTTTTTATGTATTTTGTAAAGCCTGTATATTATTGTATCAATGTTGACAATGTGTATTCAACAAAAGTTAAAAGTAACAAATGGTTACCAGAAATATTTCAACCTTACACAAAACGTAGGAAATAATTACTGTAGGAAAGTTAACAAAACAAGATTAGGAGTTAGTAAATTAATGGCTGCCGTAATTGGATTGAAGTATGAAATACATAATTGTTACGGCTGAACTGCATGTCTAAAGGAATATGTTAATGACGATTGACTGGATTTTCTTACAACGTTGGAATTATATAATACAGGGTTAAATTTTTATTTTATATAATCAACCCAACTCTTGTAACAAACATTTTAATAAAATTGATTTGTAGGCATTCGAAAGGAATTAGCGAAATTTATAGAAAACTGAAAATGAGTAACCAGCTTCTCAAATTAGGTATAAAAAGCGTAAAAGCGATGAGACGGATCCCGGACCTCGCCAGGATTGTCATTATTCCGATAACTGTACAATTACAAGTTACACTTTGAACCAATTAAGGCAGCCATTAATTATCCAGCCAGCTACTTATCCTATAGGTTTTTAGGGTATTATAGTACGATTTTTTATATGACTAGCTCTCCAACCGTTTCTTTCAAGTATTGTTAAATTCCGATTTATTATACATTAACAGTGCATAGTACAAATATTAATGGTTTCGTTTTTTAGTTCAGTTTTTTTTACTAACGCTGAAAGCATTTTGTACTGAAGTTGACCCAACCCGAGTTTTTTGTTTGTTATAAACTTGTGTCATTCACTGTAAAGTAATTGTTAACCTTGCAATTGAATAGTAAATACATTAGTAGTAACTGCTTTTGATGCGAATAATAGTAATAAATAAGGTTGATCAATGACTTAATTAACTGATTGAAGCATATCGTTTCCCATTTTTTTTTTTACTTATTATTATTATGCAAGCTTTGATTTAATTGAGTTGAGTAGTTTATGAGCCATTAAAGCAATCACTGCATTTGGCAAGAAATGGTGTCATCTCCTTTTCACCAGTGGGATGAGACACTAAAAGATTGAAGGTATTACTTACTAATTTTTGTTTATTTGCTGGGAATTTGGGGAAAATTTGCTAATTTTGTGTGTCCATCTCGTGTGTGCATGTAAAGACGTGGTGCAATTTGTTACTGGTTTTATATGTATGTTTATGTACTGCTAGGAATAACTTTGTATGATAAATGTTTGTATGGTGTGATGTGATGTATGTATTTATTTATCACTTATTGTGTGTGTCACAATGTTGATTGTCTTTTCGAAAAGTTTCTCGAATGGATCGACATAACAATTTATAGAGTCAGACTAACAATTGGTAGAAACAATTATGTGTATAAACCACAGGTCTTGATTTGATCGAGGTCATTATTAAATACTCTTTCGATCGAATACCTTTGATTCTCGCTTCCTTTCTCTCTTCGAAACTGTTCACAAAGTCTGAGCTTAATAACTGCTGTGCTCTTTGCCCCTCTAAATTTCTGTTTGTATGAAGTAGTGATTGTGGTCCAGCTGAGTATATATTTGTAGAATATTCGACCCCTGAAAAATCAAGGATGTTGAATTGGTGTCAAATAATAAGACTCGACTTTCTTTCAGCCATGTCCCAACAAGAGGAAAGCCACTCCACGCCGGCACTAATGCAAGTGTTGGACCGGTTAGACGCTGAAACTGCAGAGGCCAACAGTTCGTTAAATAGCATTCCTGAAAACAGTTTACTGGAGAGTTATACCAGGCTCAGTATTAGTTTGGAGGATAATGGATTGTTTAATGGAGTATCGGTGAGTGGTAACACTTTGGTTTCTTTTAGCTCAAAAGAATTAAAAACGTATTGACTAATTTGACTAATTGTAGGTGCACGAGAGACAAGTTGCCAGAATGAAAACGCGTTCCGAATGGTTTCTCTCTCCAGTCATTTGCTCTGGGATGACGTGTGTCGACGTGGATGGACCTGCAACCCCATTTTATATTCTTAAAGAGGATACTGGAAGAAATTTAGAAGCCTCTGGTATGCACGTGCATAATATGAAAATCTGTTGTAATTCGAGTTAATACATTTTATTGATTTCCCTTCTGTTAGGTCAAGGATCAGGTTCCCAAGAGTCACTGAAACAACATCAATTGGTGCGAAGGTCTTCAAGCAAGGACAAAGATCGCCGGCTGGTCCGTAGAAGCTCAAGTAAGAAGAACAAAGAAAATGGAACTACTTCAACTTCCGCTACCACCGCGAATAGAAAACAGACCGGCTCATCTTCTGGAACTTCATCAAATCCTGCCGTGAATAATAATAGTTCTCCTTCGGGGGAGGTCATTGGTCATGTCGTTGGGGGCGGAGGGGCTGGTGCTGAGGCATGTGGTGGATCCACTACCACGCCGACTACTCCTGTTAGTTCCAAGGGAGTTGGAAACTCACCCTCACGAAACCCTGTCGCCGGCTGTAGTCAGGCAGAGTCTGTTCCTGGCGAGACCACTTGTGAATCCGACTATCTAACCAACATGGTTCTCGAAGCGGATTGCACTGAAACTGACGTTCAAAGTTTTCATGTTACTCTCACATACAAACCTCGAATTTAAATAATTTATCTTCATTTTCGTTATTAGGATTTTCTACCACATAGAAGCTAACACTTACAAAGCTTGCGATCGAAAAGTCCACATTGGGAAGTCTCACAGGCATTATTACATGACTACTAAACCAATACAAAGAACGTATGCATATTTTCCGTCTATTTTGGTTTTAGCACTGCGGGATTCATTCCCTCCTAATCACATAACAATAGATTAAGAAAGGTCACGAAGAGAATATTCATGAAATACAATTGACATACAAATTACTTGTGTGACTCATGTACATACGTATTTTTATCTCGTTAGAAACTCATGTACGAAATTATTTGTGTTCTGTCAGAAGGAAATATGTCCATGATGACGATTACAATTTTAAAATTCTTATAACCATCGTACTACTGGCCAACAGGGATTCGTTCATTAAATAATTAATTAATTACTGAAGCACCTAGTCAATTGCCTGGAATTATATAATTGCCTTTTGCTGCTAAACCCGTCTTCGTCACTTATACAATCCAAAAATCCTAATGTTCGTACAGAGAAGGACTGGAAACACATTCTATTTGATTGAGACTGCTTTTTACTACACGTGGATTTACTGAACTCTTTTCTTAGGCTACTAACACACTTACGCAACTACCCATTTACAAATATATGGTTTATACTTGTTCTGATAATTTCAAAAAACTTTCAATTCTTTTATGCATTCCACACAAATAAGTATAATGAACACACACTGACTTGGTTTTAGGACACAAATGTAACAAACTTTTATCTAACGATGCAACATTATTCATTCCACTTGGAATTTAATACTGCCTTTTCTCTAAGTTACGATATGACCACGATAAGCACCCGTATGTATGTATCCATTTCAAGTATGATGGTTTTAATAATTTGTAAATATGAAGTTATTATAAGAAATGAACGTCATTTCGTTGTCGATGACATAATGTATAAAAAAAATAGAAACACATTTTCATGCCAACTGAAGGAGGCTTGCGTTGCGTTGTTACCAAACCATGTTTCGTTACCTTATGAAGTACACCAAGATTCAAGTCCCTCAATGTTTTCAACTAACCTACTCGTTTATTTTTTGTAAGTGCAGAAGAGTTATCGAGCTTGATCTGTATTACAAGAAATACTTAAATTTCGTATATTTTCTTCACCTTAGCGTACGTAATATCACAACTGCTACTACAGAGTTAAATACTATTTACCATTAATTTCCCCTATTTTATAGGAGAATTTTGTACAAAAGGAATAAGATCCACTGCATAGTTTGTATTAATTATACATATGCAAAGAAACTTGTATTAACGTTTAGTGTGAACCAAGTGTAAAGTGTGCGTCTTTTTTCGTGTTGCGTAATTTTATATTGAACGTCTTTAGTCAAAGGGGCGATGCAAACTGTTTCATGATTAGCAAACGAATTGTCTAAAATTGGAATTATTTTTAAAGTTTTTGGTTTCTATTCTGGTGACGGATTAGATAAAAATTGTCATTTCATAATTTTGTATGTCACATTTGTGCACAGGGGTGCGAGTTAAGAATTTGGCGTAGAAAGATCCCCGTCTTACAGAAAATGAAGAATGAATCGAAAAGTACAAATCGTAAACATTTTGTTCACTAGAGGAATTTGGGAAGTTATGCTTATTCAACGTCAGTCAGCCAGCAACACACAACAACAGCATAATAAATACATAGTTGATGGATTACATATTTACAACAGCTTTGGACACACGAATTTTTTGTATGAATCCGTGTCATACATGAAAAAATTGGTGACAAACCCAACATCAAATCCAATACAGGTTTATTAACGAATTACACAATAGTATTATAAGACGTGCATACCAAGAAAATTGAAATAAGGTATTTGTTCACAAACAAACGGGGGAATGTATCCCCATTATAAAATTATATATTATTATGATTATTGTTATGATGATTACTAATATTATGTCTTAGATGAAACGATAATTAGACTAATGTAAGTTTAAAAAAATATTGTAATTACACATTACTGATTTAAATAAGGGGAATAATTAATCTCTTTTCTCATTATTTTGCGTCTCTCATCACTTCGTCTCATGCCAAGGGCTCACTAATCATGAGACGCTATGATGAAGACGAGACGCTTGATCAGGATATTTTTTTTATTGAAATTCTCTAAAAAAAAATACAACCAGTTCAAGATCAGATTATATATTGTTACTATCTAAATATACAATATGTACTACACCAGCAGTCCTTATTTCTGTAATTGTTAATGTTTTCTACACACACAAACTCACAGCTACATATATTACCAAACAAACAAGCGAAAAGAGCACCAACCAATCCAATCAAAATCTAAAAAGAAACAACACATTATAAAAAATTAAAAAAGTAATTCGTGTTAAAAAATGTGGAAAATTTGACGGATTAAAGTTCATAATGAAAATCAAAGTGATGATTGGTTTTGTCCAAGCCAGATATTTTTTATTTCTTCGTGCACGAACGATCAACTAATGCACGTTCGGTTTGATCTTCTCTGTTTCGCTGGAGGAATGCAGTGCCACAATTATTTTGTGGGACGAGGAAGCCATTACGGGAGGCTTTTTGGAGTAAACGGAAATCATTAAGAGACCATTAAATGCTCGACCGACTCTTTTCTCTCCATTTCCACGGAACATTCAACACCTTAAAAAAAGTCCTTTAAGCCTTCACCCGAGTTTGGTGAGATTTTTAGACCACGGAACACACGACCATCGTCAGCTTAACACATCTCAACTTTATTGCAGCGTTTGCAATAGTAGTTGAAATCATGAAATGGTGACTTTTAGTATTTTTAAATTAATCATAGTCCAGATTTTTTATAAGCTTACAAAAAATTGACCATCACAAATCCAGTCGCATAATGAAATCACATATTTTATCGGAATGAAATTAAGAAATAAAATCAGTTATTTGAAAATAACTGAAAGTGGGCTTTCCAAAATCCGAAAATCAGATCCATTCCGTCCCATCGTAGATTTTTTCGAAACTCGTCATCACACACGCTATTTTACATCTTATATTAATAAACTCCTGTAACTACCCCCAATTTTCTCACAAATTAAAAAAAGTATGAATTTTCTACACAAACTTTTTAACACAGACACAGTTTGATGGTCTCTTTTGATGTCATCTCACCTTATCCCAAAATACGCTAAAATGATGAACTGCATTGAAAAAGAGTTAAAAATAAGAATTCAAGTACAAAAAAATAAGACTTTGTCACCAAAAATTTTTTATTCGATTATTTATCAATGATTAATATGATTACCATTACAGATTTGATTCCGACTGACCAATTTAATGCTTCGATTCCACGACAATATTGCAATCACCGCAGAGATTACAAAATGTTGTTAAATTATCGCATTAATTACAGACACACGGAAGACGAATGTTGTTATCGCCGTACGGGTGACAGGGTCATGTTCAAGGTGTGTTACTCTCTCATGTAGTTAATCATCACCCTGTATTCTTTATTATTCATTTCTTTTCCGACGAACGCATAAAGTTGCGAGACCTCTTCCAATTAATAAAGTAAAATTAAGGTTCAGTTTTAGATGTAAAATCAATTATTTTAATTGGGCTGATAACCTTCTTCATATGCAAGATATGAGTCTAAAAATATATGATGCGATAAAGTGGAAGCCATACAACCTTCTAACTTAATTATTCTCCAATTAGGAAAATATTTGAGTGGCGATGGATAAGAGACGAAGTGGTCGTTTGTTGTGCATGGCATGGGATTACTCATTCTGGGACTGGCTTCCACAGGCCTTGGGAAATTATTCCAGAGGAGGATCGTCGCACAATTACATAATTAAGGGAGCAGTACCACTACCAACTACGTATCAAGTAGTATTGTTCTACTTATCGCATATCTACGCATCATAATAACGGAACTTTGTCAGGAAATTGGCAATTTGTCATTGAAATGTGGAGTAGTTATTACGTAATGCTATCATTATGCCATTCATTCAGGCAGCCAACTAAGCAGCGATGATGTCTTTGGGCCAACAAGTTAGCCATGAATAGTAAGAAAACACGATGCCTCAACTCAACCTCGAATTATTTAAGATGGTAATAACATAATGCAATAATAGCTTGTGTAATAATGCATGCAGGCAAACTACTGGAGGAAGGAAGATAAAAAATGTGCATTTTTTCGTCTTGCACTCATTTATGTACTACATAGTTGCTATTTATATTTATGGTTGTTCTTGCGGTAAAAATGTGGCTGATTAAAAACAAGGCAATCGCCCCTTGAAGAAATGCAATCCATAAATTGTGCGGCGTAAACAAAACTAATGAAGTAAGTATTTAGTTCAATATTTTTGTGGATATGCAGACAATCCACGTAATAAAATTCCAGCAGGGCGAGTGAGAAAAATTAATTTTATATGGTGCAAGTTACATATGCATGATCAGTAAATCTATACCAGTCCACGAGTCTCTTTGTCCTCTAAACCTGTCCCAACTCTTGATCGCGCTGTACATACATACGTACGTATTTTGTGTCCACGATGCTGCCCTCAATTCGATGTGAGCATTCTTTGGAGGGGATTTTTACAGGTTACGGTCCACCGATGGGGAGCAGTTGGAGAGGAAGAGAGGAAGTTCCGGAGGGGCTAAGTGGGCTGGAAGTTAAGCTCCGTTCAGATATGCTTCCTCTGCTCCTACTTCACTTTTCCTATTCACGATAATAATAATAAAACATTGCTTGCAAAATGTGTCCAACTTCCAAGTAGGTTGATGTGATTTTTGTAAAATAAGGTGTGCCAAACACAAGAGCATTATTAGGGAGACGCGATTAAAAATTGCCTTATACACGAGACGATGAGCAAAATGTCATTCTTAAAATAACCAATAATTGGACTAGCAAATCTTGGAATGAGTAGAATACAAGCGAGTGTGGGAACAAGGAGAAAGTTCACAGAGAGAGAAAGTCATGCTTCCAGGAGGCAGACATGGCATCATCATCATCATCCATCTTTCCCCTCCACTCTATTCTTGAAATACGACGTGGTGAAGTTGAGTCAGTTGCACATAATAGTTTCACTCCGTCTGGCTGGGTAATAACTTGATTCACTTCCTCTCAGCCTCCTCCCTCCCACTTTATTGATACGTAAAGGCCTCTAAAAGGACCAATTGTTGCTCGCAAAATTTTCAAAAGTAAGTAAAGTGCGAGAGAGCTGTTCTTCTTTGATCTTCACAGCTCCATCAGCCACGACTCACTTAGCAGAATCTACTTACTCCACGACGACTACTCTCATTCGGAGGAATTTCTCCAGTTGTGTCAAGAAATTTAGATTCTATTTCCAGACACTCTTGGTGACAACGAATTAAGGTTAATCATGACGAGGGGAGGACTGAGAATGTTCTCGGGCAAGAAAAAGAAGGGAAAATCCCTGAAATAACAATGTGCATATAGCGACATTCTGACGCACATGGAGTCACCCTGCTTAAAATAATGATCCTTTTTTCCCCTGATCGGTCAAATTCATTTTCCATGTTAACACCGTAGCCACCACTCTTATCCAGGTCACCTCCCGCATACTTAATTTCACTCAAAATCCTCTCCTCCAACCATTTCTCACTCCGGTAGAAGTTCCGCTGAGCGAAATGGATATGCTCAACGCCCACGTGGTACATGACTAGTGGGCAGAAGAGAAGGATGAGGCGAGCTGCTTGGGTAATAATATCCACCTAATTTTGGCATCATAATTAAGTTTTCTTGAATAATAATCAAAGTGCATGTTGTATATCTCAATGTGCAATTAATAACAGGATGAACAGGCTTTATCTCTCAAAATGTGCATCTACATAAAAGTCGTCACGTCGTAATTTGCAGCCTGTCTCGTTCTTCTTTACCGTGTCCTCTCTTGCCGAAAGAAACGACAGAAAGAACAGGTGTACACACCCAGTCGTCTTTTCACTCCTGAGCAATTTAACCGGTTCGTTTTCTCTGATGTAACTCTTGAGAGTGTGTCGAGTGTATAAACAAATCGGAAACAGTTACACCCAGCCAGCACACTTGGACTTTTGCGAAGGAGTAAATAAAGGTTAAAATCTTGTGTCGCAAAAGCGGAGATCGAATTTCCTCCAGACAATTATCCACTTTAGCTTCACCTTTGATCTTCGAGACGCTGATTTTATTTTTGCCCTATCCTCTACTCTCCCATACTTTTATACGTACTTTTGTACGTCCACATGGCAGAAGAAGGCTGGAGGAAGGGTGAAATAGGAAACAGGAAGTTTACTCTTGGTTGATTTCTTGTAAAAGATGTTATAAACTGTATAACAGAGATCAAATGTGGTCTGGTGGATAACTGCCTCTAGCACAAGTATTTACAATACCACCTCCGCCTTCCATCATTCACAGAATCTGGGAAATTTTATAAGAGGATTTTTGACACGGAAAAATCCAAGACATGAGTTGAATAAGAAAAATGAAAAAGAGCAACATCACTTGAACTGGTTCATCTCTTATCATTTCTCTCCGTTATTTGTTTGAGAAGAATTCAACCACTTGTGTTGATTGATGTTGAAAGCAAACAAATAAACTCTTGTATCGCCCGGAAATTAAAACCAAGAAAATCAATCTACACGGATCATCGGATTTCAAAAGAGGAACAGAGAAAGAGCACAATGGTAACAACTCCAGAGTTTCTGTGCTGTCAGGGATTCAAGTACATAAATGGAAAATGGAACACCAGGCTATTATGTACATAGGGCATACATACATACGTATTACTACCTACGTACGTTAAGTACCTACAAATGTACGTCTGTTTGCTCGCAATAACAACTTGTTGAATCTTTGTAATAAAAACTTTGCAGACTTTTCCGTGGTTTTTGTTAAAATTCCAGGCCAACTGTTGAGCAGGGTAGTAGGTGGAATTATTTCATGCCTGGACAGTCTCAACCTACCTCTACCCAGCTCACTTCTTTGACAATTGGTCATTAATCAATATGACGACGTGAAGGATTCGCGAATTAATTATATTTCTTCTCCTTTTTTATGTTCATCTCTGGATAGAAGAAAAAGTTAGAAAAGTCCACAAGACACAATTTCATATTGCGTTGAGTGATGTCATCGAATCACTGACCATGGTCTGATATTGTTCGCATTGTAAAAAGAACGACTGGAAAACTCAAGAGGAGCATATTATATTTCCACTCGCTCAAACTAGAGAAAACTGGATTCTCATGTGTATATACCTTTATGAGATTTGTTACATGTACGTACATACATACCGTTGGTACATATGTACACAACAACTGGTAGTTGTTAATTCCCAGGGCTTAATTCTATTGTGTGCTAATGTGCAATTGTAATGATTTTCGCAAAAAAAAACTGGGCAGATTTTCTGCTAGGTCAGTTCTTCCTGAAATTCTGAAACTCTTTTATAGTAATGTTCATTTTATTACGTAATTGTGATGTGATTGCTTTATACTGTGATCAGGGTATTTTGTATTTCGTCCACTCTTTGGAACCTGATGATGATGTAATTCGGTGTGTGTGTGTGATTGATGGCCGGTGAATGAAAGGGTGAAACTTGTACGTAAGCTTTGATACAGGAGACGACGTGCAGGGTCAACTGTCCATTTCGTAAAAACCTTTCCCATGTTCTCCATTCGTAATACCCGAGAGTTTCTGACAGATTTTTATAAAAAGTTTTCCGTCCGGTATACCAGACAAGTGCTGGAATATGTACATATACATAGGTACATATGTAAGCATGCTTATATATTGCGTGCGGTAACCACATCCTTTAATCCTCATTAAGAATAATCCTCATTTTTTGCAGATATGTAATCTTCGGATAAATTTAAAAATTGAGAAGATTTGTATAATCAAAGATTGTCTAATTGTAAATAGTAGCGTTTTATGCAACTGATGATATAATGAAGATGGTTTATTTTGCATTGATACATTTAAGCGTTTACAAACCTGCACGAATAGGAGTACAATTTAATTTAAGAGCTGATTTGGATATAAAGATAAGATGCAGATATAAAACGATCAAAGTAACAAGATTGCCTTGAGCGGAGTCATTAATAAAATGCTACACTTCTTCTCCAGGCCAGCCAACACGAAGCCATTTTGCCAAATTGGATCAAAATTTCGTCCACAAGAAGTAATTCTTTTAGAATCAATGTTTACCTCGAAAAATTAGAATGCATCATCCACCTCAGGTGACACATTGTTTAATCGTTATGCACTAGCTAACCAACCAAGAAATAATAAGTGCGTCAGTTCAGTTCGCATCCACATAATATGCAAAACTAGATACCTCATGGATCCAGTTATTTCGAGTTCCTTATTGATGTGTTTTTCTATGAATTGTTGACCCACCACACGGCTCACTGACTAAATTTCATTTTACAAAAACGATAAATAAATACCAACAAATTAATTCAAGATTAACTTGGTGTGAGTAACAATGCAACAAGTTGGTTCAGTTCTGTGAGGATTGCGGGTTAAAGATACTGCATCTTTCGATTGACGTCAATTTCATGGAATTTAATGAGCAAGAAAAAGCATTGCAGATTTTCCGGTACCTAACGACTTGATAGATTTAGGGTTTTTACCATATTCACCCCTTCTACACAACCATGAAAGTACTTACATAAGTGTCCACTTATTAAGCACACCTTCATATTTTACGAGAATCAGGCGAATTTATTGATTTCATAAACTGTCTGCCTACTCGAAAGTTGTAAGAAATCAGACAAATTATTCAAACGAATACAATTATTTCACTTAATTATTCAACTTTTCCCAGTATCTGTAATTGAGAGGATGAGCTATGCAATTAGCAAACCAGCCCAGAATTTTTGGGAATCCTCGTATTGAACTCTTAAAAAGTTCTGCAACGAGATATTAAGTATGTACGTCTAAAAGGATCAAAGGGCAGATAAATGTAAAATCTTTGCTACTACCTCCGTCTCGGAATAAGTGGTGCAATCAAAAGAAAATCAATAATCACATCAAGGCGAAGATGAACTATAAAAATGAAAATAAGGTCACGCTCAACCTATCACATGATCTTCATAATCACGTTCAGAGTGGAATTGTTGAAACAAAAACCAGCACAATGCATACTTTTGTATGTGATTAATTGTACATATTTAGTGGAAGGAGAAGAGGCGATGCATAATTTTTACCCAAAAACGTAAAGCACACCCAACCAAACCATCAATTTAATTTTATTAACTGGAAGATCTCCCAGACTGGACTCTGGCCATGCGTGCGTGCATTATTCCACACCACCAACAATGAAATGGGTGTCCTTATACATAGCTCTTAATTACATTGGATTAAAAACGATGATGAATTTGTTGGCCAACCTTCACCTTGCAATTTGCATACTTTTTTTGACAAGTTGATTATTACGTAAACAATAACTAGTCAATTAACGTTGTGAATCCTACGGTAGGTGAAACGTAAGTGTATTGCCCTCACAATCTTCTGGTATGATTCAGGAAATGTCAACAAAATTGTGGAAATTATGGGATAACTTTTACATATTTCGGCCTTGCCAGCTCCCACAGGAAGGAGCTTTTAACAGAAAATGGCAAAAAGCATTGCATTGGACTTTGGAGAAGGAGGATTTGAAGAAGAAGGTGAGATTGCTACTCAGCCGATGATCAGGATCTTCGATATGATAATGAGTGAACTATAATTTCTACAAGTTTTTTACCAAAATAAAATCGTTAAGGATTTTTACACAAGACACACAATGCATGTGTACACACACACGTCTGAAAGTTATGCAATTTGGTAAGTTTGGGTTTGCTACTGCTCATCGCTGACTGAAATCACAGTGAAGAGAATGGCCGAGCCGAGATGGGATAGAAGATCGAGCTCCATTAATTAATTATGCAGACGGCCTTCGAAGGAATTTTTTTCCCTCTTCGGTTGACTCTCTGTATGCATGAAGATAACTCTGCAATTTGTAATTGTTCCATATTTTTGACATGAGCTGCGAAATACGATAGGACCAGTTATAATACACACACTAGATTCACAGTTAATCAAGGGACCTGGAAATTTTTACAAAATGGAAGCGAAAAATAAATACGCGTGTGTTGGTAGGTGATTAATTCGATTAATAAGAGGAGATTTCACTTTTTTATGCAAAATTCTTGGCATAATTGGCAAATTGCCTAGACTAGACTGGAGTCCTCGATTGCTGGAGTCGTATGATTGCAACATTCATCTCATGCATAATAATAATGTCTTTATGCAGGAATTTCGTAATCTGGGTGTAAAGTTGTAAAGTTTGTCGTGTCAGTTGTCAATTAGTGAAAAAATGTTTCAACAAATCAAATCTGTTGTAAGCAAAAGTGGAACAGATTTTTCAGTGTTACCTTTACAATTTTTTGCACCATTTTATGGAATATATTTCAATAATGATTCCTTTGTTCTCGTAAAAACTACCCTTCGTCGTCGTCGTAGCACAGGAGACGTCGCGCAAACAAATTGAACACTCTGCAATTTAAGGAAACTAACCACACGGTAGTTTCCAATAAAAATTTAATAATCGTTAATTATTCAGTTCATTGTATCCAAGTTTTTATTGACGTCAAGCAAAGCCAACAAGCAGGGAATTTGTTTCATTCATGCGTTCCTCTCTATCATGGTAATGACGTTCTGCCAAGTCGTATTCCTGATTCCATTCTGCGTGGATGAGAAGAGTCGTAAAAGAGCGAGGAATAAAATCGTTTGGATAAATAACGGAAACTTGAACAATTTAATTGAGGTTGCATGTGCAATTATTGTAGTAGCCTTACTGTAAATATGTACTCATGTACACTCGACTACTACGACTGCATCCCCACTACAATGTGTGATGATGATGTTGATAATGTTTATTATTTGCAAACAAAGGACATTGATGGGAGGAATTAATTGATTAATTGACACACACACACGCGATTCCGACCACGTGCACCAGCATATTTCTCACCCCTTGGACTTGAACCAGTTCTTCAAGATAAGAAAATGCATGCACGTACATGCTTCTTCTATAACGTTGCAGTTCGTATTGTTGTCAAGTGTCATGCAGCAATTCTGGAGGAGCGTTGTTGACAGCTTTCCATTCCACCTGTGTCCATGAGTTGGCAATGTTTTGAAGAATTGCAAAAAAAAAATATGGGAACCAAAATGAATGACGATGTTGCCGTTGGGAGTGAGTAGTAAGTACCCAAGAAGTTGCAAGGGTTTGGGTCGACCGACGTCATTACGTTGTCATCAAACCCCTCAGATACTTGGTAGCCTGACAGTGCTGAATCTACCTCATTACTCCAACTGCTACTTGGAAATTGTTAAATGCCGCAGTTTAGCAAGAAGTCAGTGCTACATTATTGTGATCCACAATAATGAAAACTTGGGTGGCGTGGTGTGTGGTGTGTGTGTACCTTATCCACACACCACATGTGAGATTGGCTTCTTGACCACGACGACGATCACGATCATGGGCACCCACCTCCAGGGTCGACTTGGTTGGGAGGAGGTGCAATGGATATGGATAGCAGCACCAACTAAACCCCTGCCTCGTCTCCAGGTGTGGCGAACAATGTTATGTATCGATGTAATGATATTTAGCCGAATGCGAAGCCCATATTTAAACAAGAGCAGTAGTCACTTGGACTTTAATGAGTCTGGCATCAGGCCACCGTCCACACCAGCACTTTTCGGAAACTTTGTACCACGGAGTGAAACTCATCGGAAATAGTCCACCACCCAGCCAGCCAGCCTTCCAGAATCAGGTATATAACCCTCGGGTCGGAGTCAACCCTTGCCACATTCATTTATTCGGCCCGTCTGCCCTACACCGTAGCAACTTTCCCCCAGACTTGTAATACTTTCACTCCTCTTGCTCACTTTCCCAGTCTCACTTTTCCCACTCGTTCGTATCGTAAGCGTGATTTAGTTTTCTCAATCCACTGCTGGATTTCTGAAATATTTTCCCCTCCCAATTTTTATATTACTTGAAAAAACCGTATTTGGTAACGAATTAAGCTGGAGTTCAAGTACGGATTAATAAACTACGCTTACAATCCCAAACCCTTTCTCAATCCCGTTCTCAACTCCACTTTCTGTGCTATTTCTGCTAGTGTCAAAGGTCATAGGACCTCATCCACCTCCACTTCCAACGACGCATCTTCTTCCACAAACGCTAACTCAACAAGTCTCAGCGGCAACAAAGAGGACAAAATGATTGTCACTAGCAGAAAAAATCGTGAGAGATTCGCCATCAAGAAGTCGTACAGTATCGAGGTAAGAAAAATTCTGGTTCAATCCCAGCTTTTTTATTCGTCTTTCTGTTTTCGCGAATTTTCTTATTCAAGTATTTCGTTTTTAAATTTCGTAATTTTGCCAATCAGATAATCAATTTAGAGTACGTAAAAAAATAAGCCCATCTTTTAACTCGAATCCAATCTCAGTTTCCCCATTGTGTCGAATCCAAGCTTCTTCTTCTGACCAAAATTCCATCCAGTTTCATTAATTGGCGTAATCTGAACCTCATTAGCATTACATAATGTGAAGAATTCCATTGATAACCTCACCTCACACTGGAATATATTACGAGCCCAGATAAATACATTTGCTGTGCAACTTGTGTAACCTTTGCCTACTTGTAAACTCATTAGTTGGCCAAGCACAATAGAAAAATGTGCTTGTTGCGTCTTTCACAAACACTTCCTGGATAAGCGAGTTTTACTTGCTGCACTCTGCAAAAAGCAGAAAACCACAACAGACCAGCCACAGCCACACCAACCAAGCGATACAGGTTGACCAGTAATTAATTCATGTGAAGGGTTAGCTGTACACGGTGATGCTTCATTGTAAGTGGCTGATTTGTTGCCATATTCCATCAACTCCAGCAATGGTGCATTTAGATTCCAGTTAACCGAATGCAAATCATAAGTACATTAGGATTACACAATTTTTAAGGTTTCATGGAACAATTCTATCAAGTCGTATCGAATATTCTTTAAAATTCGATGGGAATTCATCAGAAACAGAATTCATCAGAAAGAAAGATGATTGTCAATATTATTCAGCTGCAAAGTAAACAATTTAAGCTATCTGGAGAAGCATGCTGAGCTGATTCATGGAGGCAGGCGTGTTATTCAAAAGGAGGAATTAGTGGTTAGAAATTAATAGCAGATAGGATTTTCACAAAAAACTCATCTCATCCTCATCTCATCAACAAAAGCTAAAAAAAGTTTAGCTGGAATAGAAATTTGTATAGTTTGACGACAGCAGGCCGCAATTAATGAGAAGAAAAACTGGTATTCGAAGATTTGACCGCTCACAGGGCAATAGGTCAAGTTCACGAGAATGATATTGAGTGATGGCTAATTATTGCATAACTTGCCCATCTTGAGTTCCAAGGTTTTTGACAACATTGGTATTTCCTTCGATTTTTTGTCGATTAACAAAAATAAAAGTGATGAATGCTTAGTTAGGATTTTAATTTTACGAGCACATTTCGTGAAACAGGATCTAGCTACAAATACCCTTTGAGAATATAGCGAGGGAAGAAAAGGAGCGATTTTGTTGAGATTTTCCAAGAATTACACAAGTCTCAAAGCCCCCAAGGTGGACTTTATTGGTTTCCACTTGCTCTGTCTCTAATATCCTGTGCCTTGCTCATTTTCCTTCTGGTCAGACTCCTCTTTTCTGCAGGTACATTTAAGCCGCCTTGCGTAGATGCGTCCCTACATACTTGTAAACTTAATTGATTGTAAATTGTCCCCAAGGAGGCCGAATAGATTTAGGGTAAATATTGGGGAAGGCGAAATTTATTGGTACATAGGATTGATCAGTTGCGACCAAAATAAAGAAGATGCATCTTGTCGTCTACATACTCCTCCAAAATGTGTATACGTACGTACATTGTGTTGCGTGGGTGTGCAATTTGGTTCGTTGTACGCAAATAGGAAAGGGCAATTTTGCCAGGAAAAGAGAAAGCCCCGAGTCCATTTCGAACAGTAATAAGAAAGGTTAGATATTTTAATCGTGCTTCAGCAGTGGACTTAATTCACGAGGCAGAAGACAAAGCAGTAGTCGATCGAGGTGCATGTGAGCGACGAGGTCTCAAAATTGTAGATGAGATATTAATCGAAAGGAAGATGAAGAAGAAGAACGGAAGCAATTGTGAACGGATGGAAAATTAATTCAATCTTGGGGCGAGATTTCCCCTCATTTCACTCCCCGATTCAATTTCCCAGTCGGGTCAAATCTACTTATGGATTCCATAACTATCAATTCAATCTCACTCTCGGCCTCTTTTCCCCAGACTTATCCCCACTTCTTGCTAGCTCCTCCTCCCTACTTTTTCTATCTTTCATACATTTTTTTATTTTTTATTTTATTTTGCTAACTCATTTTATTTTTTCATTTTTTTGTGTTCCTTGCTCGCTTGTTCTTCGTCCCTTGGTTGCAAACTCTGTGTAGTCCGACTCCAACTCAACTTCTGAGGAAGAGGCAATTCCATGGGCTGAATATGTGCAGAACGGCTACCCCTCTCGTCGTCGCTCGCTCGTGGGGGATGCCCGATTCGAGACTCAGGTGAACAAAGAGAACAAACGGAACTGGTTGGAAGAGATTCGTCAACTTTCTCGAGACTCTGACCTCTCCGAAGATGATCTTATTCTCGTGGACGAGAGCGGAATTCTGGAGAAGGAGCACAAGGAGCAGTCCACCAGCACTTCTGTTGACGGAGCCGCTGCTTCCGGAGGGGAGGAATCTGCCCCCAAAGCGGAACAGGCTACGATTGTCCTCACCTTGAAGGACAACATGCTCTCTCTCGGAAACATTCTAAACCTCGTCGATGACTTCAAGGGGATCGTGACTCATATGGAGAGTCGCCAATCAAGGGAAGCAAACTGTCAATTCGACGTGCTTCTCAAGGTTGAGATCGTTTGGAACAATTTCGTCACCCTGTTGCGATCACTGCGACAGTGTCCATCCGTTTTCGGAGTGAATGTCATTTCCACGCAGGGAGTCGTGGTGAAAGGTGAGGCTGACTGGTTTTGATGGTGGCGATGGTTATTGAAACTAATGACTTGCTTGAAACAGAGGCATGGTACCCACGCCATATTTCGGAACTGGACTTGTGCAACCATTTGATGACCAAGTTTGAGCCAGAATTGGATATGAACCATCCTGGATTTGCGGACAAGGAATATCGTGCTCGAAGAAAGATGATTGCTGACATTGCGTTCGATTTCAAATTGTAAGCAGACATTGTAGAAAATTAATGGCATAATTATTTCGAAAAATACTTAGAATTTTATTGTTCGTTTAAAAATTTACTTACAAGCTTTCGGTATCGGAATAGATAAGATTTTCCTTAAATATTTGTAGACATTTGTAGGAAAATGAGAGGGTTTTAATTTTTGCAACGTTTTTTAGTGGGGAACCCATTCCACGAATTGACTATCAAGAGATCGAGATCAAGACTTGGGGCCATGTCTTCAATCAGTTGGTGTCTCTGCTGAAATCGCATGCTTGCAAGCAATACATTGACGCTTTCACCCTGCTCCAAAACGAGGTTGGATATGCGGCTGATAAGATTCCACAGTTGGAGGACGTGTCCAACTTTCTTCGACGTGAGTACTCTTGACTAATGGCGAATCAAGTTATAGATTAGTGGTTATCCAATTATAATTGTGTTGCATTTAACTTTTAGGCAAAACTGGGTTCACCCTTCGACCAGCTGCAGGTTGGTAGAAGGACTTTTTTAACTGCATATATGCTTAGAACTTCAATTTACAAAATTTATGAAAAATACTTTAGGGCTTTTGACCGCACGAGACTTTTTGGCCAGTTTGGCATACCGAGTTTTCCAATGCACTCAATACGTGAGACACGGTTCTTCCCCTGACCACTCTCCGGAACCGTGAGTCATATAATAATTCTTGCTTGAAACACCTTTAAAACAAGACATAATCTTAAAAGAGAATCCTAATTTTGCAGAGACTGTGTTCACGAATTGCTTGGACACGTCCCCATGTTGGCTGACCCTGGATTTGCACAATTCTCGCAAGAACTTGGACTCGCTTCTCTGGGAGCATCGGACGAAGAGATTGAACAGTTTTCAACCGTATGTATTCCACAAATTTCTGTGAAACTGTGGCCAAAAATCTAAAATGCATTTCTTATCCCTACACAGATGTACTGGTTCACCGTGGAATTTGGCTTGTGCAAAGAGAACGGAGAAACCAAGGCATACGGTGCTGGACTTCTTTCCAGCTTTGGCGAATTAATTCATGCACTTTCCGATAAGCCCGAGCACAAGCGATTCGAGCCAGAGGTCACCTCCGTACAACCTTATCAAGATCAGGATTATCAGGATGTCTACTTTGTGGCTGACAGCTTCTCCGATGTCCAAGTCAAATTTAAGTAAGTTTTCGATTAAACGAGTAAATATGCAGAAATAAATAAAAATCTCGCCTCCGCAGCCGATGGGTCCGCGAGCACATGAAGCGCCCATACGAAGTCCGGTACGACCCATTCACCCAGAGCGTGGAAGTTCTCGACTCTGCCGACAAATTGGAAGCCGCCGTTAACCAGATGAAAATGGAGGTCAATTATTTATGCAACGCCGTTTCGCACATGAAATTCATGAAATTTTAAATTAAATTTCGAGTTTAAGTTGTTCTAAGCATGATCTTCACATTAGACGTACACACTTGGTTACTTTAAACTTTTACTTGTCATCCTACTTTTACGGTACAATCAAAATATACTGCTACGTACAATACCTTCTTATGTTTGGCTGGATGGCTGAAATTTTCTCGTAGAAAACGTATCCTGTCATCATATTATTATTCTACCATAATTCTTATATTAATAATACACGGTTACTGATTAGTACTGATCTTCTATGGCAAATTAAGTACCTTTCCTCCTTCTTTACGAGTCGTGATGATTAATACTCAATGAAAATTATATGCAACACCCGGTGCTGTCCACATGACGAACAGAGATATTTTAAAATCAGTGATGGATTCACGGTGGGAGGAGAAAGAGAAAACTTGTTATTCTATAATAATCATAATAATTACGATATCTTTAATCTTATAAAGTAGTTAGTTTACAATAACGGAATGATAAATATGATGAATTTGTTGTCGAATAATGTCAACTTGTTACGCGTGCTGTGATGATGATGTGTGAACATTAATTGAAAAAAATATGTATGAAACCTGATGTGATCACTTTAAGCCAAAAGCGAATACTAGAAAATATTACAATTTATTATTTCAATACAAACTTTAGTCGTTCGTTAGTCAATTTTTAGAAAAAGAGAGAGAAATATTATGCATGCAGCTTCAATCATTAAGATTACATAATTACTAAATACATACGATAACTGCATAGGATTAAGTATTGGATTGTCAAAACGTCATAATCGATCAATACTTCAGCTGGAGATTGTGGGACCAATTAATTAATCGCAATTCTCTTTCTGCAATTTAACCAATCAATTAATTCAAGTCTATACTAATTCTCTAGTTAGTGTTAAGCATGCATGAGTACAATTTACCAATAGTTTATCACATGATAGGTAAAGCTTACTAGAAATTTTAGGCACAGTTTTCCTCTCGTTTTCATGAACAACTTTTAGAAACTCTAAAATAGGCAAAAGAACCAAATGGTGACAATAGCCATCGATTAGTAGAAGTAGTAGAAATATTAGACGCCATTCAAGTAGGGAACGATAAATGAAGTAATAAATGATCAATTTAATTCCTAAGTTTAAATTATATGCCGTGGTTTCTTGTCATGATGTATTAATTAGCGTAGTACGTGTACATATGTAGAATTATGGAATAAATGCTGAAAAAATTCTTTACCAAAATCATTCCAAGTCGTGGTGGTGGTGGTGATGGACTAGAAAGATTTATTGGCACAACAGTATAATGAATGAATGAATGATGTAAATATGTGTACAGTTCGTCGTCATAATACTATTTAGCAGCGAAATTAACAAGATAACTAATACAAGATGTTGCTGAATTATTGCGACTGCGAACAAGCGAAAAACTGGATCATGAGCGTTGGCATATTAATTTTAATTGTAATTACAAGAAATTGCTGGTACAATTACGAGAAAAGTTATAACGACTAAAAGAAGAAGTAAACCCTTTAATACGTAATATCAAAAAAAATTCAGCAGGAAACAATGGTGATCCTTTTCGTTTGGATCGACAATTTTATAAAATTACGAATGAACTCGTACAAAAGTTATAAAACAAGAAGAGCGGCTGTCAGGCTTTAGTTATTTTTAAAGTAAGAGTAAAATACTTGCATAAAAGTTACTTAAATATTTTTAACCTCGACTCACATCCCCACCATTCACGTACTTCTATCTGATTTCAAAGAGTACATACTTGACGAGGACCTTGGGCAGACCCAGCTCGGACATGACGTAGGGGAGCTTTTTTCCTAACGTGTCCCTCAAGTACAATCTCGCCTGGTGTTTCAGGGACAGCGGGGTCTTCGAGAGGGTGAGGACGTGCGTCTTCTGCTCCGCTGAGAGGGCAGGACACCTCCGAATTATGGGCGGGTCGAAATCCTCCGCCCTGAATGCAAACATGACAACTTTGGTTATAAAATTTGGTTATTTGCGAGTACAGCTTCAATAAAGTTGAGATAAATTGATGGACAGAAATAACATAGAATCAGGTCAAATTCACTTACGAAGCGAGAACCTCGTTGAACAGGTCGTGGTGTTGGGCGAGATTAGCGAGGCAGTTGAGAATTCCTGAGAAATGAGGATTGCAATTTATTACGATTCATTAAAATGTCAGGATTCTAATGCTCTAGTAAAAGCCAAAGTGAAATTATTTATTACCGAGAGGGTCCCTGAACTGAGATTTGATTATCACTCTGGCCCCAAACTTCAAAAGGAGGCGGACAAACTTGGGGTCCAATTCGGTGTTGGAGGAAATGTACTCGCCCAGCGGGGACTTGAGAGGCATCCCGTCATCACTGATAACCACGAGGTTGGGGTCTGCCCCCTTCTCGAGCAGCACTTGAAGAAGAGCCAGTCGATTTGGGATGTTATCCGAGGACACGACGTGAAGTGGTGACCCGATTATGGGAGACGAGGCGTTCACATTCGCTCCTAAATATGCAAATACATAAATCATTGAATATGCATATGTTTTGATAGAATAACTAATTTGCATACAACATGCCTGCACTGATGAGCAACTTAGCCATGGCCACGTCTCCTTTGAGTATTGCCAAATCGAGTGGGGTTGGTTTTTGGAATTCTTTATCAAAATTGACCCTCGCCCCTTGCTTGAGGATGAGAGAAACCGTTTCCAAATTTCCAGAGAGGACAGCGTAGTGGAGAACCTGCAATAAATATCAACACATGATTGAGTAAATAAGTGGCTCCCAAAGTTTTTCTTTGTGTTGGTTTTATCACAAAATATGTATGAAAAACTTACGGTCCGATTGTCGTGACGATCGTCCGTCATCGCGTTGACATCTGAAGATCGCCACGAGAAGTAAATAATATTTATTAAAAATTTGGTCTACCAAAACACCCCGTTGCAACCAAACATATTGCCAAACTTCTTCCTCACCTGCACCATGCTGAATAAGACAAAGGACAGACTCGATCCCTTGTGGGAGTCGACAAGCCCTCATGAGTTGGGTAAGTCCTTGTCTATCCCTCGAGTCCGGATAAGCCCCATAATTGAGCAGAAGATCCAAGTACTCGACATCCAAAGGAGGAACGAGGTTGATTTCGGAGCCAAAAAAGTAGCGGGCGTTGGGGTCGGCTCTGGCGTCTGGTGGATAAAAGAAAGGAAGGTGTGCTCATTATTCGTGGCAATGGAAGTGCCCAAAAAGACATGCAATATCCAATAGTGATGAATAGTCATTGAAAATCCCTGTCTAAATTTAGCCTGCTTTATTACCAACCACTTTTCTCCGTAGTCATCACAGATCTTTTCAACGTTCGAGTGCATATAAGATGGATGTACGTGCAAGTAAACATTTCGTGATGCTGGTTGGTGCATGGCATGGTTCAAGATCTAATTATTTTTAGATTTCTTTTTAAAAAGTGCAATATGCCAAATAGTATTGCTCACTAATCATGAGTTTGTGACCCTAATCAGGTTCAAGTTCAAGTCGACGTGGTTTTTTTTCCTTACCCAGAAGAATCCTCGCAGCGTTGTAGTGATTATTCTTGATGGCGAGACGAAGCGGTTCATCGCTCATCGTGGTCCGTGGATAAAGCACGCCTTTCTCCAGGGGTTCACGGTAATCCGTTTTTGCCCCGTTCGCAAGCAGCATCTAGATCAAATAAAAAAGTTGCCAGAAATTGATCAGTCGCAATTCTTCTGAGATTGCACGTTTTAAAGAAACCCCTTCGTCACTCGATTGAATGTGCAGCAATCATGTGACGATGGCGCACTGCTGTCTGCCATCCACGACACTTGTTGAAGTTTCGTACGTACAATTTCTTGAAATAGGATAAACTTATGCTCATTGTGCAGTACGAAATGCCAACAATTTAAATAGAATTAGTTGTTTTTATCCGTGCATGAGTTGGATTTCTAAATAAATCGCCTGGTGGGGAAGTCCCATCAAAAAAAATCTGGCTCATCCATTCGTTTGGAGGAACGCCAATTTTCCATGAAAAAGACAACAACACACTGCAAACGGGAGCTCTAAGAGAGTAACAAATGGGATACTATCGCAATTAATAAACGTCGTCCACTCATTGTTCTGCTGCTTCTACGCACTCAATCCCACTCGTTAATTACTCGTTGATTCGAAAAGAACGTAATCAATACGTTCGCAAACTACGATTTTAATAGACGAGATACGCATTGACGAAATTGGAGACAATTTTGAGAAAACAACGGAATCATGAGGAAGCCTAAAATGTCACGCGTACAAAATGCACATGATTAAAGCCATGCAAGATTTCGATACTTTGAAATCGGATTCAAATGATTTTCGAAATTTCAGCAATTTTAGCGTAAAATTGCACAGATGAAGTAATGCATTGCATTTTTGGCGTCCTAACCCTTCCGAGTGATGGAGATGATCATTATGCTTCTAGGTATGAGTCTTGACAAACGTCCAAAAGTAAGTGAATCGTGCCTCGTTCATGATCGCACTGACCCATGAATGATGCTCGAAAGTCAGTTCATTAAGCTGGCCATATCTCACCTTCATCATTTCGATGTAGCCATGCTCCGCTGCCAGATGCAGAGGTGAATATCCGCAGTCGTCCGTCGAATTCACCTTCAATATAAAATATATCCATGTACTAATTGAATAGTACTTGTTATGCTGACCTTTATTGTCAGCAATTTATAATATTTTATCCACTTTGATAACCCTAATCCCCAAAATTGTGAAAATGCCCGCAAAATGAGAAACAGTCTACTTACGTCGCAACCTCGAACGAGGAGGAGATTCACAGCCTCGGCGTATCGCTGCCACACCGCGTAGTGGATTGGGCGCAGACCCTGCATCATAAACAACACGAGTCAAACAAACAGGTCAACGATATCCTGCCTACCACCTTACGAAATAAAGAACTCATAACAATAACATAACTGTCAAACTGTCAACAACTCCTTGCAAATTAAGTGAGTACGACTGCATGTGTTGTGCATTCACAGTTTTAACGTCTCCCAATATTATTATGAATCAACAATAATAAAGACGTAAAACGCATATGGATTTCAAAAACACTCGGCTTTCTAAAGTTTCTTAGAAATTTAAAATAACAAAAATTGCACAGCATTGCATAATTATAAAGAATCACTCATCTCGTACTTTTGCTCGCATGTACAGTTTGACATTTAAATAATATGAGCCTCTCGCTATTTCTTCCTGTTTTGGAAAGTCGCCAACTGATTTCTGAACTTAAGCGCATTTGCGAATGACTTAACACGTAGAAGCTTGGCGTAGGTATTCGACCAACGAACATGCAAACTTCCAGCCAAGAATAAACAAAATCAAGTTTACTTTTTTCTTCTAAAATACATAAATGACAAGTGGGTGAGTGCATTGCCCAACAACAGTACGTTCAAAATCGCACTATATCCTATATCTTGCAATACGTAAGGATATGCGGATTTGTGGTGTGGCGTGCCAACAACAAGTAGCGTTGCGTCATTTAATGACACACATGTTCTCAGGCAAATGCGTCTTTCCCACTTTATCACAATCTCAATGATTAAAAAAGTTGTCAGATTTTTATACAATTTAAAACTATAAATATCAATCGTGTGGTGAGTGAGTGTGTTTATAAATGTCAGGGTAAAATTATTCACCTGTGTCACAGCCTCGTTTACTTTAGCCCCACAAGCCAGCAAGATTCGCAAGTCGTCTGGAATTGGAAAAAAATTGAAATTTGTAACAAAAATACATAAATATTTTTTAAAAAATAATGAAATTTGCATTCAAAGCTTAGAATACTTAATCCTAAATAGTTAATTGTTAATTGTTTTGAGTTACCTGGATGTGCAAGGCGAATTATGGAGTCTGCCAGCTCCCTTTGCAACGGTTTGGAAATGCACTCCAACGGCATTGTGTATGATTATTATTGAAATTGCTTACTCTGAATTGCGCACTAACTTATAAAACTTGACGGCTTTGAAGAAATGAAAGTTTTTGAAAAAGTGTTTGACTTCCAGGGAGAAATGGTAGATAGAAATTTTTTGTTACTTTTATGAAAACTTGTATCTGCGTATTAACTTATTGTCCATCTTGTTCGGTTATATATTTTCGTCACAAACTTTTACACAAGGTTCGTCAAAGATTGAAGAGGGTTTTGAACGAGAAGGAGCTTTTATACACTTTTGGCGTTGGGTTTTCCATGCAAAAGTTGCTAATATAGTAGTCGTAGGATGTACGGATGTACGTTCGTTGGTGGGTGCAGTTGTTGTCAAGTAAGTTAATGCTGAATATGTATGTTATGAGTTTCAAGATAAGTGAGTATAACTCGTACACGGATAGAGTTCGGCACGTGAGTCCAAGTTCGTAGTAGTATTCAAGAAAGACGTAAATTTAGAGAATGGCACAGAAATGGTCCATCGTCGTGTTGGTGAAGAAGGGAACGCGTCGTATGGATTCTTAAGTGATCCCGTTGACGTTGAACTTTATTCTCGGGAGGAAAAACATTAGGTTTTTCAAAAACAAATAAACATGCTTATGAGAAAGAAGAAGGCGATGATGGGGTTGTTGTAACCAAACACGGTCCACAACACAAATCCTCGTAGAAAAGGGGGCGTTGAAATGAAGTTTGGAGATTTTCACCTTTAATTCATAATCAATTAGTTTGCATGGATTAAGAACATCGATCAAAAAGGCTTTGTATTAATGCAGAATAGGATGAGATGTAAAAGGTGACGCGTACTGGTAAAATCACTGAAATACGACTGCAGTCGTGGTGGTTGCATGGGCAGCGTATGTAAAACTAATACGCAAAAAGCAAAGAATAAGATATTTACTTTACACTTTAAAAACAGTCGCAGGTTGTAATTTCTCCTTTGTAAATACGAGTCATTGTGCTTGCATGTGGTTCCATTAAATTTTTATTTTCTTGGACTGAGTTTATTGAGCAATTTGGTGAATATCAACGACAGACATGTAGTAAATAAGGTTTTGTAGGTTTCCGTCAACTTTTCTAACTGTTTGCATAGGTTTTCGAGCGTGCTCTATTATTGGGCAAAAAATAAGTGGTTTCAATTATGAAATGGAAACCATCCGTGGTGCTGTCTCATTTCCACGATGCTCTTGGACTGGATATCCTTATACTCCTTAATTTTTAATGTTATCTTTCTTTATTCGGGTATCGCATTTTTGTAGAAAATGAAGTTCTTACAGTATCGACTTTTACTTTGTTCCTGAATCCGCTTATTAATTGCAATTTGCAAATTTTGCATTCACTAAACTCGTATCGGTAAATGAAATCGTGGAGTTTCGTGGTTTTGGATAATTAAATAAATAAACATTTAAAACAGGATATAACTGCTAACCACTAAAGAGATGATATGGTATTATTTTCATGAAAAACATGCACTAGATGCGACGCGATACGATGAGATGAAATACAGAATATGTATGTAGTTGCACAGCATGGTGTAAGTTTTGTTAACAAAGAAATTTTGAGAAATGTTTTGTGAAAGTTTGTGACTACAATTAAGATCTGTTCTTTGCATTAATTCTAGATATTCCTTTGACTCAAGATATTCATAACGCTTAAAAGATCTTGAATGTAATTCTCAATAAAATATGCGAAATACTACAATGAATTATTTGTGCCATGAAATTCTTATTGCACACTTATTTGCAACAACAAATATTTACAGTCATGCAAATGCCTGTAACCTGTAAAATAGATTTCACAAATTAGACCGCATAACAAACTGCTTACTAAACGCATTGTTAATTTAAGCCAGACATATCTCTGTCAAAAATAGGAATATATGTACTTATTAATGTTCTGTGTTGACATTGTTTATCGTCCTCGCGTCGTGTTTTGCGTCACGTTCATCAATAATAAAAATAAAATGATTGCTTTTAATATGTTATTGATGATAAGGGCTGATCTTTTTTTAGTCCATCTCTACGCATATGCCGTGTTAATTTGCGTAAGGTGAGCTTCCTGGATAAGCATTGGAATCAGATCAGTGTGGGTCCTGAGAGGGTTGCTTTGTCCATGGAATTATCTATCACCACAAAATATGCATTTAAATATTTCCCCATGGAAAACATGAAAGAGCAAATAAACACATTGTTGTTTTTCCCATCTCAAAAAGTGCTCGTCGAGGCCGACGTGCGATATAAATAAATAAATAAATAAATAATAGCTCCAAAATACAATACAGATTTACAGTTCCTGCTGATCTCGATCAATTTAAAAAGTAGAAAACAGTTCTGGTTCAAACTATCAAAACTACAAATGTGATATTCACAACCTTATCACACATTTCAAGTTTTGATCAATTACCAACCCTTTCGTAATAAACAAGTGATTTAAATTATTGTGGAATAAATACAAGAAGAGGTGAGTGATTTAGGTTTATACCTTTTATTTTAAGTTCATAAAGTTCATTGTCCACATTTTATGATAAGATGCGAATCCCAGTATTGGCGCATATGCAATTAATACACTTGAGATTTACTGGGTATAGATTTCGAGATAACGTAGATGAAACATAGATTAACATGATATATAAGGGAGCGGTACGTAGACAGATGAGGTAGGTGATTGATAAGTGCTTACACACAATATGTGCATATCAGTAGTTCTGTGGGATGAAACTGAAGTTGAACTCGTGACAGATTCGGTCATCACAAATCATTCGTATTTCAGCACCTGTCTCGGCCTGGACTGTGTTGCGAGATGTAATTCATTGCATATAAGCTTAATGTAAAGTATTATTTGGAGCTGGAATTGAGCTTTATTCCACGTTTATTGTTAAATAGGTGTGAATTGGGCGAGAGACTGAATGTTTTGATTTGGTTGATATCAGGTGGATTTTACTGGAATTAACATAACGAAAAGAGTGAAAGAAATGCAAAAATGAAAGACTTATTGGACATTGAGATGACAGAGATGGATGACGAGAAGCACGAGTCAAAATGGTCACAATTGGTCCATACAGTGGCAGATATTGGAGTTCAAGTGAAGGTGAATGAATATTGAATAAAAGCGTCATTTCGAATTATATGGATAATTACAAGTTATGAAATTTTATATTTTAGGAAAGAGCGTCTGTTGCATTTGAGCGTCACTTAGGGCGCAGTCCAAATGACCGTGGTGGTGGGGAAACGAATCTCTTAGACCCACACGAGACATTGCAGAGGTCAGTTTGATGTCTTGTTTTCTAAAGTGATGGCTTTGTTAATATGTTAAAACTGAGGATTTGTTCAGGTCGTATGGATCAATTTCTCCCAGCCCTGAACCCCACAGCAGAAGCCCCCCACACTCAAGTAACGGCGGTGGTGGTGGACTCCAAGTTGGAATCCAAAATCGAAGAAGGAAGCTCTCCGGAGCGGCTATGGGTGGTCTGCCTAAATATGAACAGTTATACAACGCGACCTCGTCAAATTCTGCGATGGATCTCAACCCACCTTCCTACGCCACCCCTTCGGCACCACCGATTTCCAAAGTTAACATTCCCATCATTAATATTGAACAGGATGACAACTTTCTCACGGTAGATACCTCGTCCTTCAAGTGAGTGTTCGATTCGGTAGATACATGCATAGCTTTTTATTAAATTCTGCTGCTTAATGAGAATTTGCATTTATAGAACCGGAGCTTATGGTGCGTTATCGAGCGGTTTCAACAGTGCGCCACCCTCGCCGGCCGCAACTAGTGGTGGAGTTGGGGGCGGCTCAGCATTCGATCTAGGAAATTTCGAGAATACTCAGCCTTTCACTATTGCGAGATGTATCAAAATTGGGATTCTAATGCTGTTTTTTGTTACCATTTCTGTGAGTCTTTACAAACGATACAAATCATGTTAACCAAACCTGGTCAGTAATTTAACCATAAATATCCACAGGGAATTATCACTGCCACGAATGAAAATGTGATTCACTTTACGCAAATCAGTGCTTCTTCTAGCAAGCCGTTTGGTATGATGGTAGATATTGAATTCAGATTGTAATTGTAGAATGACTTCATGTTTTTTTTTGCTTTCTAGTATATCCTTTAAAGCTATTGAAAACGCTGACCCCTTGGTTTCCTATTCTAACGCTGATGGTCAAAGGAGCATTCGTTCCCAAATTGTATGATAACTTTACCACAAATCGACTTATAATCGATGTCGAGAAAAGAGAAGAATGGCGTACGGATGATGGCGTGGTGCGTGCATTCATTTACTACTTATTACAATGTTTTGTGCTGTTAATCTTAAAATATCTAAACATATTAATTTCAATGTTATGTGGGTAGGTTATCACGGAACGTTGGGAACTACCAATTTTTAGTGAAAAAAGCATCGGAATTGTGCCGGAAACGATGGAGTCTCATGCATTTGGCTTAGAGAATCTGGACTGGAGTAATGGGACTTACGTTATCGCATTCCGAACAAATATGGAAGGCAACTTTCCACTCGCAATTTCAATCAAGCTCGTTTCTCAAGTTGTGGAAAACGGTGCGATTTTTGGAGGTGCAGTCATCATCGGTCTCTACATTCTTATCGTATTCGAGTTGGTTAATAGAACGTTGTCCGCAATACTCGCTGCTACCACGGCCATTGGAATTTTGTCCATGTTTGACGAGGTAAAGGCATCGTTATAGCATCGTGAGACGTGAAAATTATAAATACATTCATCTAAAATATCATTCGAACTTTGCAGCGTCCCACAACTGAAGAAATGGTTTCGTGGTTGGACATGGAAACTTTGATCTTATTATTTTCCATGATGGTCTTGGTTTCGATTCTGTGCGAAACTGGATTCTTTGATTATTGCGCTTATCTCATGTACAAAGTATGTAAAATTTACAAATGTTGTCTTCTTGGGAACCTAACTTAAAAAACCGGAACTAAATAATTACATTATTTATCTCAGTTAACAAATGGACAGGTTTGGCCTATGATAACAGCATTATGCATCTTCACAGCAGTGGTTTCCGCATTTCTTGATAATGTTACCACCATTCTACTCATGACTCCGGTGACAATTAGGTAATTAAGGTTATCAGTTTTTCATCATTTGCATATTATATTAAATTGTACATTTATGTTTCACACCTTTCTTGTATTATTAGAATTTGCGAAGCAATGGAGCTGAATCCAGTCCCTGTGTTGATATCAATCGTGATATTTTCCAATATTGGAGGAACTTGTACACCAGTGGGCGATCCGCCTAACGTCATCATCTCGAATAATCCAGACGTTATCAAGCACAATATTGACTTTGCGACCTTTACAACCCACATGTTGCTTGGAATACTTCCAGTGATTGTAGTGGCATATTTTCAATTGAGGATTACATTTCGCTCCATGAAGTCGCTGCAATTTTCGGAACCCTATGCAGTTGCTGGTAATGTTCTGAATTCTTCTTCAATTGCAATTGAGTATAGTGACATTTTTATACAGAACTTCGTAGAGAAATTGAAGTTTGGGGCAGAGCTGCGGATTCGTTATCTTCCTATTCCAAGGATGAGAACCATGTAAAAGCTCTCCTCATCTCGAAAGTTGTTCAGCTGAAGAACAGTTTGAAGAGCAAGATTAAGATGGGAGGGTGAGAATAATAAACAGCGTTTCATTTATGTTAATGACCTTAACCCGTCCTAATTAACTATTGCACAATTCACAGACAATCCGAGGAAATGTATAAAGCCAATTTGGAAGAGCTTCGAGAAACTGTAAGCATATTCAAATGAAAATGAATAAGGCGAATAAGCTGAAACACTATTATTCAGGTAAAATTGTATTTCAGTGCCGCATCAGAGACTGGCCCCTTCTAATAAAATGTGGACTCGTGTTGTCCACCGTGATCATCCTATTTTTTCTCCATTCCATCCCACAACTCAACTTATCCATGGGTTGGACGGCCTTGTTGGGCGCAGTTCTTTTGCTCATCCTCGCAGATCCTAAAGGTACAGATTTCTCAAATTGTTTGTACTACTGTCCTTTGTGATCTATTAAAAGGGAGTTAGATACATGACTGTCTTAATAACCACAAAAATGTCTCTGATAATATTGACTATCATCGAGAGTTGTTATCTCTGGTCAATAAGTCCCTCCGTAGGAAAATAGAATATTACCTGAATATTTGCTTATATTAAAACGATCTAATTTTACAATTTCTTGTTTTTCCTTCAGATCTTGAAGGAATCTTGTCCCGAGTGGAATGGTCTACACTCATTTTCTTTTCTGCTCTTTTCATCGTTATGGAGGTATGGTTGATGTTGAAGTTGGTAACCAGTACAGTGTAAGTAACTGAACACATTAATTTGACTTTTCAGGGAGTATCACGATTGGGTTTGCTCGAATGGATTGGAACTCAGACCGAGAATATTATTAGAAATGTGAACTCAGAGTCGAGGTTGACAGTCGCAATTCTTTTGATTCTTTGGGTGTCCGGCATTGCTTCTGCTTTTATCGACAATATCCCATTCACAACAATGATGGTCAAAATCGTTACTCGCGTAGCGTCCAATCTAGCTCTCCCCTTACAACCACTCATTTGGGCGTTGGCTTTCGGAACTTGCCTTGGTGGTAAGAGTTGAATTTGTACTTTTCATATCAAATTAATTACGTAGAGAAGCATTATCCTTACCGTCAATAAATTGCAAAGGAAATGGAACATTAATTGGGGCCTCAGCCAACGTTGTTTGTGCCGGTGTAGCAGATCAGCATGGATATCGCTTCACTTTCATGGAATATTTTCGGTAAGCTTTTTTGCCATACATAGTTTATTAATAGTTACTCATATTTTAATCTTTCTTCATAGGATTGGGTTTCCAATGATGATTGTCTCACTCATAGTGGCAAGCGGTTATCTTGTCGTTTGTCACAGTCTCTTCTCCTGGAACGAATAAGATTGCATGGAAAACATGATCAAACTGCAATTACAAAATAATGTACATTATCTAGTAACTTATTAAAATATAGGCAGTAAGTATGTAGCACCTGCTGGTACGTGATACAAATGTCTCAGAATCAAGCTAGTTTTAAAATCATGCAATCAACCCTAGAACTGAAAACTTTTAAACCCAATTACTATGTATACTCGTGTCTCATGTCACTCATGAAACTAAACTGAAACTAGACAAATAGAAAATATTAATGAATAAAAATAAACCCTATTTACAAGTACACCTTACTGATTTATTTCATAAGTTTAATGTAGTTTAATATGGGAGGGACTAATTAATTAACTAACTAGTAATACAAACATCAACCAGTTTAACCTGCGAAAAATTATGTACTACATAAGCATATCATGGTAGCAAAAGTAAATTAAGTATACCTATTTTATATTGCTATACTAAATACATCGTGTCATGGTAAATGCACTATAATTCATTATTAATATTATCTAATCACACACTCCTCATTGTTGTTATCCCCCACCACCCGCAGTCAGATAAGTAAGTGCTACGGGAGGCAGTGGGATAATCCGCAGTTCAAAATAACTTCGTTGCAGTAAGTATTAGTATATAAAGGAGAGATTATTTTGGTATATAGAGTGTAAGTAAAATGCATAGAAAATGCCAAAATTCTGGTGATTCATCCAAATCATCATCTTCTGCCCACCTGCGTGACGTGACGAGCAGAATGTTGTAGAATAGAACGGCGATACACTGCTATTCTTCTACTGTGATACGTCGAGATGTAAAAAAAACCTTGCATCCCTGTCAGCTGCTGTTATGTTGTAATCTTCTTAATACGCCGTTTTTCGATATAACAAGTGTAAAATCTGTTAGATTCTAAAATGTCGGATTTAAGAAAGGAGTCAAGTTTGTAAAGAAAATCCGACTTTCTTTGTAAACCATTTCAGTTTTGTTGTGACTCGTTTTAATTGAAGTTAAAAGCCTATAAGGTTTTTGGATTTTTCGAGTTTTTATTTTTAGTTGGAGTTAGATTTACTTAAATAGAGAATTTCTAACATCACAGCAGATAAGCTGATGTACGTTTATAGAAGTTTAGTAATAAGGTAGATTAATGTTTCTTACGTCGTTTTTGTGATTATTATTTCTACTGTCAACTGAAGCAGCAATTTACAATTAAAGTTAAGATGGAAGATTATAAATTTCTGTTTAAAGTCGTACTCGTTGGAAATGCTGGGGTTGGCAAGACATGTCTTGTTAGAAGGTTTACACAGGTGAGGTTTGATTTAAAGAGAAACATGTTTGATATGAATTATAGTTAATAGATGATTAATTAGCTAATACTAAACTTATCTGATAATATATATAATTGTATTTGTTACAGGGCCTTTTTCCGCCGGGACAAGGTGCCACAATTGGTGTAGATTTCATGATCAAGACTGTTGATATAAATGGGGAAAAGGTGAAATTGCAGATTTGGTGAGTTATATTAAATATTATTTAAATATTTATTAAGTCTAGTTGGAGTAATTACATAAGTAAATATTCCATTTGCAGGGATACGGCTGGACAGGAAAGGTTTCGGTCAATCACGCAAAGTTACTACCGGTCAGCTCACGCCCTCATTTTGGTGTACGACGTTAGCTCCCAACCAACTTTCGACTGTCTTCCAGACTGGCTTAGGGAGATTGAAGAGTATGCAAATACCAAAGTTCTCAGAGTTCTTGTTGGTGAGTTTTTAACCACATAATTCATAATAATAATTATAATTATGTTTGCATTACAATATTCTCTTTACAAATTTAGGAAATAAAACGGATCGAGAAGACAGGGAAATACCAACATACGTCGGGGAAGACTTTGCCCAAAGAAACAATATGTACTTTATGGAAACTTCGGCTAAAGAGGCGGATAACGTTGAGAAACTCTTTATGGAAATTGCACACGCCTTGATAGAAGTAAGAATATAGAAAATTGAAATAATGTCTACTTCCTTAATTGGTTGATGCTCTGCTTAATTGGTGGATTTTCGCAATTTTCAGCAAGCAAAGGTGAGAGAACCGGTGTCAGAGTACAAGGGAGGGGCTGGACCAGCCATTCACGTGAATAGTTCCAGAAATAATTCTGCCTCCAGTGAAAGCTGTTGTGGTCGCTTATTATGATCATTTCTCTGTTCGACACTCCCCATTCCTCATCTTTCGTATGTACCTTACGCCAAGAAAAATAATCACCGGTGGTTCACCAAACATTCATATCCGCCTTCTACACTGCAATTTCAATTATTTATCGTTTCTTATTTCAAATGTGGTTGTGGTGTATTAGTGAATCATATATTTAGTCTGACTTGTTATCATTTAGGCATATAGTTTATAATATCGAGTTGATGTTGAATTTAATTGAGACTCTAGTTGGAATTTAGATTCATATGCATTGTTTCCAGATTTATTAAATGTTGTCATTTCACTTTAGCTTTGAATTCCAGCGTAACTGTGGTACAAATAGTTTACAAAGTTGTTTACAATGGTTTTGCTTGTTATTTTCTCTCCACTTTACTTACTTTTACACCTTCTTGAAATTTTAAATATCAATCAATCACTACAGTGTTTGAAATAGCTGAGAAATGTCAACTACTACTAATTTATTATTGGAGAAGCAGCAGAAAGAAGAGAAGAAGCCTGCAGACATTACCTATTTACCACAAAATGGTTACCATTGCAGCTTGCAATAATATTTAAGTATTGGGAAACCCCCCACAAACCTCAGTATTTCTATTTTGATACAAGACTATCATGCTATTTGTAATAATGGTACCACAAATTTCCAAGCTAATTTAGTCCACCACAACTTATGTATAATATAAATAACACTAAATTTAGAATTATAGTCTACATATGCTATACATACTCCATCCACTTCCAGGAAAACACTATCATAATAATGCTATAATAGTTAGTTGGAGTGATTAAAAAAGCTAAAAAGGTGCATAATTCATAAGTATTACCATGATCAATCAATAAACACAGATTTTCTGATGCAATGTAATCGAATTCTCGTCTTTGTTACCCATTTAATGTTTATTGGAACATTTTATTGTGAGGTGGTCGCATTCTTTCTTTAATCTTTCCAAAGTTTATTATGTTTTAGTCATTGTTTTCATGACATGCAAATCTCGTCAGATTGCAATGATGACGATGATGATGATTTTCCTGCCAGCGGAATAGCTCAAATCAAATCATCCAACCTCCACTCTTTCCCATCGTCAGTTGTCAGTTTACAAAATTTGGTGGAAAGTGAAGATTGGATAATATAGCACAGAGGAAGTTTGCAATTACGTACAATAATTAAGAGTCTATAATTACACTGGTGGGACGTTAAATTATTTAACGTCACCATCATGAGTTTAGGAGTGTGGAAGTCGTCCAAAAAGACGATCAAGTTTGTTGTTGATCTCCACCTCGAAGAATTGTCTTCCGTTCCATTCCTCGCTGGTGTTATCTTCGCCAAATTGAGGCTCTTATCGGGTGGAAATTTCCGTAGAATTTCAGACAGGTGAGCTTTGCGGTTCAATATTTGTACTTTCCCAAGTAAATAATAATAATAACGTAAACGTAATCTTGGTTTTAGGGAAGAAATTGTGGATCATCGAGTATGTTGGAATAGTCATTTCGAATTTGAATGCAAGCTGACGGCGACCTTGTCGACGGGGACGTTAGATGCTTGTACCTGTCGCGTTTCTGTTCGAAGGGTAAATAGATTTATTTGTGGTATCAACTGGAATGATATTAGAAATTATGAGAAATTAATTAAGAATTTTCTTGGCCATTAACGAATTAGGAATCCCAGGGAGGAAAGAGCTATCAGAAGCTTGGGTTTGCTGATATCAACCTCGCAGAATTTGCAGGGGGCACTCCACAATCCCGGTCTTTCTTGTTAGAAGAGTATAATTCCTCGACAAGGGCGAATAATGCTTTGCTCAGAGTAACACTGTGCATGCGAGTTAAGGAAGGAGACTTTTGCTTTAAAGTGTAAGTTGGACAAATGAAAGGCGAATTCTAATTACAATAATATACAAGCTGACGGATTTTAGATTAATAAGATTGTTGTGTATTTATTGTTTTTAGCCCTCAACCATCTGCACCATCCTCTTCTTTCTTTTCTGAAACATTAACGTTTCCAGAAAAACCGGAACACCCTGAGCAGCCTCAAATTGAGAAGGAGGCAACTCAAGGGGAGCACAGTCGTCAAAGTTCTTCCTCTGATTCCGGAGTTGTGAGGTAGGTATCTACATATGAATATTAAAAGACAGTATAATTTCATATGTAATTCTCGTTAATATTAAAAATCTAATCATTGTTTCTTTTACTAATTAAAGTCGAGAAATCGCGTCCGAGTTTGGAAGCTTGGAACGAAATTCTGGAAGAAACTCAGCCCTGTCATCCGGCCCAATGTTGGACAGAGAAAAAGTGGGGTCGTCAAGAGTAGATTCAACTCGAGTAGACCCTGAATATTTGATAGACGAGCTCTTACGAGAGTCTAATTTAGAGTCTAGCCCTAATGAAGGTACGTAGTGAACCAAATCACCAGTTCTTAGATATAAGATTAGTGTCACAAATACAGTTCCAACTTATTCACGCCTAATTTCTTGTATACTTATTCGAGTTGTTTTTGTCCCCCATTACTTGCATCACCCTTGTATCAATCCGGAATATTTACAATGACACATTCTAATTGTACTATTTTTTCAGGGGGTGGTCTCACTCTTTTTATCGGGAAAGACGGTTCAGCCGCCGTTGTTGGGGACTGACTAACTTAAAAACTGACTAATATTGGCTTCTTCAAAACTCAAGTAAGAGGACCAACCTGTGATTCATACCTCTAGTGAACACAACGCACCATACGCAACATTTGGAATGCAAAATTGAACCACATTTATTCAATGTAAGAGTACAACAATGATGAGATGAAAATAATAGTAGAGTATTATTGTGCTGCCCAATTTGTGCATAATCTATATTTATAATATTATATATATTGATACTGCTACGTTTTATTATGAACAAAGCCAAACGCAAAACCCGATGTAATCCAGTGAACACGACGCAATGTTTAAAAAATGCAAATGAATGAAACAACAAACGCAAAATATTATTACGTAATAAACTGCTGGCTTTTATGCCTCTATTATTTTAATCTACAAAAATCTGCAACTATTGGCATTTTGTATCCACTCACATATCATAATTATAAGAAATTTTAAAAATAGAAACTACTTTTCTAGTAATACAAGCATTAGTAACGATCGGGTGGTAGACGCAACTCGTCGCTGGGATCTACCATGATTTGCAAAACGTCGAGATCTTCCAACATCACCATGCGTTCTTCCTGGCTTGAAGTAGTTTTGATTTCCGGGCTAACACAAAGAACATCTTGACGATGAATATGACGATGATAAGCAACATCAATACTGGGACAAGGATCATCATGGGAGTGGACAAGGTCGCCGTCGTCGTCTTCTTCCTCAATCTCATGAGTTCGGGACGATTGTAGCAGGCGTAGTTTGACACTCGGGCGAAGGTCGGGGGGATCACTTCCACTATTTCCAATAATTTTTGTATATTCTGCTCGATTATTTGGTTCATTTTCATACAAATTTGTCATAATTGCGACATGAGCTTGCTTACATATTTCTATCTCGCTGGAAGATCCCGTATCGTCTAAAAAGCATTAATAAATGAGTAATGTTATGCTTATTTGCTGGAAAACAGTATTCAAGCATTATTTTCAACTATTATAAATGTACCCAAATCCGTCGTCGTCTCGAACTCGTGCAGGTTGGCAAAGCAGTCGGACATGAGAGGATTGTCAGCACAATCCACTTCGTCATCGAGAATATAGTTGACAAAGCTGTTAAACTCGTCTGAGATTATTGACTGGTTTAAAGAGCTTTCGGCAAGGCTTCCACCCTTCAATGTGCAACACAATTATGAAATTCAGTAATCAAGCAAATTAAAATGGTACAATTTCTTGGCTAAAGCTAGGTGTTACCTTAGAAGACGAATTGCCATCCCGGATGGATTGCAGGTCGAAAGTGCAGGTACTCAAGGCAGCAGCAGAAATCTGTCCAAAAGGTTCCAGTGTCATCGGCGGTGCAAATGCGAAAGGGTTTGGAGATATCACATTTAGAATGTATGGATGCAGTGTTATGACCTCATTGACATCAGACTGAGTTATCATGCCCGCAGGTTCCGGATTCTTCAGCAGAGCCACGAGTTTCTCGTCTAAGGGAGTCGTACGTATCTGGACTTCTTTCGGACACAGGAATTTTATAGGAACTGAGTAAAGTGAGCATCCTTCCTCCTTCAGTTTGGATGATAGTTTGAGATTCAGCAACCTAAGCGTCTTCTTGGAGACTTTGACAAACTCAGATTCCCACAGATTTGGAAAATACTTTTTTCGGTACTTTCGAATTTTAGAATGTCTACTTCTGGACCTGATTTTTTGAACTGATGAGGCTTCTCCGGAAGGATAACTACTCATGGCTTTATTCCACTTCGGCGGCCTACCCCTGGGACGAGAGTTCATTTTAATTGTTTTACCCATTGCAAGTACTAACGAACTCACTCCTTATTTTCTAGAAAAACTTTGTTAACTGGGGGCAACTAGAAGTTCAAAATTTTTTGGAACAAGTCGTTCCCTCGCAGCACCAGAGGTTAACCTGTGAAATGAAGTGAGAGCGTGAGACAGACTTTCTTGACACAACATGAAATAAAATCACGAGCTATGACCCTTGGTCATCCTCAAAAAAGGACAGGAAGAATATTAAGCCAATCAAATTTATGTTTATTGGGGGTCGCATTTTCCCTTCGATGAACCCATGGAATAGCAATCCATGAACCAAGAAACCAACAAACATGTGTAGCTACGTACATCCAAAGACATATGCAGATCTAAAATCACTTTCTAGTAAAATTCCAGACATGCTATTCAAAATTTTCGGTTGTGCACTACTATTGTAATGAATTTGAATGTGGAATGCGTTTGGCTGTGATTGAGATGAGAGTATTGAACCTGATTTTATTGAATATGCGTATTAGCTTATACAGGTATGTACATTTGTCTGTAATGGGACACAATTCAAGAAATGGTAGTTCCATGCTTTCTTGAGGTCAAAGACATTATTCTTATAAACATTTGTTAGGATTGTGGAATGACCCATTGTCATAGCTTCTCAGGTTTTGCAATGAAGACCGGCTCTTAGAACATGCCGTGTGATAATTAAAAATTAAAAAGTTCAAATTATTACTCATACGTCGATTATTCCGGAGTGTGCATGCAAAAAAATGACATGTGTGCAATGCACACATGTAAAAGTTTAATCACTCGGAAGATGATATTGATCGTTGATAAATTTAATATACAGGGTGGTTTAAATGTCAGGTTACAATGGAAAATTTTTCAATGGGAAAAATTCGTAAATTTCCATTAGTTACGGATTTGGGATTGAAATTTTTATTAATTTTTATCAAAACTTATGGAACACCGATGACAAAATTCTTAAAATATTGAATTTCAGAGGCAAAATTTCGGTAACTAATGGACATTTGCGAATTTTTCTCATTGAAAAATTTTCCATTGTAACCTGACATTTAAACCACCCTGTATATGTTTTATATTTATTATGTATTGCAACAAGTGTTTGCTACTTTTTGATTGGCTTTAATTAGTCGTATCACCTTCTTTTACAATGTGGACAGGACAACAGGTCATTATCATTACCGATATAAACGTCTGTTGTCAATCATTCGTGTCGGGGTTGAATCCAAAAATGTTTTGCAACTTCATACAATTCGATCAGGGTCCAATGTGCAGGTCACTGCTGTCCCTAAAAATTGTATAAGTGATTATACAATATTAAAAAAAAACAATTATGTAAAAATTTGGAAAATCTTCTAGCGCCTAAGCTTCTAAAATGGTTTGAGACACAATTTCATAAGATTTGCATGTAATTTATTCATGCAAAATTATATATCAATAATATATTCATATGTACTAATTACCTATTTGGCAAATGCCTTACTGGTCAGCAGAGTGACTTAAATTAAGAAGCAGATTAGAGGTTCATGGAACGTGCACAGGTCAAGAGTCAATTGGCATAAATCCCCGTTCTCAATTGCCTGTCGTGTCAAACTAGAGAATTATCATCCATCGTCAGTAAGGCCCGACTGAATCCATCCGATGCATTACATAATAAACTGCTAATAATAACGCTGTTCCAAATCAAAGCGTACCTACACGACTTTATAATTTTATATGTATGTACACATAAATTTAGACTACTGACTCAGATATTGGATTTTTTGTTGACTTTTTGTAAATCAAATCTCACCCATGGGACTTTCCCAAATCCCAGTGTCACACAGTGGATTGGTGTAATAATTAGTCATTAAAGTGGACATTGATTTTCAATTAATGATAAGTATGAATCAGATAAGGAGATTAGTAGTCTCAATATAAATCGTCTCCGGTATGAGCAGAGTGTCATTCGCAGTTTACTACCCTGCCCTCATCTCAGTTTTAAACTTTAGACTAAAAAGAGTCCCTATAAATAAATTTCAAAATGGAAAATAAAATAAAAATTGGAACGGCTCTCTTCTTGGGAATCGTTTGTCTTTTTGCCCTCACCTCCGCCAAACTTGCCGACGATCCATTGATCGCGGAATGGTTGCGCGAGCAGAGAGAGCCCATTCCTTATCAAGAGGACGTATTTGTCACAATCAGAAACGGTACGATCCGAGGGACCACGCTCCTTGACCCCAACAATGCTACGATGTACGCCTTTCTGGGCATCCCTTACGCAGCCCCCCCTGTTGGCCAGTTGAGATTCAAGGTGACGTATTTGTCGATAAATAAATAGCATGATTTATTGTGCGAAATAACTAACATTGCTTTAAATTCCGTCAACTACAGCCCCCACAGCAGTACAACGGATGGGGTGGTGAGATCAGGGATGGGACTCAGCATCCTGACGCTTGCGCTCAGTTTTTGACCAACGTGACCATTGCCAGCGAGGATTGCTTGTTTGTCAGCGTCTACACTAAAAGGGTTAGCACTTGACGAGTACAAATGAATATTTCCATGAGCGTTACTTTATTTCACGATTTTTTTACATTGTAGAGACAAGGAGACGGTGGGGCCCTTCCGGTAATTTACCCATTTAACATATGAAAAAGTTCTCATGCGATTATAGAGAATGACGATTTCCCATTTGACAAAAGGTCATGTTTTGGATTCATGGAGGAGGTTTCCTTCTTGGACAAACGAGTTATTACACAGGCAAACGATTGCTAGCTGAGGATGTCGTTTTGGTTTCCGTCCAGTAAGTTATTCGTGTGTGCAAAAAACAGTAGCTTTGCGATGCTTCGAAGTCATTTTATTTAACGAAATTTTTCATGAAAATGAACAGATACCGCCTCGGACCACTTGGGTTCTTGTCCAGTGGAAATGATGGAGTCATTCCTGGAAACAATGGAATGGTGCGTAGCAGTTTGTTGTTTTAGATATTGTATTATTTCACAATCATACCTTCACAAAATCACTTCTTGTTTTTTTCACGTATAAAGAAAGATGCGGTGCAAGCTTTGAGATGGGTGCAAGAAAATATTGCCGCTTTCGGTATGCAAATCACGATTTCCTCGTCAAGTAGCAATCCTTAATAAGTTTTTACACTTTTGATTCTACTTCCGTAGGCGGTGACCCAAACCGCGTCACAGTTTTCGGAGAAAGTGCTGGGGCTGCATCTTCCATCTTTATGCTGACCTCTCCACTCGCTCGAGGTGAGCAAGTATAAAATAAATAGTTTCCGTTTGCTGAATACTTGTGCTCACGTTTTTGTGAATATTTCAGGCCTTTTCCACCAAGTTGCTGCCATTAGTGGCTCATCCCTCGCCGAATGGTCAATGGAACGCAACCCGGTCGACACTTTGACGAAAGTTGGCGCATTCTTGGAATGCGACACCAGCAACACCACCACGATCCACAGGTAAGTCATGTCAAGTCAAGTAATCCTTTACAAATATGTCAATAAATATTATAAACTGGTTTCCAATGAATCACACAACAGTTGTTTAATGGACATGCAATGGGGCTTAATCTCCCAGGCTCACTTTTACATTCTGGTACTGACAAAACAAATAGTCCCGAAAGTTATCTTATCACTAACATTTTTCTACTGTATCAAATCCTAGTTGGAGGACCAAGTCGCGAATCTTCGAGCAATCCTTCCCGGAGCCTCTATCGTAATCGAGGAAGACGTTCCCGGCGCATTTTTGATCGACGAACCCTTGAAAATCATGGAGAGTGGAAACATTCCTCAAGTTCCAGTCCTTTTGGGAGCTAATCAACACGAGGGCAGTCTCCTCGTGGGGATGGCTTACGTCCTCAAGTTGGCGTCTTCCGGAGTTTTGGATGATCCAGTCTACGTGCGTGATCATTTAATCGGCGATTTACTGGCCACTTGGGACATTAATGAGAATAAAAATGGGGCTTCCATGTCACAAGCACTTTCCCTCGGCTTCTTACCAGGAAACCCACGAACCAACTTTTCCACCTTTACCTATGAGCTTATCGATGTAAGGAGACAGTAAAATATGGGATTTTATTTGTCCAAGATTATTAATTTGATCTCTTATCTCATGTCATCAGATGATCAGCGTTGTCTTTCTGAAAGCGCCGATCCTGAGAACAGCAGATATCCTGAGCCGAAAGGTCCCCTCGGTCTACCTCTACTCCTTCGAGTATTATGGCGAGATCAGCTTGTGGAACTTGGTCTTCAGGTTGGTCGAAGAGCTGTTTGGAGATCTTCTCCCAATTCCAGAGTTCTCCGGAGGTGAGGCAAAGTCTTAGCATTTTCCACTATTAAAACAACTTTAAGTTTAAAAGCCCTGAACACCTCAACCTTAAATAACGTATGCATTTGCTGTGCAGGAATCACCCACGCGGACGATATTCCATACATGTTCACCATGCCTTTGAATGCTACGGAAGCAGATTTAAGATTCTCCAAAGTTTGGTGTGAACTATTCACCAACTTCGCAACCTTTGGGTAAGTAGTACATTGTACATATTTAGTTGCTCATTCTGAAATTATTGCAAACTTTACGCAACATATGAATATACGTGAATGCTGCAAACATTTCAGAAACCCAACGCCAGTGGCCACTCCAGATTATGAGATCTGGCCTAAATATACTGTCGAAGGGGCGTCCTACATGCAAATCGGTGCACGATCAGTGGCAAAGACGGACTACGCTTCCTCTTGGAGACAAGGAGTTCCCGGAGAGAAATAAATTATTTAAATCACCTCTTGTAAAAGACAATCAGTAAATTGTTATTGGAAATCAATTCGTAATAAACCTTAAGTATTACAATACCCACAATGAGTCCCATACATATTCCTAAAATTATCTACATCCCTAAAAAGATCAGTATCGAGCTTTCACTTTCATATGGAACGGTGTGGGACTGAGTGTGAACCCCGGTGACGGATCTGTGGTTGGATCTGGTTGATTCTCCATCTTGGAAAATTCAAACTGTTGCACAAGAGTCGTAAAGTAGAGGAAGATTGCTGGAGTTGCTTGCGTCTCTCCGAGGCAGAATCGCTTCCCTGTTCCATGGGGCAAGATTGTCATTGTAAAAATATCTCCCCACCATTCGAGCAACATGATAAATGCTAATATTCTCACCAAATCCGAACGGCGAAAACTTTGACATGTTGCACAACTCGCCGTTGGAATCGATGAAACGTTCCGGACGAAATGCCTTCGGATCATCCCAGTACTTTTCGTTGACGAATACCGAGTGCAGGTTGGGAATTATGGTCGTGTCCTATAAAATAGTGGTCAAACAGTTGTTAGAAATTTCCCAAAATTGCGTTTGAATATTGTCAGATAATTAAACGGGTATTCCGCACCTTTGGAAATGTGTATCCTTTGTAGGTAAAATCTTGCATGACTTTTCTTGGAGGTATAACGGGCACAATGTTACCAAGTCTCAAAATTTCCATGATTGTGGCTTGGACGTAGATCATTCTGAGCATAAAACAAAATGTGAATTAGTTTGATAGTCATTTGTTTGTTAGTCACAATTTTTTCTCACTTTTGTTTATGCTCAAACAGAACTTCACCTCCATGCGGGACAACTGCATCAATTTCCTTCTGCACTTTGGCTTGCACTTCGGGGTTAAGAATCAAAAATAGAAGACCAAAGCTCAGAACCCCATTCAGTGTTTCCGTCCCAGTCATGAATAGATCTATCATCACTATGAGCAGTTGATCATGTGTGTAAAAACCTTCGGACGGGTCGGTCTCATTCATTTCGTCGATTTTAGCGAGAAAAACGTCCACAAAACTGTCCGGATTTGTTCCGTAGTCCGGTCTTGCTTTATGTTCTGCAATGATCTCCTAAGACAATTGCAATATATATTTTTTGTAAATTCTAAAACCTTGAAATGCTCCTTAATCAGTGACCTCACCCTAAAATACTCATGAAACTCGGCAAATCCTGCCTTAAACAGGTTGGCATTTGTCGCATTGGGGAACATATGCCGGAGGAATGGAAATGCGACGGAAATGTCCGACCCAAAGTTCCCAGCTTTGAAGAGACCTTCATTCATTTCAATGAATTTGATGAGCCGTTCATCATCATAGCTGAACGTCTTCCCAGCAACCATGCTCCAGATGACGTTGACGAGACTAAGGTTAAAAAATGTGTAGACATACACGGACGAGTTGCCACTGGCCTTCGCATCAGTCTTGATCTTATCCACGAAGTGACGGAGCTCTTCACTCATCATGGACTCCAACGAGCTCTTTCTCCCAAACCCAAAGTCCCTCAAGGTACGGATGGTAAAGCGACGGACAGATTTCCACATTTCGCCATTGCTGAAGAGAACCCCTGCAAATATGGGACAATAATCATGCTCCTGAATTATCCGGAAATGGGTAATCTTTTTTCTTACCCAATTCCTCTTTGAAGCTCCGATCCGCGATAAACTCCTCGAGTACTCGACCAGCCGTTTCATCTTTGGCGAGAAGAATTGCCATGTCTTCGAAAGATGTGACAACAACTAGATAAAAAAATGTGATTTTTTACACAGAAATTTTGCACTTGATAAAAAATAGATTGTCATTAATTCCGTCTCACCAGCTTCCTTCATTCCCATTTTGATGCTGAACAGTGGCCCGTAAGTTTTGGACAGGACATCAAACGCTTCAAATGGCAATTTTTTTCCTGTCAATGCCATTTGATGAAGATTGCCAATTATGGGAAGTCGAGTTGGTCCTGTGAATGGAAAAGGATAAATAATTAACCTTTAGTTCACTAGACGGATCAGAAATTTTTAGTAATAGAAACACAGTAAATACGAACCTGGGGGTCGTTTTGCTACGGAGTAGTTATCCTTCCAAAAGAGGTATGCAAATATGCATGATACAAGTAGTACAAATTCCACTAACATTTTAAAAAATTGTGGAAATTTATATTAATGGTAGTAAGCGATCAACTTACTAGAGCTAAATATGTCTCATGTAAAAAAAAAAGTCACGCATATAAAAAGTTGTTTACTGAAACTTAGTTTGAGACACAATGACAGGTTTGGCTAGATCCACTCTGAATATCAAGGTGTGATTTAATGTATTTACATAAGGAAATTTGGTACGAGTGTTCAGTCCTGAGCATTACTGCAACGTGTGTAAAATAGATTGATGGGTGACGATTCCCACGGATATGGAATTTTGGTGGGTGAGTTCAAGAGGCCCCCAGTGGTAATGTCGTGGATGTGCAGGAATTAAAACTTGCGCAATAAAATATAATTGGGCCAGGACACTTGGTTGTGGTTTCAAGTCAATATATTTTACATTAGGAAAACTCAGACAAATTTATAATTGGATTGGTCAGGAAAGATAATTAGAATGGCTCAAAACTAACAAGACAATCGCATGAGAATAAACATTGCACCCTTTTTATACCTGACTTAACGGAATGAGGAAAATGTTCCTTCAAATTAGATTACAGAAATGGACTTGGAATAAAATGTTACAATACTTGGGTTAGGAATTAGCAAAAGGTTAACTTTAATTTAAATTATTAAACTAACTTAAACGACAGAGTCAGAGAGTTAAATGTACTGCGTAAAATTAGAGAATGTTGAACTGGAATGATAAATTTTTACAAAATGCACCCAACAAAGATATCAAATGATCTAGCGTTGCATGCCAAATTTACACTGCTAGAAGAAGCATAAAGTCAATAACTAATACGTAGGCATGAGTTTGACATTAAGCGTTTTTCTTGCGTGATTTTATAACCTGTTTACTGCGATGTAGTCCATTACGATATTTATATCGCACATTTAAAGAAATCGCATTCGCTTAAAAGATTGAAAGTAGTAAATACAAACAACCATCCATCGTTTACAAAATCGCAAAAGCACAACAAATCTAATCGTAAGAGGAGTGAAGTCATAATTATATTCGTAAGTGTGCTTTAGATCGTCAAACTATCCTCCTCAGGATGATGGGGATGGTCACGCTATAATAAAGGTCATAATTGCCTGGAGCATGCATGAAAGGGGGACATAAGGGACAACATATAGATATTTCAAGCCATTATTGTCATATCAGTATGGCTACCTTTACCTACCTAGATGTATGTGAGAAGCTGTTATCACACAAGAAGTTGTAATCAGACATTCTATGTGGTACTGCCCAAGTGAGTGCAAAAAAGTTAAGTTTTAACCTAGTAACGAGGAAAAATAGCTGGAGATGTGTAAAATGTACACACAACAATCATCATCTCATCAGGATATGGTATACACGAAGCCTTTCTTATGAGGAGGAGAGGTTGTGAGGTTGGCAGTACCCAATTTATGTTGGAGTACTGGGTGAGAGTACAAAAGGGGAAGGAGGGTTCACCCCATGTGGCCCCCGCCACACCCACTCTAAGGAATTACAAGTACTAAAAGCGGCGTATTTTAGCAAACCTTTGTTCAATTTTGATATATAGAATTTTTATAATTTTCGAATTTTCCTGGTACTAGATAGTTGTTTTATTATATCGAAATGAAATGAAATGTTTTCGAAATTTGCAGATATTTAAAAAGATCAAAACTTAAAAAAAGTTGACTTTGATGTTGGGCATCATAAAGTAGCCATCTATGATCAAGAAAATACACAAATTTTAAAATCAGAGTAAAATTGGATTTCGGTTATGATTTGAACTGAAAAGCGGATTTTCTCGTGTTTTTCGTGCCTTTGAGTGGGTGTGACGGGTGTACCTAGGCATGAATAAAAACTAGCTGGGGATCTTACGATTAGTACATGTTATCAGAGTGTTATCAGTGACTACAAATAAACAAAATGGCATCAAAAGCCGGTATTGCCACCCTCACAACCTCTCCCCTTACATGGTTATGCAACCTACAAAAAAGCAGTATACTAAAAAACGCAACAAGATTATTATACACCTATAGAGACGAATAAAACTATGCAATTCTAGTTTTTCAGGTATGAAATGCCATCAGATATATGTACTTAGATAACACAGTAATACTTGTGTCCCTCGTAAACTTTTTGTCACTCAAATCTCAAGTTCATGGTCAGTGAGTGTTGATGAAATTTGGTATTTTTCCACTACCCTTTCTTCACCTTATGAATTGTCTTTAATGTATTTGTCCAGATCCTGAGGACGCAATGTTTCCACGTGAGTTAGTGGGAACGTTCCTTGCTGAAAACATTAAATTATTATGCATTAAACTCTTATTCCTGGTCAAAATATGCATGTAGTTGAAATTTGCACACCTTGTCTGTGCCCAATATTTCGCCGACGCCTTGCCCATGGCTTCTCCTCGTTATCCGAATAATGTCGTCAAGTTTAAGAGTGAGAGCTTGTGAATCGTACGAGATTGGAGTTCTTGCTTTAATCACCCTGGCGTAAATTGGTGGGTGTGTCTGCAAAGTACACGTCAGGATAGCAAAATTTTGCTCTATTTCATACATTTTTGTATAAATAATCAGAATTAAAAGTCGAAGCCAAGATTACATCGAGTGTGTGAGACATTGGGGGAGCAGATATTCTAGAATTTCCAGGCTGACTGCTCAATTCCGGCAGCTGAAATGTCGCCACTGGAACGACGGTCCTTCGATCACTGACCTTTTGGATTTCCATGCATACACATTTTTACCTGGTACTCGAATTTACATAATTGTAATTTTAATTAGAAACCTGATCATTTGAAAACTGATGTCTATGCAAAAGCACTTTTTCTTTGGAGACCGGTCTTATCAGCGCCGTCGTTGTGAACGTGTTCCTCTTGTAGAAGGAAAGCAGTGCGGGCAAATCCTTGAAGTGGAACTCTGGTCGGATATAAAGTTTTCCGGATGAATGCGTGGACACGAGGTACTCCATCAAAGTGTTATTCTCTCTGGAGTAAAATTACAGGGTGTAAAACATTTTAAATTAACTAGCTCGTGTCGAAATGTGTGTTTGACGTACTTGACACAAACAACGTAGCCACTTCCACGGGTAGAATCGCGGACTAGAAAAATACCCTCGCTTTGATCGCTCAAAATGGCAACGGCATCTTCGTGCTTGACTCCTTTGAAGTAGTAACTAGTGTTTGAAATAAGTGTTATTAAAGAGTTTTTGTTGTTAAATAATTACACAAACCTGGAGAGATCAGTCTCATCAAATTGGGAGGAACTCATTTTGGTGAAAACTTGCAGTTTTTTGAATTAGTCTTGACAAGGACTTGGTAGACTGATTACGACACTTTTTTGAGCTGACCACAAAGCCAGATTGAATAATTGTTTCTGAATGCAACGTATTTATTGTGGCAGGAATTAGTCAATGTAGGAATCCAGACACATTGATGAGTATGTGTGACTAGATAAAACGGAAATTAGGGTTTGAGGCTGGACGTTAACAACATGACATAATTAACACGGGACGGAATTTGCAGTTTATTTACATCCATACATAATTTAAGATATTGAAATACGGAATAGTTAATCTGCAACGTATGTGTGCTTTGGTAGCTGTTTGCTAATATGTTAGGGCTGTAATGTTACGGCATTATTTTTCCTTGTCCTTCTTGTCAACACTCGTATTAAGAGCGGATGAGTAATATTGTCACGTACGTACAGTCATTAGCGCAATATATGCATTGACTGATAACACATTTTCAGTCCATGATGCAGTATCTGCATGAATATACTCACACGTATTTAAAACGGGGCTATTGAATTAGGTAAAATACAAATTCTTTGGAAAAGCTGTTGTTCATGATAATCTAAAATTTGCTGTGATGAGTTTTTCTCATGATTTGAGATGAAATTTGTTTTTGCTTCAATGAAATATATTAAATTTTGTATTTTGTTTCATGAATTTCATTTTACTCATGAGCTTGGACTAAAACATGGCTACGCATTTTTAGTCGCACATTTTTTTGGCATTTTGTATTTGGTATTTAATGGTTACATCATCCATTCTGTATCATCCCGGTTAAAAATTGCTGTCAAATTCTACACAAATCATACAAAATACGAAAATTCGCCAATATTTATATGCAATCGAATATGTGGTATTTTAATTTGCACGGTTTGGGAGGATATTTTTATATGTTGTAATTTGTGTGTTTGCAAACATTGTTAACTTGTTTGAAAAATAGGATTTTATTCCATTAGACACGTCGAGTATGAATATTATGTTTAATTGAACAGTAATATTATATTCACTCTTTTTAAGTAATAACAATAATAACAGTAATTAACAGTATACATATGAATGCAACAACACGATGACAATAATACCTTATCATGTATTTTCTAAATGTTAGGACTTTCATACAATAATGATCAATGTTACAAAAATAATCAATTAAGCTAAATCTTTGAAGACTCATTTTTAGACATAAATTCCTACCCAAGTAGTAAATATCTTATGTATGTAACCGTTTAACGCTAACTTAATATCTGAATCTTAATATCTGTTGCTGTATCTTTGAGTCTGTTGCTGGTACGTGTTGGTGTCCCAGTTCCCCCTCGCACTGGAATAATACGTGCCGAAGGGTACACTTCTGTTAATTGTGACATTGAGTGGTCCAGAGCGTTCACTGTAGCCGGACGGATGTTCCGTTGGGGGCGCTACCGGTCTCCGAAACGTTTCAACTGGCCGTCGGCTCAAATACTGTTGTTGACTCCTCAATGCGCCCGGTTTCCGATCTACCTGCTGTGAGCGTCGCTGTTGTTGATATTGCTGCTGTGGTTGACGGTCCTCGTCTTGGATGACGCGAGCAATCACCTGAAATTGACCAAACTTTGCATAATAAAAGCTGTTCCGACGTGCGGAAACAAGTCTTGACTTTACCTCTCCTTGTCCATATCCCATCGTTCTGAGTGGTGGATATTCCTCCACGCCTCCCTGATTCACCTTCCTCCGTCGCGTCGTTCTTGCAGCGGCCGTTGGAGCGACCCTTGCTCCCCCTCCGCCCCCGTAGTTGTCAATTCCTGACGAGTAGGTGGCAGCCACTCTGGAGTTGCGGTGATACGTGGCACCCGCCTGGGGACGGGAGGACGACACCGGTCTCGTCGTTGGTCTGGCTGGTCCCGTGTAACGAGCCGTCGGTCTGGATCTCGTGTACGTCAACTCATTCGCAAATCGTGGTCCACCATAGCGATCAACATTCTCAGCGTCTCCGGATCTGAGCTGGAGTCTCGAGGGGGGGTTGGAAGCCCCCTTTTCCGACCAGGCTGCCGACACTTTGTGGTGCGGAAGGAGTGGGCTGAGCTCGTCGTCGTTATTGCTACTGCTGCCAAAGTCTAAGCTTTTTGGTTCGTTTCTTCCTCCTGCGGGTGCGGAAAAAGTGGATGAGTAAACCATTTAGGTAATTCATCACCCGTAATTCCTACCTGTCTCGACAAGACCTTCGTACAAGCGAAGCCCTTCACTGTCCGGGGTGGGCGACACGACGGGAGCACCGACAAATCTTCCTCCGGCACTGCTTCTCCTCCCAGTATTCACAGAACTCACTTGGTAACTTCGGTCCACGATGGGAATCCCGTCGTCCGACCGCTCAACGTCCGAACCAAATGAGTTTGGAAGGTAAGGAAATCTCGGAACGTCGTCGAGCACTTGACGCTTTCTTCGCAGTTTTTCGCTTCCCTGCAACACGAGAAGTGTCGACGATATAAATATTTGGGGAGAAAATTGCCTTCATTTCTAAAGCTTACATTCAAAATAAATAGATTTGGTAACAACCCAATATGTTAAAAATGGTCTCATTTGACTACATTTTTACATAATAAGTGTGCACTATTGGTATAAACATTCCATGTAAATACAGTGACCCCACTGGTGACCCTGCTATTTTTCGCAGTTGAAGGAGTTACATATTATTGAAATTCATGGCCAAGGTAAAGGCCGTCTCAGTCAAGGAGAGAGAGGAAGATAAGACGAGATTTGAGCAATAAATAATAAATGTGTGTAGTATTTAATCTTTCTTATGGTTTTTGGGACATGGAGTGAATGACAGGAAGAAGGATTGCTCAATAATTCTCCAGCCAGGCGAAGACAACGTGCACGCTTTTTTTGGTCAATCTCACTAAATTATGTATTCTGCTCGTAAAATATAATGCTGAAAAGTTACAGAAGTTGTGAAGAGGCGATGTCCAATCAGTGTTTCTTATTGCCACAAATAAATCTGTCCAATGCGATGATGACTCAATTATTTTTGCAAACATATTTAACAACAACAACATCAGTGAGAATCTTCCAGAGGTACAAAATCAGCATCTACCCTACCAGTAAATTTCTACTTGTTTTCTTAAACATGAATTTTCTGATGTTAATGTTTTTCGGGGAAAGCTGAAAAGTTGCGTTTTGATTTCACGGAATAATTTGAAACTTGACAATAGAATAGCTCAAAAAATGCAGACAAAGCTATGGGATATTTTTACATTAAGCATGAACTTGCCGAATTTCTTAAATGTGTAATGCTTTGAAATGTATGAATACAATATAAAATGCAATTCACTGGAAATGTTTACTAGAAAACTAAATTAATTTTTAAATGGTATATTTGTATCTACCATATAAGTTGTAGTACTCCAAAGAACGTGTATTGTACACAATATTGAAACTTATTTCTTGTTTTGTCACAAAAAGACTCGAAAAATCCAATTACCCAAATTTTTTTAGGATTTATAAATATGAATTCCTAGGAATAATTGATCTGATTGAGCGAACGAGTAGATATGCAGATTTACAAATTTATGCCTTTTAATAAATACTTTCATCTAGATTTTCTGCATGAATTCTCCAAATTCGGAAATGTAAAAAAGATGTGATCGGGATCAAGATACATATTTAAAAAATGAACTATTTGTTACCTGCTCTGGTTTTCTGTGTGGATGAATTTTATGTTCCAAGTCCTCCCCCATTAGTCTCCATTGTTCTTCTTCGTTCGCAACCTCTCCCGTTTTTTTCTTACCGTTATTTGCATGCGTAGTGGACACCTTGGCCCGATGATTCTCCCTTTCGTAGTCAATTTCTTCGGACAAAACTTGGAAAAATGTATCCAGATCCGTTTCCAGTTCTGTGATACGGGTCTCATATTCCCCAATCTTGCCCTCGTATCGAACCACTGCAATCGTCGCGAGAACGGCGATGACTCCGGTAAGAAAAACGGCTAGGAGAGATAACCATCTTGAAGTATCGTCATTGTTGGACGACTTGCCCATGGACGGCAGCATGCTTCTTCGATCTCGTGAAATCACAACGGCTTTGTCAGGAATGAGAACTTGCGCGTATTCTTCTCCATTCGACATTATCAAAAATAATAGAACCAAGAATTAGACGTTCTTAAAAGGGTAATTTTATAGAGCGAAGCAAGTTTTAACTCATCCTTAAAACTGTGAGCTATATTTCTGCAGCTTGAAACCTGTATGACTCTGGGGAATGGAGATGAGGTGCTATTTATGCAATTTGAATTACTCAACAAGTATGTATCAAAGTTTATTTATTTATTTGCCAGCTTATTCCAGATTTGCACACATTTATTTATTCGGGAGCCACGTTCTCATGCATGTTTGGCTGTTTAATTATGTAAAACCAACAGCATAAAGCGAGCCGATGGACACATATACATTTCTTAATGTGTGGAATACGCTACAACGTCAGAGTCCATATTAATTATCCATAACGAACGAATACTTTTCTTGATCTTTGAACACGAACGATTGCAAATATTGCGCTGCATGTTCACAAATCCTGACGTAATTTAATTTATAGTAGTTCTGGTGAAATCCATTAAACCCATTACTGAGTGATACTGATTTTTTGCCGATACATTGACAACGTGTCAAAATTTCAATTCTGAACTCAAGTGACATTTTTTTCAAGGGTCAGTTCCTGTTTACTTAAAAAGTAAGTTTACGTGTCGTGCCACACATAAAAAATGCTGAGTTGCGTAAGCGGAATGCAAAAAACAACTCGTATTTTACTACATTTTCGTAAGAAACCTTGTAAATTTGGGATGAAAACAATTTCAGAGTCTTTGTTGTTCATTTGAATACTTTCTGAAATGAGCAGTAAATAAATTCCATTCAAAAATAAGAAGAAGACGCACAACCAAGAATTGGACATGACAAACATTTCCATTTATTTTCATAAATTACATGGACACGTTTAAATATATGCTTTGCTAAGTATCTACGAACCTTAAATTAGATAATATGCTCCATCACCAAAGTTGAGATTAACTTACACTTCACATCGTTACGTTGAATCCACATCAATACCGTATCGATTACGAGCGTGTGATCAGTTACCTACTCGAGGACATGAAATCATTTCCATTATTTTATAACAACATTTATCTGAAATCCAGACCGTCTCGTGAGAAGGTGAGACTCAAAAGTGAGGAGATGCGTGCTAAAAAGGCGAGTGTTGCCTTTCACCTAAATTCCTCGTAAATATATTTGACAACAATAATGTAATGTATATATAACACTTGGTAATCCATAAATATGTAAGTATTTATCTGTATAGCTCTATTAACATTTAATCGTGTAACGTCCTACAGACCATTAATTGTTTTCATAAATATTATGTTCTGTTCTTATCTGAAATCACCACAGGAGTTCGACGAGTGCAGCAGCATTAGATAGATTTGATAGAAATTCAAGTCTGGAGAGGAGACAGAGAGGATATACTTTTCCATGTACATTATACATACGTATTTATTTATGTGCCTATTTATGTGCGTGCAACTACACCTCGTAATAATCAGCTACAGGTCCAGCTACGTCTACAACACTTGGGTTTCTCTTCAGATCATCTAGATATCCGAAATCTTTGAAATCAAATCACCCTCATAATGAACTAACTATTTATAGAAGTACAGGAAAGTTAGCGTAGTTAGCTCTTTACCCTTTACTCGATCGTCAGTACTTGTAACATGATTATGAAAAGTAAACTATCAACACTTTTTTCCCCTCACAGGATTTTGTTCTTCAATACGATTTGTTCCATCAATGTACAGAATTTGTTCACGTATTAAATTTGTTCTTCTCGTTTGTCTCAGCAGAGAGAGAAAAAAAGAGAGAAAGCATTCACCTCATGTAAATTTACATTAATCCGGGAAAACGATTTGCTTATACGCATTCAGAGACAGAGTGAATACTATTTACCACTTGTTCCTTTTTTGTTCTGGAGAGAAAACGACCAATTCGAATTACACATTGCCTGTGTACATATGTATCAAATTCGAATAAAAAAACTATAGACGTGACAGTAATTTAGGAAATGATTGTCTCTAATGTCGACATTTATGTAGATAATATCTTGTTTTTTCCTTATTATTATATAACATCACATATGCAGTACCATTCATTCGTTCGTCCTGATGTAGTAAATTTGTCGTAGAAGATTCTACCCATTTCTTTCACATGGTATGAAAATTTGGCCAGTTATTTCTCGGGTAAGAAGATAAGTACTTAGTAACACATAGTCGTCAGGTTGGTTATCATGAGTATGTAGAGGAAATTATTAGCAATTCAGCTTGTGGGTAAAGTGAGATGATACGAGGTTGGCTACACTAATCTAAGCATACTAAGGTTTCTTTTGTCTCATTCTCTCCGGTTCTGATTGGCCGTGTTGTTGTGGTCCGAGGAGACGTCTTTGTACGAGGGTGACTTTCGCAAGCCCGAGGTCGCAGTCCCCATTCGGTAGAGATACGTGAAGGAGACGATCAGAGTCAGACCTCGAAGTCCCATCATCGTCAGACCCTTCAGACACACACAAAAGTGAGCACAAGTTTGGGAAAATTTCCGTAATTGGAATCATCTATTCCATTTATGGAGCTGAATCTCAGCATTGCAAAACAAACGGAGCGGAATGAATGAGTCTGTTGTGCTGCTGGGATGGATGTACGTAATGTTGCCTCACCTTGACATCCACCAAGGTTGACCACTGTCCAGATCGAATGGCATGCAACAGATCCACCGCGCAGAGGGAGGAGAAGTGGAGAAGAATTGCCACCAAGGTTGCCCTCGTCACCATTTTGTCCTTTATGTTGAGGAATTTCCAGATCAGATAGGACAGTGCTGCGGCAAGAATATGTATGGCATTAATTAGTATAGCGTTGTCCCAATTAAGCACTGGGTCTGAATGGGAGTCGTTAGTATAACAGTTAATTGCATAATAATTACTGGCCTAGGCAGGACCACATCATCATTTTAGTCCATTCATGTTTCATTCATGGTTGGTAACAGATATGTATTTACAATATTTGGGTGAATGATTAAACGAGAGAGTATTTTTACTAAAAATGTGCCATAAAATTGCACTGAACCGTGGAAATTTGTAGAAAACTGAATATTCTGACCCAGTTTGACATGACCTTGCTTGACACTAGGTGATTACATGGCGTATCGATATCCCGCTTACCCAGCATGGTCACCGCGTAGTACTGCGAGGGAACGTAGTGGGTGGGAGTTTGCACGCCAATGAGTCCCAACTGAGCCGAGCTTTCCGGAAGGAGAATTATGAATCCAGCCTGAAATGCAAGAAGTGAAGCCAGAAAACCCTGCCAGTTCCAGTATCCTTTCGGCAGCTTCAGATACAAGTGCTGCGAGGGGATAACGACACGTTAAAAAATTCGGATTCTACAGTGAAAAAGGGTTGAACTTACCTCATTGTGTCCCAAGACTTGGGAGATCTAAGGAATTATCACTAGTATTACTTATGGATTACTAAGGATATGCACTTATCATAGAATAATGGATAAGTTGTGACTCGGTGGTTCGTACCTTGGACCTGTGAATATCTCCATTGTCCGTTTCTCCCACACCCAACATTTTCCTGGTTTTGAGTCGAGAGTGCAAGTCCCCACTGCTATGTTTCCTACAATAAAAATGAGATGCTCGCCTTGTAAATAAATAAGTTATGGCTTTTTGCATTAAAAACGTTGGCTTTAGAGATTTTCACGTAAATATTTCACCAACACGTTGCCGTGCTTATCATCCCTCTCACTTAAATAAGGGATTACTCGCAGTCGAAGCGAGTAATAGAATATCGAGAAATAATCTAGTAAAAGAATAATGAGGGCAAAGTGAACTTTGCTAATTTATTAAATTATTTACATACTAAAAGGATATTGTATTTAGGAGTTGCCTCCATCCCAACGAAGTGCACCAGCCTTGAAACCATTTCATTTCTGGCAGTGAAAACTGTCATTTGACCTGGAAAGAGGGATGGCCCCACGACCAGGAGAGCATGGTATGAGCACCAAATACATATTTGTATTTGCTGGACCCTGGGCATCCAATATTCATGCGACTTTTATACAGTTATTTACTCCACTTCCTTTTGCTTTCGAGTGGGCAAACAGCCGAGTGGAAACCATTGGAGTGAGTTTAAAGTCGAGATCACAAGATATGTACACACGAAGCTATAAAAGTTGCTTCCTCGCTCGTTGGCCAGAGTTGGATTAATCTTTTCGTCCGACTCGAGTAATAGATGCTTTTACCACGTCGTGGATAAACAAAAGCAACGATTTTCACTCTTCCCAGAGCTGCTCCCAGCCCTTGTTGTGTTATCCCTCTTGGAGATCAACCATAATTCATTTTTGTGTCATCACCATCCCGAAACTCCATTAGTTTGGACTCGGGAAAAAATACTTGTTCAATTTCTGACGAGGCAAAAATGGAAGGTGAAGTGCCATCTAAAATATTCATATTTTTCCTGCTCCTCCGTCCATCGGTTTACGGAGAGGATGGAGTAAGTGGGTGGGTGGATTTGGCTCTGGAGAATAAATCATGCCTATAAAAATCATGTTTCATTACATTTCCTGTGCTATACCTTGGCCCAAAGTGGTTCGAGGGCAAGTCTCATCACTCACTTTCACCAACTTATCATCTCTCTCCCCTTCAACCACCCAGCCAGGAGTGGATCGCAAAAAGAAATACAAATGAGTTGCGGATAGATTGATTGAAATAATGATGATCTCCTTCTTCTTTGGGGATCCAGTTACCGCCTCTATAGTTTTGTGTACACAGCACATGTTGGCATTGGCGTGGAGAAGTGACATCCATGTGTCTAGTTTATACCTGCAGGGAGAGCAGGTAGGGTTCTCCCAAAATTGTGTGTCATAACGCACCTTTCACCAAAATTGATATTTTGTTCTACACAAATGGGACCTATTAGGTGGCATTATTATTGCTATTAGACGCGGGGCGTGCTTTTGATTGTGTGTAATATACACATCAGCGTAATAACGGAACACGTAGAGAAATCGTTACAGTAAAGGTATGGAAGATATTCATATGCATGCCAAAACACCACCAGTACGACGTACCACACACGCCACTGGTCATGAGGTCATGAGGACACGGAAGTTCTTTTTTAACTTGAGCAACAAACTACCCTGCCAATTAAGACAATTGGATATTTTGAATTTTTATGAAAGCATGAATTCTTTCAGGCTTGCTCGAATAGGTGAATAAGATCAAAGCTTCAATCAACTTTGATGTTTTTGTAAAGGAAACATCTCTGACCCAACTTTCCCTAACTTTTCCCCTGGAAAGAGGTTCCTGCCACTTGTTAGCATACCGATGACTGGACCCGAAGTCAAGAGACAATACGTGCATGTATCACTCTTCTTTTCAACTTTCACTCTGTGCGAATCCCGTATTTCGCTCAGTAGAGCATGCATTTATTACTAGTTCATCAGTAACAGGACGTGGTCGCATCATTAGTTTTTTGGATTCCCTTCAACTCCACGGAAAGTTGAGAGATGTGTGCTTTGGACAATGAAAAATTGCCAAGTGGATGGAACGAAACATGATGCCATGAATCTTGCGCTGTCAACAGGGCTGTTTCCTCATCTTGCATTTCAACTTTGCAACAAATTTCCTGCCATTCGTCCCCACACACAATTGTGTAAGCATACAGATCTACATATATAGGGTCCAGAACGCTGAAAATGCAGGTATAGAAGCCTACCACCCACTCCGACAGGCTGTGGACAGAACACTAAACCCACCGTCCATCATCTCAATTTCAAGGAAATTGAGCCTTGAACGGATGTAGATCAAGCTTCTGGTAAAGTATATATGACGAATACATAATGCTGTCGATGACACGGAACTACGACGCACAAACTAAAGAGCATCTGAATAAAATATTTGAGTGAGTGAGGACTTTATGCACTCCAATTATTCTTCCCTTCTCATTGTTCAAGGCCTGCCTACGCCTGTTTGGAAAATGCATTCCAATGTAAATAATACAGGCCTTATTGTTGGAAATGGTTATTCGTACATTAAATGAAAGTTTAAGAAGATACGCTCCATTTCACTTGAATGAGGCACACATCATGCATGTGCACACACAGAGGGGCGAGATACCTGCTGGGAAAGAATCTAAATCAGTCATGTTGCTAAATAAGCAGCTTAAAAACTGACATTTCACTTTATAGGGTCACAAAAAGAGGAACTATAATTCCATTTCCCATCAGTTGCTATATGCCATCCTTTCAATTTAAATTTAAACCTTTTTCCATTCTATCGCTTCCTCTGGGTGATCAATTTTCTCTCTCGCTCAGAAAATTCGTGCTGAAATTTCTGGAATTAATCGCCCCTTTAGACACGAAGACGAGAAATGGAGAGATGTGATGAACGTATGGCTGCTGCTGCTCTGTTCTCACATAGACAATTAACCATATCAAATCTACTTCACTTCTGAGTCTGAATGAGATCCAGTGTCGACGACGACGACGACGGTGGTGCAGTGCTTACAGTCTCGAAAATACAATGGAACAATAAAGTAGAGCAAAGATCCCATTTTAATTTTTGGCCGTTTATGTACTCACATAAATATGTATGCACTTACCCAAATACGAACAAACTACGCAGTGCACACGGGGATTTGTGCTTAAATGCCACTCCCAGGAAATCTACGTTCTCTCTCTCCCTTCAGAAATACAACAAATTCTGGTCCAAAATTAGTTTTGGGGAGAAGAAGAAAGCCACAACATGAACGTGTACAATTTTTAATCTTGCTGCTTTACTTGCTCCGCTGATGATGGAGTGCAAAAGAAATTTGAATGTCGTCCAATGCCTGTTTCTTTCCTTCCAGAGTGGAGCATTAAAACTGTATGAAAGCCTGCTTTTCGACGAAGGAGCCGGGGAAGAAAAAGGAGAAGAGACAGTTATCAGAGAGAGAGAGAGATAGAAATTGTTTTATTTCCACTCAGTCGAGTTACATGCACGGAATTATTTTCAAGGATGGAGTGGAAACCATTCCGCATAAATATTCATTCCTTTATTTTCAACCAGAATTACAACCCAGCTCCTCAGCAGGCGAGTCAAAGCCGTGGGAATATGTAATGGCGGATGAGATCAGTGGCATAACAAAATTGAGTCCTACTTTCATTTCGCTTGGATTTGCACATGCACAGCAGAAATAAAGCATCGCACCAGCTCAGAAATAGGTTTGGCATTTTCCACACAAATAAAGAAGAAGAAGAAAAAGAAAGACCGTAAAAAATCTACTTATTTTCTTTCCCTTTCCCGAAATGCATCACTTAAAGGGAAACAAGTAAGTATGTGTTTGTGCACTTGGTTGTTTTACTGTGCCTGCAATTTATCTAAGGAGGCTTCAGTAATGGCAATCAGCGAGTAAGTGAGTGCATATGTGTTGTTGTTTGTATTGATTGTACAAGAACAAGGATTGGTCGTCCCTCGTACATTTTATCCCCACGACGAGCCTGTTGCTGCCTGCCTGCTTTCTCTTCCGCCTCTCTGTTTACACCGAGAACTTGCACATCCATCCACTCACTCCCACCACGAAGGAAGAAAGTCAGAGATGAAGAAGAGACCACACGATGCTGTCCATGTTGGATCCTTGGTTTTATTTTGGTGGCTGGTTTCCGTCCTCCTCCTCCTTCTCGACAGCCTTTAGTGCTCGCACGAATTGTAGTTGCACAACGACGACGACGTGTTTTACTGGGAGGCATTTCCCGAAATAAAAGCGGAATAAATCTCCTTCAGCCGCGGCTCTCCCTCTTCATTAACCTGCCTGCCAGCCAGGAAGGTATATAAATTGTTATCTCTTATCTGTACATACACGTCGCATGATTTACTTTTACTTGAGTTTAGAGAAACACATATCTTAACTAGGGTCACTGAAAGATAAGACAAACCGTAAAGTTGGACAGGAAAAGATAAGCTACTTACTTACATACACTTTTACTCTAATCGATAACTCGCCTTGTGCAAGTTTTATCCTTATACTTTGGATAAGAGATGCTCTTTCCCATGCAGGTCACCATTATTGTCACGATGATTCCGCCTGGTTGCTGATCCTTATCCTTATTTTATTATTTCACCATCTCATCTATGCTCCCAGCGCTATTTTGCATATGTTGCTTACACTACTATGTAGGAAAACATGTATTTCGTTTAGCCTGCGGAACACTCGCCTCGAATTATGTACACAAATAGACGACCAGTTGAGACGTTTTTTTAGACCTGCTCGTCCGTATTGACAATTACCCGTGTCGTGGAGATGATTTGCCCACCGTGAATGTGAGTGAGGATGCCGTGGGTTCTGAAAGCTGTGGGGAATCCGGACAACAAAAAAATTAAAAATTATCCCAATTCCTGGCACGATCCAAATCCCAGATTGTGAGTCAGAATTCCTTTCACTGCTCTCTTTGTTTCGTTCGTTATTGGAGCGACGGGGAGTTGATGAATTTTGATGCCAGAGAGAGAGAGAGAACTCGTTACAAGAGGAGAAGTGCATTCGCAGAGAGTGGAGTGGAAAAGTTTGGAGTGGTTCAGGGAGAGAAAGTGGAGAAAGTATTGGCTAAAGTGGCCCCAGCATCACCAACCAGCTTGAGTTTA